TATTGAGAAGCATGATCACGAACAATCTGAGAAGGAATTACAAACACATTCAATGCAGAGTCAACTAACACAATATCAAGCACTCTATACACAGGCCATGGAACAATATAACAAACTGCAAGCTAGATTTCAGCAAACACTGACACCAGGTGGTGCAGTGCCTGTAACTCAGCTAGACGGCAACACAAGTCAAAACTCTGAACAAAACGATAAAAAAATATTAGATTTAGAAAAACAAATTCAAGAAAAAAATAAATTGGTTGATGACCTGAATAATGATAATAATAATATGAAACAAAGAATCAAAGATTTAGAAACTGAAATGGATTCTCTGAAAAAGGAAGAAGCATCTTCTAGTAGTGGGAAATCAGATCCTAAAATGTTGAAAATGAAGGCTCAAATGACATCCAAGATTAAATCTCTTGAAAAGGAGGTAGAAAAGTTAAAACAGGTAAGTTTCTTTAAATATTTACTTTTCCAGTAGTAGTCTTGATTTTTTTATGCTCCTGCTGCGGCGGAGGGGGACAGTAAATTTTACCCTTGTCTATCTGTATGTCCAGCCATCCATACGTCCCAAAATAAGTTTCCATTCTCTAACTTTAGTTTGCCTCAACCAAATGTTATGAAACTTAAACACAATAAGTGTATAGAATAGATCAAACTAAATAATCAAAAAGAATTGGTAACAAGCATTAAAAATTTTTACAAAACCTTGAATTAACCATCTCCTGATTCATGAACAAAACCATCTATTGTAATACCTGAATACTTGGATACATTGTTAAGCGTATGATCATAAAAAGCCGTCTATGGAAGTAATGAATGCCTTACTTTTTAAAAAATTATTGAATTGTTTGAAGGAACATGAATATGTGCAAGATCTTACTGTGAAATTTTGTCTTTACTTAAATGATAAATGAATCAAAAATTTATATGATTTGTAAATTTTAGGGAAAGAAGGACCTACTATCAGATGATTCAAATGAACTTAAAACTCATCTGGATGCTGCCAACAAGAAAGTTGAGGAATTATCAAAAGAAATAGAAAGTTTAAATGTCCAGTTAGAGTCAGAGAAAAATAGTTCAAAGGACTTGAAAGACCAGTTAAATCAATTACAACAAGAATTATCATCATCTAGGCATGCATCAGATGAAATGACCAATCAAATCACAGAATACAAGAACCAGATAGAACAATTAACCAATAAGATCCATGATGTTAACCAAGAGAATGAATCAAAGGAGGTTAGCCTTGAGAAAATCAAGGTAAGGTGTGCTAGGGAAATATATATTTATGTTTTATATGTGGGATATGATAAATATTTTTGTTTTGTTGCACACAATTTCTCTAGAACTACACAATTCCTTTGCTTAAATATAATGTTGTTGCATTTTGTTGACTTGTGAAAGCAAATTTATAACTTAAATCTCAGAATTATACCATCTTTAGTTGCATTACATAGTATAACCTATCTGTTTGACCTGTAAGAAGAAATACAAATATAAATGCGTTTTTCTCATAAATTCAGTCTGATCTTTTTTTTAACAATTTTTTGTAATCATTGGTATCCAGCTGGTGACATAATTTTGGCATTATTTTAATGATAGTGGTTTAACTGTAAAGAATTAAACAATAATAGTGGTTTAACTGTTAAGAATTAGACAATATTATAATAGTGGTTTAACTGTAAAGAATTAATCAGTTATGGTTTTTATGTAATATACAGTTTTAGCATGGTTAATAATGATATAAAATAAAGTTGTATTTTAATATGGTTCTAGTGCCATTTACATGAAAATTAATATAAAAACCTTAAATGTAGAATGTTTTAGATGCAAATCTTGTATTTCTCTGAATAAAGATTATATGGGTAAGAAGTCATTTTAGGTCAGTTCAGTCTTCACACTTTATATTAACCATAATCTCATTTCTCTTTATTCATTTTACTGATCTCTGTCATCAACTATATAAACAAGTTATATTATTGTATAATAATACATGCAGATATAGTAATGTAAATAATGAACTCTCATACATGTATATACATTTAAAATGATATTTAAAAGTATGGAACCCAGACATATATTATATGTATTTGATGGACTACTATGAAATAGTTATACCTGTCAATTTCATTTGGCCATATACATGGACCAAGGCCAAGGGAAGGACATGGATTTTTTTTTATTCATAGAAGCAATTGTATCATTTTTATACTAATTTCAGAGATCTAAGTTCTCACACATATATTTTGATGTTGGAATGCCTTAACTAAGGCATGCTAGGTGTCATCTCATACTCCATGTACTCGTATCTAACATAATTAACATAGGAGACTTTTTTTATACTTTATATTTATTACAATTACTCATCAATTATACCAAAGTCACCAATATTTTTGATGGTTTATAATTTGATTGGTTTCAATCTGCAATGAATTTAAAGTTTCTTTTTCTAAATGTCAGACAAAAAAGCTTTTCTAATATCTATGTTACAAATTGTTTTCTTGGTTGTCCATTTCTTTAATGCTATTAAAAGCACTAACCTTAACAAGACATTCTCATACAGAAAATCCTTGTTTTATTTAATTTGAATTTTTGTCACAGATTTGTATTAATAGAAATTGGTGAAAATTCATCAACTGTGAATGAAATTGATTATACATGTATTCTTTGCTGTTATTTGGAAAAGTTCATCTTGTTTGCAGTGATAGGTGATTGAACATCATGTTTGTGCATAATAAGAGACACTTGATTCAGTGCTAGTTACCCAGCATGCTTCAGTTATTTTATATTTATTTTATATACTGCACATGTGTAGCCATACTAACTGCTTGTAAATAGTAGAAATTTGTGTTTTAGGTGGAAAAACAGGCATTTATTGAACAACTGGAGAACAATCACAAGATGGCGCTTCAGGAAGCTTGTAGTAATGTGACACAGCTTGAGCAAAAAATTAGTGAATATGAAACATCATTGGAAGAAAAAAGTCAAGATTTCATGAGAAAAGAAAAAGATTACAATGAACTTGAAACTGAAAACAAAAATTTGCAAAATGATATAGAAAACTTAAATGTAAAATTATCTTCTGCTCTTGAAAATGTGAACCAAGTTACTGAGCAAGCCAATGACAATGACAATGAGGTTCAAAGTTTAAAAGAGAAAATTAAGGAATTAGAAAAAGAAAACGAAATTCTGCAAGAAGAAACAGAAAAATTGAAAACTTTGACTTATAATTTGGAAAGCTCTAATGCAAAATATGAGAAAGAATTAAAGGAATGTGAAATTGAAATGAATGAAGTGAAGAATCAATTGGTAGAAAGAAATTCTGAGGTTGAAATAAAAGTACAGGAAATTGAAACTTTAAACCACGAAATAAAAGCTAAAGATGAAGTTCTAATTCAGGTCTCTAATGACAAAAGCCACTTACAGACACAATATGATGAGGTTTGTGCTACATCTGAAGGCCTTAATTCTGAAATTAATCAATTTGAGAAAGTTAATGCAGATCTTAAAGAGGAATTAAATTGTAAAACAGAGGAACTGAATTCTGAGATTAACAAGTTGGAAAAAGTTAAAGATGAATTAATGAAGTTAGAGGAAACTCATAATGAAGTTAAAGAAAAGTTAAGTGAGGAACAAAATAGATTTGAACAGCAGTTTCAGGAATTACAAGCAGTCATTGAAACAGGTAAAAGTGAGAAAGATCAACTTCAAACCAGTTATGATATTTTAAATGAAAAATATGATGAACTTAAACATAGTGAGGACTTATTACAATCTGACTATAAGCAGGCGAAATTAACTAGGGAGCAACTTGATGAGAAAATTGAAGTATTGACTGAAAAATCTAAACAATACCAGAATGAAATTTCTGAACTCAAAAATCAATTATCACAATTATCTAACGAAAAATCACAGCTGGACTTACAGATGGAACAACTAAACAAACTTTGTAGTGAAAAGGAGGCTACAATTATGTCACTTTCATCAAATGCAGAGGACAGAGTTATCTCCCTTCAAAAAGTGATAAATGAGAAAGATGAAAGATTAGCAGACACAAACAATGAAATTAAAAACTTAAATGAGAAAATTAATGAGGCAGAAAAAGCAAAATTGACTTTAACTAGTGAATTTGATAAAAAATTAAATGACAAAGACGATGAAGTAAAAGTGTTACAGTTACAAGTTGATGAACAACAAAATAGAATTCAAAGTGGGAAAATAGAAACTGAAAAACTCAATTCCAATATAGAGTCTTTAAAACAAATTAATGATAAAATATCAGAGGAAAAATCTGATCTTCAACTACAACTGGAAGAAAAATCTACAATACAGGAAGCATTAGAACTAGATAAAACAAGAATTGAGGAAAAATTACTCTCCAAAACTGAAATGTTAAAAGAACTAAATACTAAAATGGACATCATAACAAAGGATATTAATGAAAAAGATAAACATATAAAACAAATCCAAAATGAAGAAGGTAATTTAGAGGAGGCACTAAATGCAAAAGAACAGGACATAGAGAAACTTCTCATGGAATTAAAGGAATCGAAGGAACTTGTCAGTGATATTAAATGTAGTGAACAGTCACAGGAAAATCTGGTGAAGGAGTGGCAGGATAAATGCAAGATACAGAAGGAAGAATTTGTATTGCAACTTAAAGAACTTGAAGACAAGAAAAATTGTGAAATTAAAAATATAGAACAATCGGTTGAAGCTTTACAGAAGGAAGTAAAATTTAAAGAGAAAGAGACAGATGAACTCAGACAAAAGCATGGAACTGAGGAACAAGATTTTGAGTTGAAAGTAAAAACATTGGAAAAAGAACACAACTCTTTAGAGCATTCCATTAGAGAATTACAAATTGAACTTAAATTGAAAGAGGAAAAGGTTGAAGAACAAAGACAACAGTTACAAAACGAGCAGCAAAGTTTTTCATCAAAGCTTGAAACCATAGAAACAGAGAATGCCAATCTACAGAAGCAGGTCAGTGAATTAAAACTTTTATGTGACGATAAAAGATTACAGATAGATACCCTGTCTCAAACTCTTGCTGATTCAGAGAATCGTTTTATAATGCATGATACTGAGTACAAGTCTCTCACAGCATGCATCAACAAACAAAACAAGCACTGCATGATTGACATTCAGAAATTACAAACTCAATTGGCTGAAAATAAAATGACCTTTGCCCAGCATGAATCAGACTTAAAATCACAAGTAGAGACTTTAACTGGTCGCTTTGATTCTCTTTATTGTGAACATGAACAAACAAAGCATGAACTTACAAACATGACTGAAAAGCATGAGGGCGAACAGAAATTAAATGAACAAGCTGAAATGTCATATACAAAATTAACACAGGATGTTCAGATGAAAGAGAAAAATATAGCAACTTTAAAAAGTGATCTTAAAGCAATGTCACAAGGTAAAGATGGCCTGATGTCAACAGTTTCAACTCTTAAGGAAGAATCGACAACCTTGACACAAGAAAAAGATGGCCTAATATTAACTGTTTCTACTGTTAAGGAAGAACTGGCTAACAAGATAAAAGATTTAATGACAGTCACTCAAGAGAAAGGTCAGCTGGTGTTAACTGTTTCTGGTCTGAAGGAAGAACTGTCCAACAAGTCAGAAGACATTGTCACTCTGACACAAGAAAAAGATGGTTTGGTGTCAACAGTTTCTAGTCTAAAGGAAGAAATGAACAACAAATCAGAAGACATTGTCACACTGACACAAGAAAAAGATGGTTTGGTGTCAACAGTTTCTAGTCTAAAGGAAGAACTGACCAACAAATCAGAAGACATTGTCACACTGACACAAGAAAAAGATGGCCTGGTGTCAACTGTCTCTAGTCTAAAGGAAGAACTGACCAACAAATCAGAAGTTGTTGTCACACTGACACAAGAAAAAGATGGTTTGATGTCAACAGTTTCTAGTCTAAAGGAAGAAATGAACAACAAGTCAGAAGACATTGTCACACTGACACAAGAAAAAGATGGTCTGGTGTCAACAGTTTCTAGTCTAAAGGAAGAACTGACCAACAAATCAGAAGACATTGTCACACTGACACAAGAAAAAGATGGTCTGGTGTCAACAGTTTCTAGTCTAAAGGAAGAACTGACCAACAAATCAGAAGACATTGTCACACTGACACAAGAAAAAGATGGTCTGGTGTCAACAGTTTCTAGTCTAAAGGAAGAACTGACCAACAAGTCAGAAGACATTGTCACACTGACACAAGAAAAAGATGGTCTGGTGTCAACAGTTTCTAGTCTTAAGGAAGAACTGACTAACAAATCAGAAGACATTGTCACACTGACACAAGAAAAAGATGGTTTGGTGTCAACTGTCTCTAGTCTCAAGGAAGAACTGAACAACAAGTCAGAAGACATTGTCACACTGACACAAGAAAAAGATGGTCTGGTGTCAACAGTTTCTAGTCTGAAAGAAGAACTGACCAACAAATCAGAAGACATTTTCACACTGACACAAGAGAAAGATGGTTTGGTGTCAACTGTCTCTAGTCTCAAGGAAGAACTGACCAACAAATCAGAAGAACTTGTCACACTTATACAGGAAAAAGATGGCTTGTTAGCCACAATTTCTCTTTTGAAAGAAGAGTTGAATGCAAAATCAGAGGAAATTGCCACATTAATAGAGAGCAAATATGGTGGGGAGTCAACTATATCCATTCTCAAGAAAGAACTTGGCACATTGACAAAAGACAAAGAGAATCTGGTGTCAGCTGTTTCTAGTCTAAATGAAGAACTGAGCAACAAATCAGAAGAAATGGCTATATTAACCCAAGAGAAAGATGGTGTAGTGTCAACTGTTTCTAGTCTCAATGAAGAACTGACACTTTTGACACAAGAAAAAGATGGTCTGGTGTCAACTGTCTCTAGTCTCAAGGAAGAACTGATCAACAAATCAGAAGAACTTGTCACACTGACACAAGAAAAAGATGGTTTGATGTCAACAGTTTCTAGTCTGAAGGAAGAACTGACCAACAAGTCAGAAGACATTGTCACACTGACACAAGAAAAAGATGGTTTGCTGTCAACAGTTTCTAGTCTAAAGGAAGAACTGACGAACAAATCAGAAGACATTGTCACACTGACACAAGAAAAAGATGGTCTGGTGTCAACAGTTTCTAGTCTGAAGGAAGAACTGATCAGCAAATCAGAAGAACTTGTCACAATGACACAAGAAAAAGATGGTTTGATGTCAACAGTTTCTAGTCTAAAGGAAGAAATGACAAACAAATCAGAAGACATTGTCACACTGACACAAGAAAATGATGGTTTGCTGTCAACAGTTTCTAGTCTTAAGGAAGAACTGACCAACAAATCAGAAGACATTGTCACACTGACACAAGAAAAAGATGGTTTAATGTCAACAGTTTCTAGTCTGAAGGAAGAACTGTCCAACAAGTCAGAAGACATTGTCACACTGACACAAGAAAAAGATGGTCTGGTATCAACAGTTTCTAGTCTGAAGGAAGAACTGACGAACAAATCAGAAGACATTGTCACACTGACACAAGAAAATGATGGTTTGCTGTCAACAGTTTCTAGTCTTAAGGAAGAACTGACCAACAAATCAGAAGACATTGTCACACTGACACAAGAAAAAGATGGTTTGATGTCAACAGTTTCTAGTCTGAAGGAAGAACTGAGCAACAAATCAGAAGACTTAGCTTTAGTGACGCAAGGAATAGATGGTCAATTGTCAACTGTCTCTAGACTTGTAGAAGAATTGGCGACTTTGGGACAAGAAAAAGATGGTCTGGTGTCAACAGTTTCTAGTCTCAAGGAAACACTGACCAACAAGTCAGAAGACATTGTCACACTGACACAAGAAAAAGATGGTTTGATGTCAACAGTTTCTAGTCTAAAGGAAGAAATGAAAAACAAGTCAGAAGACATTGTCACACTGACACAAGAAAAAGATGGTCTGGTGTCAACAGTTTCTAGTCTGAAGGAAGAACTGACCAACAAATCAGAAGACATTTTCACACTGACACAAGAAAAAGATGGTTTGGTGTCAACTGTCTCTAGTCTCAAGGAAGAATTGACCAACAAATCAGAAGAACTTGTCACACTTATACAGGAAAAAGATGGTCTGGTGTCAACAGTTTCCAGTCTTAAAGAAGAACTAACCACTAAGTCAGAAGATATGATTCTAATGACCCAAGAACAAGATGATCTAGTTTCAACTCTTTCCAGTCTAAGAGAGGAACTGACAGAGAAGTCAGAAGACATTGTTACACTAACAAAAGAAAAAGATGGTATTGTGTCATCTGTTTCCAGTCTTAGAGAAGAACTTACCAACAAGTCAGAAGACATGACTTTAGTGACTCAAGAAAAAGATGACCTTATGTCAACTATCTCTAGTCTAAAAGAGGAACTGACAGTTTTTACACAGGAAAAAGATGGCTTGTTGTTAACTGTTTCTAGTGTTAAGGAAGAACTAGCTAAAAAGATAGATGAATTAATGGCAGTCACACAAGAGAACGATCATCTGATGTTAAATGTTTGTACTCTTAAGGATGAACTGTCCAACCACACAGATGATCTTGTCACATTGAAAACTGAAAATGATGGGCTGATGTCAACTGTTTCAATTCTTAAGGAAGAGCTGTCCAACAAGTCAGAAGAGATAACAACACTAAAACAAGAAAAAGATGGCTTGGCATCAACAGTTTCTGTTTTGAAAGAAGAGTTGGCTAATAAATTAGAAGAGATATCCACATTGGCAGATAGTAAAGATGGTGTGGAGTCAGTTGTTTCCATTCTCAAGAAAGAACTGGCAATATTGACACAAGACAAAGAGAATATGGTATCAACTGTTTCTAATCTGAAGGAAGAACTTACTTACAAATCAGAAGATATTAACTCATTGACACAACAGAAAGATAACCTGTTATCAACAGTTTCTAGTCTTGAGGTAGAACTGACCACATCTAAACAAGAAAAGGCTGAATTAAGATCAACTGTTTCTAGTCTTGAAGAAGAACGGACAATTATGAATCAAGAAAAAGATGGCCTGATATTAACTGTTTCTAGTGTAAAAGAGGAACTTGCAAACAAAATAGAAGAATTAATAGCAGTCAAACAAGAGAAAGATCAGCTATTGTTAACTGTTTCTAGTCTTCATGAAGAACTGAACAACAAGTCAGAAGACATGGCTGTAGTGACTCAGGAGAAGGATGGTCTAGTGTCAACAGTTATAAGTCTAAGGGAAGAACTGTCTAACAAGCAAGATGAAATCTTAATGTTAACAAAAGAAAATGATGACTGGAAGTTAACAGTTTTTAATCTTAAGGAAGAACTATCCAGTAAGACAGAAGAGCTAGATACAGTGATGCAAGAAAAAGATGGCCTGATGGCCACAGTTTCTAATCTGAAAGAAGAGCTTGCTATCAAGTTAGAAGAGATCACTTCATTGGCAGATAGCAAAGATGGTGTGGAGTCAGTTATTTCCATTCTAAAGAAAGAACTAGCAATATTGTCACAAGACAAAGATAATATGGTATCAACTGTTTCTAATCTTAATGAAGAACTAGCAATTAAATCAAAAGAGATAGTTAGTTTGAAATTAACTGTTTCTAATGTTAATGAGGAACTGGCTCACAAGTCAGAAGAACTTATCACAGCCACACAAGAGAATGATGGGTTAGCATCAACTGTTTCTTGTCTTAAAGAAGAATTGTCTATTAGATCAGAAAAAGAAGCCACATTTGCACAAGAAAAGGAGCATCATGTTTCAACTATTACAGGTTTAAAGGAAGAACTGGCCACATTGACACAAGATAAATGTGATATGGTATCTCTTGTTTCCAGTCTTAAAGAAAACATTGCAACAGTTACACAGGAGAGAGATGACTTAATTTCAACTGTGTCCAGTTTAAAGGAAGAATTGTCTAATAAATCAAATGATCTAACAAATGCAGTGACCAAAAATGAGGGACTTTTGTTGACTTTGTCAGCTTTGAAGGAAGACTTAAATCTGAAATTACAGTTAGCTGATGAGAAGCTTGTTGTAGAAAAGGAAATGGAAAAACTTTTGTCATCTGTAAATATATTGTCAAGTGAATTAGACACAGCAGTGCAAAGTGTTGCTGCAAAAGAAGACACTTCTGTAAAACTGAAATCTGAGCTGATGAGACACAAAGCAAAACTGACTGAAACTCAAGATGAGAATGAGCACCTGATGAATCAATTGATGAGCACAACTAATGAACTATTAAGTAAAACAGACAACATAAAGAGTTTAATGATAGAAAATGATGGATTATTATCTGATCTCTCCAATGTCAAAGACAAATTGTCAACAGGAAATAAAACTTTAGCTGATTTAACACATGATAAAGAAAATTTGAAGGCCACAATTGTTGAAATCAAAGACCAATTACAAATTAAGTCTAAGGATATAGATAACGTCATCAAACAAAAAGAAACTTTGTTGTCAAATTTAGAACTAAATAATATAGAACTGAATACTTTACTAGAAGAAAAAGAACAACTAATGTTAACTTCCTCAAAGTTTAAAGAGGATAATGAAATAATGAAAACCGACTTTGATGCTGTACAAAATGAGAAAGATGGACTTTTGTTGACTGTAGCTGCTTTGACTGAAGAGAAAGATGAGTTGATATCTTCTAAGACTAGTTTAAAATGTGAGCTAGAAAAATCTGCAGAAAAAATGTCATTGCTAATGCAACAAATAGATGATTTGCAAACAAATGTGTCAGAACTTAAAATTGATTTGGCAAACAAACTTGAACAAATTGATTCAGTTTCAACTGAAAAAGATTGTCTTTTATCAAATTTAGATTCCCTTAAAGAAGAAAATCAGGTACACACAGAATTGAAATTAAAACTTGAAAAAGATCTTGAACAAATGTCAACAAGCTTTTTTGTTTTATCTAGTGAAATTGAATTAACTAAACAAAATCTTACATCAAAAGAGGATTTAATAGTCAAACAGAAATCTGATAATAAGGAGAATATTTGCAAAATGACCAATGACATATCTGGATTAAAAGAAAAACTGACTGAAAAGTACGAAGAAATTTCATTCTTGAAAATTGAAAATGAGAAGTTATTAGCAGATATTTCCATACTTACAAAAGACTTAACATGTTTGTCAGATGAGAAAAACCAATTGTTGTCTTCTATTGCAAATCTTGAGAAAGACATGGAAGACAACTCTCAGAATTTGATATCTGTTAATAAAGAAAAAGATGAATTAGCATCCACAATTACTAGTCTAACAGAATCTTTTACTAGTTTAAAAGTAGAAAATAACCTTTTAATGACAAGATCAACTGGTTTGGAAGAGGAATTAAATAGGAAGTGTGAAGATCTGGCAGCACTTGTTGAAGAAAAAGAAGGATTTGTGTCAGAAAAAGTGGTTGAAGTTGAAACATTAAGAAAGGAAGGAAATGGCCTGGTAACTACCATATCATCTCTAAAGACTGAAATGGCAATGAAAGATGGGGAAGTATCTTTTCTTGTTAAAGAGAAAGAAGATTTAGAGGCAAAACTGGTTAGTGCGATGGACAATGATTCAAAGAAAAATGAAACTCTTGTTTCTGTCACACAAGAACGGGATAATCTTATGTTGGATATTTCATCATTGAGGGAGGAACTAACAGCAAGATCAAATCAACTTGATGCAGCATTGGGGGAAGTAAAAATTCTGACAGGCAAGCTTAATTCTTTGACTGAACAGATAAGTTTGATGAATGCAGAAAGTTCAGAATTTGTGAAAGAAAGAGATGATTTAAATCTGTCTCTGTCAGGTGCAAAGGAAGAACTTGCAGATATCACGAGAAAATATTCTATTATACAGCAAGAAAAAGATGAAATGACAGCTGTCTTGTCTACTTTGAAAGAGGAATTAATGAGGACAGCAACAGAAGTAACATCACTGTCAAAAGAGAAAGATGAGTTGAAAATAGAACTGGCTACTGAGGCTGCATTTAAGTTGACACTTTTAAAAGAGAAGGAAGAGATGATCTCACAACTGGAAGCTGAAGCATTGTCAAAGTCTAAATTATCAGAGGAGATTCATGAGCTTATATCAAAACTTGAGTCTGAATCGTCATCAAATGTAAACCTCTCACAGGAGAAACTTAATTTAGAACAGAAAGTTAAAGAACTTGAGACAACTGTACATATTTTATCCAGTGAACTAGAAACAAAAGCTGACATTGTGACAAGTGCAATTGATCAGATCAGAAAACTTAAATTTAACATAAGAATAATGCAAGATGAAAATGACAAAATGTTGAAAGAGAAAGATAATGTGCTGACTAATTTTCAAGAGGAATTAGCTAAAAAGACAAAGGAGTTAGAAAACCAACTTCATGAAAAAGAAACAATTGGATGTACATTTGCTAGTCTGAAAGAGAAAATTAATCAATATGAAACCACAATAAATGATTTAGCAGAGGAAAAAGAGACCATAATTTGCAGTCTATCTGAAGTAAGGAATGAACTAAATAAAACAACAGATGAGCTGTGCTCCCTTAAAGAGATCAAATCATCCCTGGAATCTGAGCAGGAGAAATTGTCTAGTGTAGTTCAGGTATTGACTGTAGAATTTGAAACGGAGAAACAAGTTGCATTATTCAAAAATGATCAGATTTCACAGTTAATGAAATTTGCAAAAGATGACAAGAAGAAGATTTCAAATTTACAACAAGAAAATGTGGAACTTTTATCTTCACTTGATATTTTGAAGGAAGATGTAGCCAGTAAAGCTAAACATATAAATGACCTTTTGGAGAAGCTGACACACAAAACAAACATGCTGACCTCAATTACTCAAAATAATGAAACAGCAACCAAGCAATTGGTTGAAAGAGACATGCAGTTTACAGAATTAATTGATCAGAAAGAACAATTAATTTCTAATTTGTCTAATTTGAAAGAAGATATTGAAAAGAAGAGTGAAGAAATATCCAAGCAACAGAATGAAACTGAAGACTTAATGTCCACAGTATGTGCTTTAAAAGATGACATTGCAAAATTGGATGATGACAAACAAGCAATTGCCGAGGAGTTACATAACACAAAGGTTAAGGTTGACATATTATCCACAGAACTAGAGACTGCAAGGGAAAGTGAAACAAGTAAAGGGGATACTGTTATGAAATTGAAACATGAAAATTTTTGTCAGGCGAAATATTTGTCACATGTAAAAATTGAAAATGAAGCTATTCAGGTAACAATAGCAGATTTACAAAAGCAACTTTTTATTAAAGAAGAGAATTTACTTTCCCTTTCCCAAGAGAAGGAGGATTTAGTGGCATCCATTTCTAATCTGACAGGTCAGCTAAATGTACAAACAGACCAGCTGTTAAATGCCACAAAGGAAAATGAGGAATTCATGTTAGCTGTTTCAAACTTGAAAGATGAGCTTTTTACCAAGAATGAAAATCTGTCAGCAGTCGCACAAGAAAGAGTTAAGCTGAAAGAAGAGCTAGCATTGGTTAAGGATGAACAAAATGTCAATACAACAGCAATGTCAACTCGTGTATCAGAAAAAGAGGAAAAAGTGTGTTTCTTACAAGATCAACTTAACCAGAAAGAAACTGAAATGTCTCTTTTGGCAGTTAGCATGGAAAATTTGGAATCTAAAGTTAGGGGCCTAGAACATCAACTTTCACTCAGATCAGAAGAGCTGTCAAATTTCCAGCATAAGAATCAAGAAGAAATAGCAACACTTGATTGTAAACTGAAAGAAATAAGTGATTTAAAAGAAGTTCTGATTGAAGAAAATAAAACAACAGAAGAGGAAAAATATAACTTGAAGCAGACTGTTGATATGCTGCTAATTGACATAGAGTCTTTCAATTTAAAGGTGAATGAAAAAGAAGATCTGATACACAAATTGAAAGCAAATATAAAATCTGCATTGGAAAATAATCAATTAATGGCTGAACAGGTGTCCTCTGTTTCAGAAGAAAGGGATGTTCTCAGATTAGATCTATTATCTACCCAGGAAGGATTAACCACTAAAACTGAAAATGTGTCCAGAATAATGGAAGATAATGAATTATTGTCAACACAGAATGAGCAGATTACTCAGTTGTCGGCAGATTTGAAGGAGAAAATTCAAACATTAAATGAAGATTTTACCCAGGTAAAAGAAACATTACAGCAAAAGGAAGAAGAATTGAAGTCATGCAGAGATAAACTTAGTCTTCTTCAAACAGATTTTGATCAGCTATCTCAGGAATGTGAACAGGCTCATACAAATGTGTTAGAAAAAGAGCAAAATATATTTGAACTAACAGAAACACTCGAGAAAACAGTTGAAAGGGAACAAGATGCTGATGCTTGGAGAACAAAATGCAGAGACCTGGAACAGTTGATTTCCACCAAGGATGAAGAGAATAAAAGAGAATTAGAAGAGAAAGACCTCACTTTCAGTCATTTGGAGACTGAACTCAATAGTCAAAAGGAGTCTTATAAATTGTTGACTAAAAAGGTGATTTTCATGTTAACACCCAGTACATTCTTCTAAAATCATTTCTTCTTTCTGGAGCATAACATTTCCTTTCTCTCAGCTAAATTTGATTCTTCATTTTGTTTTAATAACTTTGGTAGTCTTGAGATTCTTTGGTGACACACTAATTGCTGTAGTCTGGATTATTTTCAAGTCGTGTTCAAACTAAAGATTTTTTTTTTATTTGCTGCTTTTACTCTAAGTTAAGGCATTTAGGAGTAAGAGCAAAGACTGTTCTGTTCAAGAGTCCGAATAATGTTTTCTGGTCAGGTGACATATACATGTATTCCTATGGACTGTTATTGCTAACTTTTTTTTCAAATTCTAATATAATGTTTTTTATTATTTCTCAAATTTTCAGCTAATAATATTAATATAAATAAATTTTATTTTGAAATGGGTAGTCATATGCATGCTCATTTGACATAAACACAGAAGGAAAAATAAGAAGAAACAAGGAATATTATATGAAAAAGGGAGCCTTATTAATCAGAAATATAGATAAGATTAGAAGCTAATTTCATTTTGACTATACAGTTTATCTTCATCAAGTCTTTATTTTAATGTTGGATAGTCTTTTATTTAAATGGCAGAAAAAAGTACTCTTTATTTTTTTACATTGATAAAAAAAAAATTTGTAACTCAATATTTTTATCCTATGTGATTTGGTGAAGGTTTATTTACTTTAGGTTATGGCCATTTTCATTCAGTTTATGATTGATGCAGTATAAAATTTTATCTCCAACCCTTATTTAGAAGAGGTCAGAAGCATGGAAAAATAAAAAAAATGCAAAATTAAAATACAGGTGTAGTAATCTTAGATTATTTTTTTAAAAACTACCCAAATAAAGTGTATTATTTTAAGAATTTTACTCCAGAATCACAATTGCCTGGTAGGGGGTAGAATCACACAGTCATTCAAGGAAGAAATAGAGAGAAAAATGCAAACTTCCATGATGTTATTTTGCATTGTCTGATATCTTTTATTTACAAAGTAAAGGATGCCCAAATTTCACCTCAGTGTCTCAAATTAGTTATAATGTTTGCCTAATTAATATCATAATTCAATTTTTAATGTAAATTAAGTATTAACTGAATTATCAAATCTTTTATCTTCAGTACAAACTTTTTCTTTCTATCTGAAGCATTTAGAATATCTCTATTAAATCTACCTTATGTTAATAAAAATTCTTTCAAATAGCTTCTTCTCTATTCCTATACCTTAAATCCTTTGAATGTTAAAATTTTGAGAAACAAGATATAAGTACAGAAATGTTTACTTTTGAAGTAGTTTTTTTTCTTTTCTTAATATATATCAATACTGTATATTTTTTACTACCACTGATACTGATCATCTTTTACCAAATTGACGTTGTTTCTGATTAAGATTATATTTTCAAATTCTAGGTAAAAACACATGACGTCTTTATTTGATTTAAGTTGATTTTTTAAACAATGCTATAAGATAGATATTAAGCTGACTTTCATCGTATACAGATAGCTTTAATTTAAAGTCAATAACTGAGATTATATTTTATTTATTTGGCACTTCGTAAGATGAATGTTATTAAACAATTTATACAACATCTTTTTCAAACTGTTTTCTTTTGGAATTTATGAAATGTCTTATTTTCATTATCTAAAAAATTACACGCAGTCCTCAAAGTTTTGGAAAAGTTGTATTGTTCACTTTATTCATATTGTCGTAGTAGAAATACAATCCTAAATTTACCAAATTTCTGAAGTTTGGGCCACATAATGAATTTCCAATCTTATCTGCATGTAAAAATTCTTGAAAATTATGAAGTTAACATATGCAATTTTCAAATAAAAAAGAAATTATGAAATTTATTTAATGAAGGCAACTATTTAAGTAAATGTAAGAATTATTTGATGTATGGTACAATGTACTGGACTACTGTAAATTCAGAAATTAATGTATGCATTTATTATTGCGAACCCTTGACCACTGGCAAAAATGTGAAATCTAATTTAATGCAATTGCAAAATTTTTATGAACTACTGTAATTATGAATGCACTTTTTAACATTGCAAACCTGATACTGTCGCATTTTTCACATTAATAAAAACTTAGCAGTAATTTCTGAATTTACATAATTGTATAGGTAATTAGACATTTTCTTTCTCAAAACTTCTAAGATATTATAACAAATATATTCCTTGGATAATAGAGAAATAAAATTAATCTTTAGACCCTTTCATGATATTATGAAAGCATGCCCAGACTTTGGTGTTGATAGCTGACCATTGATAGCCTCTTTCATATTTATTCAAAAATTTTAGAGCTTATCATATTGTATTGACAATTGTCTGTTCTTGAGGACTACAAATGTATCTGTTTACCTCTAGACATAGTTGGGTTTCTGTCTTATTGACAAATACCCAACATCTTAAATTCACATTTTGAATGGTAAGTATGATATTTTCCAGATGAAAGTTCAATGATTTTTTTCAAAAATTTCTGCTCATCATGTTTGTCTGAAATAAGTCCTTACCTGGCATGCTTTTAGATTTATTGTAAAAAGGTCTTTTATTATTCAAATCAAAAGAAAAAACATCTCAAAATCAATATCTGATAATAACATTTTTTTATCAATGATATCTTATGTCATAAAAGTTTTATACTGTAATTTCAGAAATTATTGTGATGTGTTAATGCAAAAAATGTAACAGTATCATGTTAGCAAAAACAAAAACTCACATTCATTATTTCAGAAGTAATTTTCCATCATAAAATTTTGCGATTGCATTAATTAGATTTATGATGTTAGCCAATGGTCAAGGATTTTCAAAATTAAATGCACACATACATTTCTGAATTTACAGTAGTTCAGCATTTTACTTTTTGTTTATATGCTAAATTCATTTCACAGAAAGAACAACTGGAAACTGACATTAAGAAGTTAGAGAAGGTTAGCAAAGGAAAAGATGTTAAATTATCTCGAGCTGTTGAGGATTCGGGTGCTTTCAAATTATCTAAAGAGCAGGAAATGACGGAACTTAATATCAAACTGTCTGAAGTGACAGCAAATCTGGAAGAAACAAAAGCTCAAAAATCGTATTTAGAACAAACTGTTTCTGAATTAAAGGGAAGACTTGAAGGTTCTTCCCAAGAGCAGACAGTGTATAATGATAGTTTGGTGAAAGAGAATGAACTGTTGAAATCTGAAATGGACAATTTAAGGCTGGAAAAAGACAAAATTGTTAAAGAAACTAAAGAGATTAAAACAGAACTGAACAAATTACAAAAACTGTACAAAGGGAGAGAAGCCAAAATAAAGAAATTTCAGGAAGTTGTCAACGAGCAAGAAAAGTTACTTGCTACAAAAGAGGCAGATATCATTGTGTTTAAAGAAAATATGATACAACTAGAAAATAAACTAAAAGATGTCAATTATGATGAGGAGTTTATGCATTCTGAAATGAGTAAATTAGAATTGGATTATAACCAACTTCAACAAAAATATGATCAATATGAAATAGACTATAGACATCTAGAAATGAGGTGTCAGCAGCTAGAGGAGGAACTTCTATCAGCACAAAGTGATAACAGAATAGAACATGACCAAGTGACAGGTGTACACCAAGACCAAATCTTATACTTAGAACAGTATGTGGAATCATTGCAGAGGACCGTTCAGGAAAAGGAACAAATAGCAATAGATATTGAAAATGAACTCTTGGACTTGAGTGACAAAGAAAAATTTATGTTACAGGAAAAAGAAAATCTAGAGAATGAGATTTCAAAATTACATCAAATATGTAAAGGAAAAGATGAAAAAATGATACATCTTACACAGGAAAGTGAAGACCAGTTGTCAGCAAAAGATTCAGTAGTTGAAAAATTACACTATGAACTTGATGAGGCAAAGTTTAGGAATGAGGAACTAGAAAAACAACTGAAAATAAATTTCTCTGAAAAAGATGAAATAAATGCTGAATTACAGAAAATGCAAAAACTCTACAAGGGAAAGGATGTTAAAAACAAAAAATTTGAGGAAGTTGTTTCTGAACAAGAAAAACTCATTGCTGACAAAGATGCTGAAATTTTTATGTCGAAAGAGAGAATAAAACACTTAGAGCACAGGATGGGTGATGTTTTATATGAAGATGAATTAACTAGAAAAGACTTAGAGGTCATAAGGAGTGAAAACTTTGAACTCAAGGACAGATGTTATTGGTTAGAAGGGGAATTGGATAAAGTAAAACAAGATTTAACCGACAGATTAGATGAAAGTCAGACAGAACTGCAACGAGTGTGTGAAGAAAAAAACTTTATGTCTGCTTCTAAACAACAGTATGAAGAAACACTTCAAAACTTAGAGTATGACAAAGAGACTCTGACCAATGTTATAGGGGAGCGGGAGACTGGTATTTCAGAAATAAACAATGAACTTCAACAAGCCATTTCGGTACGAGAAAAATTGACTGCTGAAAATAAAAAATTGTCAGCTCTCGTTAAAGGAAAAGATGTGAGAATTAAGAAACTTGAGGGAAAATTAAAGGAAGATGAAGAATACATTAGTGAAATGAACAAAAGTTTACATGACATTGAGGAAGAACGAGAAAAATTTGTTACTGAAATAGGTAAACTTCAAAAGCTAGGAAAAAGTAGGGATGTAAAAGCTAAAAAGTTTGAAGAAGTTGTTGTTGTCCAAGAAAAAGTTCTTGTTGAAAAGGATACAGAAGTTGTTATTCTCAAGGAACAAATAAATGAGTTAAATGGTCGACTTGATGACTTGTACAGTGAAGAACAGAGCTTAAGAGATGAGCTAAATGAGTCTTTGACCCATTTTCAGGATCTGGAGGAAAAGTGTCATCACTTACAAACAAATATCGAACAGTTGCAAGAAAACATAAATGAAAAGGATTATCAAATTGAAGAATTTAAGAAAAATTTAGATGTAAATCATGAGCATATCGTGAAATTGGAAAGTGAGAAAAAAGAACTGATGATTGAAAAGCAAAAGATTGAACAAAGTATAGCTTTTGTTCGTCGTCAAGTATCAGATGGTGATGGCAGTGTAGATAAAGTGAAAACAGAACTACAAAATGTCCTTGTGGAAAAAGAACATTTGAATTTAGAAATAGCAAAATTAAAGAAAATAAGCAAAGGAAAAGCAGCTAAGGTGGCTAAAATGGAGGACATTTTATCTCAACAGGAGAACTCAATCGCTGGTAAAGAAATGGATGTTGTAGTTCTGAATGAAAGAGTGCAACATCTAATGGAGAAGTTAGAATACAGTGACCAAGAGGTCGGGATGCTTTCACAAGAACTTGAGCATGCATTAACTTGGAAAGACAAATATGAACAATTATATCATGAAAACCAAGAACACCATGGAATACATGTAGATAAAATGGTCTCAGAGCAATACCAGAGGCAAGAAATGGTTCAAGAAACTTTCCAGGAACAAGAAGCTTCAGGACCGTTACATTCTGCAGCACTATCAACAGCACCTGACAATGTTGACAGTCTTGCAATAGAATTGGAAAACCTTCAGTTAGAATTGAAAAGTGAAAGAGAAAAATTTGGCAAGGAGAAAGAGGCAATGAATGGACAGATAAAGAAACTGAAAACACTTTGCAAAGCAAAAGACACAAAGTTAAATAAACTGATGTCAGAAACAGAATCTCAAAGCAGTGAATCTTCACAAGTATCAGGACTAGAGGATGAAATTCTCATTCTAAAAACTGAAAATGAATCTTTAAGGGAAGGCCAGCTTTCAAAATCAAAAGAATTAGAGATATCTGTAAGCCTTTGTCAGGATTATGTAACACAAATCAAAGAATTTCAGGAAAAAGTAAATAAATATGAAGTTGAAAACATTGCTAAATCAGAAGAAATTGAAAACGTAACTAGTAACATGTTGGCATGGGAACAGTGGTACAAGACAGAACTTGAAAATCAGAAAATTGAGATAGAAAGATATAAAAATGAAGAAATAACAGGTTTACAGAATACATGGAGTTCATATGAGACATGGTATAGGCAGGAAATAGAAAAGCTTCAAGGTCATATAAGTAACCTTGAAGGTAAGCTGTCAGTTGTTGGTAGTGGAGCATCAGATGTGTTACCTGTAATAGAGGAAATCATAGAGCCCAGTGCAATAGAAAAATCTGAAACTTCACCAGAAATTATTGATGAAGAAAGAGGTGTTAATAAAATATCTGATTCACAATCACAAATGATACACAATGTGTCCTGTGAAACAGATATAGTGTCAAAAGAAAGTGATAAAAAGCAACAGGATGAATCCAGTAAGGAAGGTATACAAAATGAACTGGCAGTGACAGAAAGAGAAGTTCTGGACATGAAAAGGGAACGAGATTACATGAAGCAGGAACTCGAAGTTAAAAACATTCATGTAAAGGAAATGAAACAAGAAATAAAAAAATTACAAAATGACTTTACCAGTAAGGAAAATGAACTGTTTTCTTTAAGAGAAACTTTTGAAAAAGATATAGAGATATTTCAGAATAATTTGGATTCATTGAAAGAGGAGAAAACTGAATTATGTAAAACTATTGAAGATAAAACTCAAGAAATGTTATCTCTGAAGACAGAAAACGCTTCAAAAGGTGTTTGGGACCATGATCAGATAACTACTATGCAATCCAGAATTGAAGAATTGGAAAATAACGTGCAGTATTTAGAGGGAGTGAATTCATCATATGCAATGAGTAATACTGAGATGGAAAGAAAATGTCAGCACTTACAACACATTGCTGATGAGTCAGAAAAAGAGTTTGAAGAACTCAACAATGATACAAATTTGTTACGTCATAATGAAGAGTTATATAAAGATATGCTGAAAACTTTGAAAATGGAGAAAGAAAATTTGGCAATAGAAACTGAAAAAGCATTAAAATCAAAAGATTCTAAAAACAAAACAATGATTGAAGCCATCGATGACTTACAAGATATGTTATCAAAAAAAGAATCAGATTTACAACAAATGGTGACAGAGAAAGAAGCAAAGTGTGAAGAAATTGCCCAGCTAACCAATACTGTAAGCTACCTCCAAGAACAATCAAAGTCAGATGTGACACAAATGCAGCAGGAATTCATGCAAATGCTAAATGAGGATATAGGATTATCTGAACATGAGATGGAAGATCTTCAAAATGAAGATATCAATAAGCTGGTGACAAAAATTAAGTTAGAACTTTCGAATTTAAAACAATCTCAGTCAGAGTTGCTTTCAAAGTGTAGTAAAAGTGAGGAGAAAGTAACAGAGCTTGAAAAAGAACTAGAAAACAGTCAGAGTTTAATAGAGCAAGAAAAAGAAAACACAAAAACTTTGGGAATGATTGTTAACAATTACGAGGTGAAATTGGAAGAAAAAGAACAATGTTTAGTTGATCTGAAACAGAAATTATTAGTAGTCCCAGATCAAGGTCAAATTACCGAAAAAGACAATCAAATGCACCAACTGGAAAGTCAATTGGCAAGATTAAAGGACAACCTGTCCCATCAAGGCAGAGAAATGCAGGATCTTCAGCAATTGTATCAGAATGAATGTGAACAGCTTGAACGTACTTTAAATGCTCTAGAAGACAGTAAGAAATCTTTTACTTGTAAACTAGAAGAATCAGAAATTGCCATTACAAACTTACAAGAAAGATTGTTATCTGCTGAATCTGAATGTGAAAAATCAAAACAGCTTATTCAAGAAAAAGATAATTATATCATATCTATTGAACAATCAAAACGAGAAAATATAGAAAAAGTGAATGAAATGGAAGGACAAATAGAAACAAAGGATGAACAAATAAAATCTCTTACAGAAAGTCTAAATAATATACAGGATGATCTAATGAAAAGAATCGAAGAAATGAAAATTATGCAAGAAATGTATGATAAACAATCAGAGGAACAGGATAAAATAATGAATACTATTGAGGAATTTAATGCTTCAAATGCTCAGAAGTTACAAGAAAAGGAAGTTAAAATCACTGAATTAATGCAGGAGTTGTATGGCAAACAAAGCATCCTGGAAGTGACAGAGGCATCCAAAATGGCATTTGTCACATCACTGGAAGAAGCTGAGCAGACGTTAACTCAAATGAAAGAGCAAATTCAAGAAAAGGATAAAATAAAAGATGAATTAAAACTTCAGTTGCGTAAAAATGAAGAGAAAGTAAACATGTTGGAAGATAATATTGATAGATTATCTTTGGAAAACTCCACATTGAAACAACAACTAAAACAGTTGGAAACAACAGATGCCCATGGCAACCTTTCTGGAAAAACAGAAAATGTAAGAAACAAATGTATATTCAGATTCAATACTTATAGCTAGTGTGTATATATTGTGTGTGTAGGTACTAATTTTTGATATATCACATAATTGGCTATAAACACAGGGTACACAAAACTTTGCTTCTCCTTTTTAATGGAGTATATGTACAAGGGCTTATTGAAGGGTCCCAATAATTGTGTTTAACTTACGAAAATAAATTGATTTAAAAAAAATATATTTTTTGAAAGATGATTTAAAGTTTCATAAAAAGAATACATTAAAAATGTCATGTACATGTGTTTTAACTTTTGTGTACCCAAATCACATTGTTGGTGCATATTGTATACACTTATTTCATCACAAATCAATGTTTGAAGTGAATTTTAAAAGAACATTTTTTCTTATTTTGATTTTTGTACTTTTTTTTCAGTTTTAATTGAGTTATGTAAATTTGATGAAATGATTAACTTTGTATATTATAGTGCACTGCATTAAATAACAGACATTGATTTGTGTGATGGTGCAGTTTAAAAGTGCTAATTGCTAATAAAACTCACTAGATTAACTTTTTTTTTACTTTTACACAAATCTATTGTGATTGACAAATCTGAGTTTTAGTGAGCTAGTTTTGATTTTTGTTTGCAGTGTTGTCTTCTAGTTTCACCATTTTCCTGTTTGCTGCAATAAAAAAAAGTGTAGTAAGCTTTAGTTGCTATAGATATTCATATGTTATATTTATTTGATTTTCTGTAAACAGTGTAGGATTCAAATTTATAGCAATAATACAGTTTTATTGGTTTTAATAGTTTACCTTGTATAAATGATATTAAAAAGAATCATAAATATTAAATAATCTGCATTAGGCTTTTAATGTAGATTAATGCATTGCTATATAAGAACAACAATGTTGTCAGGGAAATTTGAAAATACCTTTTATATAATCTACCTGAATAACATCTAATAAAAAGTATTTGAAAAAAATAATCACTGTTAAATATACCTTATACTTTTTGTAAACATATTTAGCATGTGTAATTAGCATGATTATGTTGGTTTGCATGCTTATTATAACAATACATATATACAGAACTACACATAAACTATACACAATATATGTAATACTAGTGTTATAGATATTGTACAGTGAATGGTGCTTATCTTATCAAGGGCAGTGTCATCCATACAAGTGGTTATTATATCTGTTAGTGTGGAATCAAAACGTTTTTCTTGGCTTTATTTTATGATTTCAGTAAGTTATTTTGTTAGGGGAGTTCAGTAGTTACAAATTGTTTGGAAAATGTTTTGAAATTGAAAAATACTTAAACATTTTATTAAATGGAAAACATAAATTATATTGTCATTGTTTAATGGAAATAGAAGTTTAGGTGATAAATCACTTTCCTTAGATACTTTCAGACTTAACAGAATTTAGAGATCTGTAGAATGTCTTTAAATTTTCAATGATATATTAGATATGATTGCTGATTATGGCTAATTGTACCAGTATTCCTTTCATAAAGTGAAAGCTGATGCATGCTTGGAAATGAAAACACATTAAACATGTGTATTAACATGTATACCTCAATAAGAATTCCTGAGGCATTATGTTGGGTCAAATTTTTAAGTTCACAGATCCATCAGTGTTGTTAAACATTCACTTCCACTCGGTCTATCTCATGTAAATGATCAATTAATTTTACGTGTTGTTAATTTGATTTAGCTTTATATTTTCCCAGCATTTCCCAAGCTTTACTGTATTTTATTTTTTTCTCATTATATATTTTATTACAAACAGATTTGTCAAGAGAAAACAATAATTTGGATTTTAATTTCTTCAAATTCAATTGTAATGTACATTTATTATTTTCAAAAATATCTATTATTGATTTTTTTTTATATTTATATAGCATATGTTACCAAACAGATAAAATGATACATGTGTGGTATTTTTTAGATCCAGCAGATGGCAGATATTGTACAAGATCGTCATAGAGAGGAGGTAGTAGAAGAGGATGGTAATACTGATGCAAAGATTCAGAAGTAAGAGTTTTGTAAGACATATATAAGTGAATCTTGGTTTATCTAACCAGTAATACTTTTTTGGAGGACTGGTCTTTTATGGGTAACCTTGACATTAGTAGGCACATCTCTAAGGATACAAAATTAAGATATGGTACCAAGGGGGAAATCAAAAAGCATAGTAAGTAAAAAAAAACAGACAAAAATGAAAGAAAACCAAGTAGTCATACAAATTAACCCCTAGTATGCAAATTGTATTTCTTAATTTCAATATTTTTTTTCAAGATGATTGACTTTTATTTTAAGTATTTTAATTTCTTTTGGAACACCCCTAAAATTCTGTCTATGATAGTATAGGGGCATTATGCTTTCCAGTGTGTGTGTGTGTACTAAATCAGGTTAAACTTTTTGGTTTAGGGTAGTTTGTGGTCACTTAGAGCTTGAAACTTAGTACACATGTTTTCAATTAAGTTAACTGTTTAATATATACATGTCAAATTAGGGTGTTTTTTTTTACTAAGATTTCAAAGTTTACTGAAAATTGAAAAGAAAAGCAAGCAGGGTATGGTGCTATATTGATGCATATTCTTGGTTGTTTTTTTTTACTAAAATCACAGGTTGGAGCCAATCTGCTCCACCTGTTGCTAACTTTTTGGTTGAAACACAATAAAATATGAACAGTTGTCCAATTATAAGGAGATACATCCTTTTTGTTTTAACCATCTTGGTGGTCTCATGGCAGCATGCTTGCCTGAAGTACAGAATATTGGGGGTTGAATCCCCAGCTGTGTCAAACAAAGTGAAAATTGGTTTGCTGCTTCTTCATGAAGCATGTGGCATCTTAGAGAAAAACTTGTTGGCTCAGAGTCTGAATTATGTGTTATGGTGGGATGAATTGTTTTACTGTGGACTGTTACCTTGTGAAGTACACATTAAGTTTCCGGATGAAAAGGTCAGTCTAGCACAAGGCACAGATCAAATTCATATTACATAAGCATGTTCTATCTTGATATGTATGTAATAATTAATTGCCACTGAATATTTAGTACCAATCCATCATGATTTGTTATAAAGCTGGTTAATAATGTCAGTATAAGTTGAATTTTGTGATATTCATCAGTAGTGTTTTTCTATCTAGTCATAACAAAAGAATATCACCATGACATTCTTTCCCAGTAAATATCAGTTGCTAGGCAATTAAAATTCATTTTAAAAAAGTATGCTGAGATTGAATTTTGCAAGCTTGGATCCTTTTTAATTTCTTTTAATAGTTGCTATTTGGTGTTCTCACTGTATACTAACATTGAAGTATGGAATGAAATCTATAGTATGTTGATATGTTCATTTGATGGTTATTATCATTATTTCTGTTAAATGTAAAGAAGACCAATATAGTCAGATGTGTCCTTTATCATGATAATTTAACTGTTTGTTTTGAATATTGTAGAGTGCCATTTATCGAAGAAGCTATCATGGTTGAAAAGGTCCAAACATTACAGTCGGCTGCTGAGGTAATGTATTTGGTTTGTTTATGCATGTTTCTAAGTATTATAATGCGGTGTTTTATTTCAATATAGCGACCAGCACACTATTTATCTGAAGTAATTTTTGTCCCCCGCACGGAGCGTTGAGGGGGACATAGAAATACCGGGTGTCTGTCTGTCTGGTCTTGTTAAGTTGTTAGCACTCTCACATGTACAATTCTTGCCAGATTTTTGATTCAGCCATGCTGGATCTATGCGATCACTCTTTTTTTGGAGATGGTGCAGAATACTAAGTTAAAGACATCTAATGAAACTAATTATGTGTTTTTATACGCCCGTTTACGGGACGTATTATGGTATACCGTTGTTCGTCTGTCCGTCCGTCCGTCCGTCTGTCTGTCGTCAACATGTCGGACATTAACTCAAAAATGCTTAAACCAATTTGCATGAAACTTTGGTGAATTGTTTATATCTATTGACGTGAGCTTCCTTTCGTTTTTTTTTTAAATTTAGATTTTACGTTTCCGAGTTATGGGGTTTTATTCATTAAAAAAAGGGGGATTTCCCAGTTTTCGGACAATAAGTCAAGAATGCTTTCACCAACTTGCAAGAAATTGTGGTTAATTGTTTATATCTTTTGACATGAGCTCCCTTTCAATTTTTATAAATTTTAGAATTTACGTTTCCAAGTTACAGGGTTTTATTCATAAAAAAAGGGGGGATTTTCCATTTTTCGCACAAAAACTCAAAAATGCTTTCAGCAATTCTTATGAAACTTTGGTGAATTGTTTGTATGTATTGATGTAAGCTCCCTTTAGAATTTTATAAATTTTACATTTTACATTTCTGAGTTATGGGGTTTTATTCATTAAAAAAAGGGGTGATTTTCCAGTTTTCGGACAATAACTCAAAAATGCTATCACCAATTCTCATGAAACTTTGGTGAATTGTTTATATCTATTGATGTAAGCTCCCTTTTTATTTTCATAAATTTCTAATATGATATTGAGAATTAATTGAACTTTATTTGTTTATAGTCTGACAACAGATTTACTAAGTATTGCACAACAGCAAGAAATCTTTAATTGAATATAAATTCAATTCATATAACCAATTTCAAGTTCTTTGACTACATTTATTCAGAAACCTATAATATGTCAAATATTTAATTACAATCCAAATTCAGACCTGAATCAAGCTTGAATATTGTGTCCATTTTTGCCCCAACTGTTGAGGGTTGGACCTCTGCGGGCGTATCCAGCTGCGCTCAGCGAAGCAGTTTATTATGACTTGCAGAAACTTTCTACACCATTTTAATCATCAACTGCCAACTTTTGACATGTTATTTGCCCTTAAATGAAGAAAAGATTGGTCGAACAACCCTTTTATTTTAGATATACACTTGCATATAGTTCCTTTGTAAATCAAAATTTATAATGATTTACTATTTATGAAATAAATTGAAAAAGTATTTTTACATCAATTGAATCAGTTGATAACAATTTTGAAAGTATTATATTATTATCTTATGCTTGTGTAAGTTTTTGTTTTATGAAATTTAGGTCAACATGTGTGTTAATATATCTAAGTTGATTCCCACACTTTTTTGAAATGATATTACTCCAATTCTTTCCATAGGCAAGTAAGAGTCAGTATGATTATAAACTGTCATGATTTTTAAATAATTACACTCAAAGGTGTAAGTATTAATTGGAAACAACCCCAGTCTTAATTCACCACATTTAATATCTCATGACCTGTTATATAATTAAATAGGCACAATTTATTACACACCTAACTGAATACACACATTCTTGACCTCAATAGTAAACCTACAAATGTATTATTTATTTTGATCTACACTACATTAAAATATTCTGTTAATTTTGCTAGCTAGCTGTATGATTAATCAGACATGGTTTTTTTTTCAAAGAAAAGACAAAAAATGTAAAAATATGTATAATAATGCAAGCAAATTTTATTTCACTTGTAAAATCAGTGTCGTTATCATCTGACATAAGTCAATAATCAAGATCTTATTAATTAGTTACAATTATCAGAAATTTGGTAGAAACAATAAACAAAATTGCTTAATTCTTACCTGAGCATTTTCTGCAATAAAATTTATTTGTTTGTTCTACATTTATATCCCATTATATTGCTATTTAACAGTAATTGGAAATATCTCAGCATTAAGTATTTGTACATTTAAATTTGAATACAGGAAATGTATTTTTTCTTGATGAAGAATGAACACCAATTTAGATAAAAATTAGTTATTAATTTTTGTTGTTGAGAAAGTGCATTTCCAAGGCCTCTTTCTGGAAATTATTAAGCCAGTTATAATTAATGGCATATAAAAAAATATATTACTTGTTTGACGATTTCCCTTCCATTCATGTCAATACCATTAAATTGCAAATATTTATAAAAAAAAAATCTGACAGTCTAAATTTGAAATATCAATATATATATATCATTATTTGCATCAATATTGCGAAATTCCCTACCTGTGGGCAATAACATAGAAATTTAACAGTAAGATTGGAAATGAAAAGAGAAAAAAATATTGAAAAAAGTATGGTCAGAAAGAATATCAGACTAGCTATGAATATGGCTGGATCACAACATCGACAATGCTTTGATTATAAAACACTAGAACACACCTGCGACATCGCGGGTCCGTGACTGAATTAAAGTACCTATGCCTTATTTTCAGCCTGGATTTTTAGTATTCGTTTTGTTATTAGATATAAAAGTCATGCTGATTATAAGGTGCACAGTTTTCTCTGCTTCAAAATCTTTCTGTTTGAATCCATCCTGGTTTTCTTACTACAACCGGAAACTACTTGTAGATATATTTTTTTGGTCAGTGATTGAATTTAGTAGTGTCAATTCCTGTAGAATGACAAAGTTCGGGTGTGACCTGTGTATATAGCAAATCCCAAATACACCGTTTGGTGGTGCGCCTGACAGAGGCGGAACATACAGATTAGGTAACAGGTAACAGGTACTATTGGTATCTGTATCGGATGCAACCTTGACTTTTAAATTATTGGTGATGTTAATTATGTTGAAAACAAAAGGGCCTTGAATGGTGTAATTTTTAATCAAGACCATTGTCCTATATTAGTTATATATAAATTTTAATTCTTTGATTAGATGTTTTTATGTCATGCCGGCTAACAAATTGGACCTTGTTATTTTAGTAGTATAGATATATCATAGGTCTATATCACCAAAGTCTGGGACAAGTTCGAAAATCAGTGCCAATCAATCATTTTAAAAGAGTTATGCCCCTTTGAAATATTAACCATATGGAAAATTGCATTGTTAGCACTCTCATGTGTACAATACTTCCCCGGTTTTTATGATACTCTATCATAGGTGTATATTAGCAATGTCTCAGACAAATGCTAAAATCAGTGTCGATCAATTATTTTTAAAAGAGTTATGCCCCTTTGAAATATTAATTATATTTAAAATTGCATTGTAGGTGCTCTCATGTGTACAATTTTTGCCAGATTTTTATCAAATTTATATCAAAGGTTTATTAAAGCAATGTCTCAGACAAGTTCAAAAATCAGTGCCGATCAATTATTTTCTAAAGAGATATGCCCCATAAGTTTTAAAAACAGAAAAAAAAATTTTTTTTTAAGTTACTGCCCTTGGATAGATAAAATATGTGCAACACGGGGGACATTGGAACTCTGTTCTGTTCTTTTATATTTACTGCAGTATAGATTACTTTATGGAATTAAGACAGTTTCAAAAGCAATGTTGTTTATCTCATTCTTGCAAGGATTTCTTGTCATGAATTTTTATATCCTTCAATGTACAAGCTAGAAATTGGTTTATAGGCTTTCAATTGATGTATAACAAAATGCCATTAAAGCCAGATTTAAATTATAAGACAAAGTTGAACTCAGCTTATGTGATGAACTTTTCTGTTCCTTGGCAAGAACTACTAGTTTTTCTGCTGAAAGTCAGTTGTTTTCTCCAGGTACTCTTGACATCTTCCACCAATAAAAACTGGCAAAAGGATATATTCATTGTTGCTGAAAGTTTTTTTAAATGCCAAAAAAACAAAAAACAAAAAAACTTTAGGTTTCCAGACTCAAAATATATGAGTGATAAACAATATCTATACCAAAATCTGGAAATTTTTAGATTTTCATGATTTTATTTTAAAAATGTTAACATCAAAAGAACCCATTACAAAAACTTTAAAAACCCAGAGATTGCAACTCAGCTAAAGCTGAATTCAAAACATCAAGGAAGCGCAACAATTAAGAAAACAGAAGAAATATTAAAAAAATGCCCTGCACTTGGATACCAAATAAGTTTTAAAGTACTTTATTAGGAGAAAAGTAAATGCAAAATTTTGGAAGGAAAAGTATATACAAATGTATATATCTGGTTTTTTTTCAGAATGGTTTTAGTAGGAATGATGGAGAAAGTCTGAAACATGATATTACAATGTTAACCAGTCAGATTCAAGAACTGAAAGATGAATATGGTCTCTCTAAGCAGGAAAATGAAAACCTTCAGAGGCAGTTACTTTCTCAACAGGATGAGCACAAAAAAACAGTTGATGAATATGCAAATGAGTTATCAGAAATAACTCAAGAGAAATGCAAATATGAAAGCTGGTCAGAAAGACTGGAAGTTACTGTGGAGGAACAAAAGAAAATGATAGAAAATTTTAATCAGAAAGCTGCTGAAAAAGATGAAACCATTGAAAAATGTGAGAGAAATCTTAGAGAACTTGGTGAACAGAGACTGAAATTTGAGAGATTATCTGAAGAACTACAGCTTAGCATTGATGAACAGAAAAAAATAGTAGAAAATTTAATTCAGGCTTCAAATGAAAAAGAAGAGAAAATCAACGAAATGCAAGGTTTAATTGATAATTTAAAGGATGTCATAACAGAGAAAGATGAAGAGATAACAACCTTAGAAGATGCTAATCAGTCTTTATTGGAAAAGGATCAACAAATTGTAGAGTTACAAACTTCTATAGAAAAACTGAAACATACAGTCTCAGAAAAAGATCAGAAAATCATGTCATTGGTTGAAAATCTTCAGGAAGAAGAAGAAACATTATCCCCCTTGGCAGATGAAAATGAATCTCTGTCAGCTACAATTAAGACCAAAGATGCTGAAATAGGTGAAATCAAACAGTCACTGTCCAAGAAAGAGGAAGAACTTGCAGAAATGAAGAAAGCATTTGATGAAAAAGAACTTCAGTTTAAGAAAGCACTGGCTACTGCTAAGAAATTGAAGTTCCAATTACAGAAAACAATCAAAGAGAAGGAAGAAACAGCTAAAGCTGAGGTTTGTATTACTTTAAGTTATGCTGAAAACTTGGTGACTCCTCACAGCAGTAATTTAACTTTTAATGAATAAATGGTTATAGTGTAATAATTCATAACAAAAAAGCCCTATTTGCTCTTGACAAAACCAAAAGCAAAGGAATAGCAATTTGGTTGCTGTATTTCATCTTAATAAGACCTTTAACATGAAGCAAGAGTGCATAGCTCAAGTTGCAAATTCAATATAGCCCCTTACACAGGTTTGAATGGAATTCTTTGCTATAGAGTGTTTTTAAAATAAACAGAAGGGTTAGTTTCTGATCAAGTAAGTCTGGCAGATTGTACAAGACTATCCAAACCACAAGAGATATGATGTGGCTTTTACCTATGAAAGCTGATTTGGCTCTCCACTTGAAATAGCCTGATAAGCCCATCTCAGCCCACTGGTCTGATAATTGCTTTTTCTTTTGTACAATATCAGCAGTGCAAAAACAAGTTTAGCACAATACAATATGTGATAATAATGGTTACAACAGTTATAATATGGTATTAAACTTCAGTGCAATAATGACTAAAATTGTGTCTGAGATCTGAAAATATCAATTATTTGTAACTTATTGCATCAAATTTTAAACTTTTTCTTTACATGTTATGGAGACTTGCCAAATTAAATGTGCTTGGATGAAACATTCTTTTCTTTACTGGGGAATTTGGAACATATTCTTTATTATTCTACATTCAATTTTTTTCCTCGAAAGTAAATTATTTGACATTCAAAAAAATCAATTATAAGATAAAGAGTTATGATCATATGTCAATGAGGCAGCAATCTTAAGACAAAAAATAACAGACAGGACATCTAGAGGTCAACCTGTACCCTTACTAGAGGTCAACCTGTACTCTTAATAATGGACAACATATTAGTGTTATATATATATATGAAATAATATGAAGTGAAAAGGGTATTTTATTCTTTTATGAAGTAAACAAATGCATTTAATATTATTCTTTTATTCAGGGTCATGGAGAAGAGGAAAGTCAGACTAAATCAAAAAAACTTCAAAGCAAACAGGCAGAATTATTGGAAGTCAAAGAACTCCTGGAACAGAAATCTTCTGAAATAGAAACATTATCTAGTCAATTATCAGCAAAAGAACACCAGTATACAGAAATGCAAGAGAAATTCAAAACATTATCTGAATCTTCAGTAGTATTGGAAGAAACAAAATCAGAATTAGAAAATCAGTTGTCAGAATTGTCACAAAAATATGAAGAAGTTTCAAATGATTATGTTGCTGTAAATAGCTCTTTAGAAAAATCTCAGTTGGAAGAACACGATGAAAAACAGGAACTTCAAGAAAAACAATCAGAAATTGAAAGATTATCAAGAAAAGTTATAGAGTTGGAAAAAATAACAGAAGAAAAAGAAAGTTATGTAAAAGAAATGGAAGAAAGAGTAGGAAATTTTGAAGAACTGATACAGTCTCTTCAACAGGAAGTCAGAAAGCAGACGGCATCAGTGGAACAGCTACAGAATGATGTAAAACAAGGTCAAATAGAAAAAGGGCAATTTGCAGAAGAAAAACAAAGTCTTCAAAAAAATCTGGAACAAACAGCTTCAAAGATTGTAGATTTATCAAATCAGTTAGCATTTCATGAAGAAAATTTATCTCAATTTGCTCACAGTCTCAAACTACTCACACCTCATTTACATCATATAGATTTCCAAAATTTGAATCAAGTTTCTGAAATTATAAAAGATGTTATCGGAACATCAGAACAGGAAATTAGTGTCCTAAAACAAAAACTAGAAAGTAGTGAAAAGACTTTGAGGGATGAAATTGAAAAGAAAGTTGAAGGGTTACAAAATATTTATGAAACTAAATTAACCGATCAAACAGAAGAAAATCAGTCTCTGCAAGAGAGAATGTCACAACAGAACCATCAGTATAAAAAAAGTATATTAGAAATTGAAAATAAATTAGCCAATCAAGCAGAAGAAAAACAGTTATTACAAAGTCAGTTTTCTGACCAGATAACAATAATTCAAAATGCAATTGAATCCAAAGAATCAGAATTAATTGAGCAGTCAACAAAAAATGAAGCACTGAAGAATGAAATTTTGGAATTAACCAATCAGGTAAAAAATATTGAAAAATTAAAATCAGAGAATTTATCTTTACAAAAACAGATTAAAATTTTAACTGAAGGAAACAATAGTCTTCTCAGTGAAAAAGAAATGCTTTCAAAACAGATTGAAGAACTCAAACTGTCTACAGGAAATATTTCTAAAGAAAAAGACGAGTTAGCAGTGACGATTGAAAACGTTTCAAAGGAAAATCATGAACTTAAATTATGTGTTGACAGACTAACTACAGAAAAGCAAGATTTGGAGTTATCTGTCTCTGCATCAACAGGTGACAACAAAGACTCTGAGACAGCAATGAGTGAACTTTTACAGCAATGTCAAAAACTGCAAGCACAATTAACTGAAATTACAGCACAGAATGAGCATTTACGAACAGAAGTTAATAGTTATCAGGAAAAAGTAGACCTGAGTAGGTCAGAATTATTATCTAAAGATAGTACTAGAGTGGAGTTAGAGGAAAAACTATCTCAGGCAACTGAAGAAATTCTTAATCTGAAAGGAGAATTAGAAAGTAGAACTGAATCACTTCAGAGGCTACAAGAACTAGAAAATACATTAAATTCAAATGCTGACACAGATTCTCAGGTAAAAATAGAATTAAATAGTGAGCTTGATAAATCTCAACAGAAAATTCATGATTTGGAAACAGATGTCGAAAATTTAAAGCAAGATATAGTTAAACTGACAGAGAAATGTAATATTCTAAGTCAAGATAAAACTGAACTAGAAACTAAATACAATATGTTAAATGAAAGAAAAGAAGAAGTCACAGAGAAAATGGATAAAGATATAGCTCATGTTACTGACATGGGATGGGGAGATACCATAGAAAAGGTAGCCATTGAACCACTTAGACAGTCAGCACCAGAATATGGTCATGATTCTCAGGTCCATGATGGCTGGGGTGATGCTATCCAAAAAGTACAAGTTGAGCCCCTAAGGCAGACTGCACCTAAAGAAAATCATGAAATTCAGGCTCTTAAAGATGAAATTCAAACTTTACATAAGAATTTGTCTGTAAATGAGACAAAATGTGAGAAGATGTTAACAAAACTTAAGGCATTCAAGGCTAAAAATCAGGCTTTACAATCAGAACTTGATCAGGCTAAAGAAAAACTTGCTGAGACCACAACAAATTTGGAAAGTGGTAATGCTAATGCAGAGACATCAATCAAAGCTTTGAAAGGAGAAATAGAAAAATACGAACTGGAATTTAAAAATATTAAAAGAGAAAAAGACGAAGTGATACAATCTTTAGACACAGAAAAATTAAAGAATGAAAAATTGAATACACATGTGTTAGAAAATGAGACAAAATATAAAAGCCATATCGAAGTTTTGCTTCAGCAAATTGAAACTGAAAGTTCTGAATTAACAGAGTTGAAATCTCAAAATCTTAAATTATCTGATGATTTTCAAATATTAAAACAGGAGAATTCTAAATTATCAGAATCTTTGAACCAAGCATTGAAAGAAAAAGAAACACTTCATGTGGAAACAGAAATTTTACGATCCGAAATTGAAATCTTGGAACGAAAGAAAACTGATAATGAGAGAAAAGTAAAGGAAAATCAGTCGTTGTGTGATGAACTAGAATCTGAGTGTAAAAGTTACAGGGAAATTGTTGCTAATCTAAAACAAACATTGAATCGTGAAAAAGAGGAACATTTTCATAAAATCAAACAAATTCAAGATGGAGGTGGAGATGTCAATGAGTTGAAAAATAAGATCTCAGAACTAGAACAAGAAAATACTCAGATAGCTACTTTGAAAACTAGAATATTGGAACTTGAATCAGAACACGAACAAATTATGGAAGAAATGGATGGCCTAAGAGAAGATCTGATCAATGAAAAGAAAGACTCAAAGGAGAAAATAGAGAACTTGAAGGCTGAATTTAAAAATGCTCAAGTAGCTGATAATGTTGATGATTTGAAAAGAGAAGTTGAAAAGTTACGAATATTGTGTAAGCAACAACAGGTGGAAAGAGAAGGACTTGACTGGAAACTTCAGGAAATGACATCCCTAGAAGAAGAGATTGAAGATCTTAGGCTAGAACTAGAAAGTACACGGAAGGAACACAAATCTGGCATCAATGAGGAAAATTGGAAAAAAATGAAAGAAGATCTTGATCAAACTAAGATAGCACTGAGAAAGAAAGAAACAGAATTTGAACATTTGAAACATGGAAAAACAGCATCTTCTTCAGACGATCGTGTGACTGACCTTGAAGAACAATTGGAACTTATAAATGAAGAGCTCAATGAAGTCATGTCTGAGAATGAAAGGTTGAAATCTAACCCTGCGGCAATGAAAGAACAAATGTATGATACATTACAAAAACAATTTTCTGACCTGGCTGAAAAATACAGTACTGCAATGGAAGAAAATGAAAACCTTAAAACTGAGCAACTAAAAAAATCTAAAGACTCTGGCAGACCTCATGTGGTAGCGGACGATTCCAAAGTAACAGACTTGGAGGAACAGCTTCAATTGATCAATGAGGAACTAAATGAATTAATGTCAGAAAATGAGAATCTAAAGCAAGGTGCTGGTCCTGATAAAATGAAAGTACAAATGTTTGACAAGTTACAGAGTGAGTTTGAAGAACTGAACAAGAAATTTGAAACTCTAGAGAAAGAAAATAATAATCTTATTAAGCAAGCTGCAGAAAATATTCAGGCTGATAACTCAGAAGTTGAAGGATTGAGAGAACAGTTAGATATCATAAATGAGGAACTGAATGAACTGATGTCAGAGAATGAAAGGTTAAGATCAAGGACAAGTCCACAAGAAATGAAGGTCAAAATGTTTGATTCACTACAGAAAGAATTCCAAGAGATGGGAGAAAAATATTCTGAGGCTGTGAAAAATGTTGATAATTTGAAAAATGAACTAAAGGAAAAGGATTTAACAATAAGTTCTCTCAAGAATAATTTGGATGTGAAAAAGGTTGTGGAGGTTGATGAAAATATCAAACGTGAACAGGTACGACATGTTGGAAAATCTCCTGATTCTAGTTCAAGAGAAAATGACATGATGAAACAGGAAAATGAAAAGTTAAGACAATTGTTAGAAGAAAAAAGTGCAATGTTTGATAAATTACAAACTGATTTAAATAGTATGAATGCAGAATATAGTAAGATTATTAATGACAATTCAAACATGGCAAAGCAAATAGAAGAACTTCATCAGAGACTTCTTAAACAAGGTGAGTCTCAAAAAGATGTTTCAATAATCAAAGAAGAAAGAGACCATTTTGAAAGAGAAAAAGACAGACTAATCAAACATATATTAGATCTTGAAAAACAAATAGAAACAAACTCTGATCAAAACGTTCAAGTGAATCAGGAATTACTAAGAGTTGAGGGAGAATTACAACAGTTAGTGTTTGATAATAATACCCTACAGTCTCAGTTAAATCTGTCCAATAAGGATGGAAAAGAGACGAGTAGGTTTCAGGCAGATTATGACCAGTTACAGAAACAGTTTAATGTGGCTATGGGACAGAAGAATCAGGCTCAAACAGAAAGTAACCAGTTAAATCACAGATTACAGCAGAGAGAAGCCAGATGTCAACAGCTTGCACGACAGGTATGTAAATTGTCAATTGTAGTTTCAAATTTTCTAATAACATAAAAAGGTAAACTTGAGTAGTTGTTGAGAGTAGAAAAATTTAAAAAAATATTGATTTGGGTTTGATAATTGCTAAGTACCTACAGAGCTAGTGCTTTAATATTAATTTTTCAATCTTATAATACAAAGAATTTATATATTTTTTTCATAAAGCTTTAGAATTTATTAGTTCTAATCCATAGCAGAAATGTGTTACACTCAGATTCAGCAAAAAAGTTATCATCAGATTAAATATTATGCAATTTGTTTCAAAAATTGCTTATTGAAAACTTGTTCAACAAAATTTTGAAATATCCATCCTCTTTTGAACATTCTATTGATAAAATGATGCAATGTTTAGTAATCATCAATCAATCAAATGATGAAAAAATTGTGATTGTTGAATTTTACACATGCATAACAATCATTTTTGCATTGCATGCCTTAAACATGGTAGATACCTTACTTACTTGCACATATTAGAAAATAAAATGTTTATGTGAACTATTTAAATCCCAGAATTAGCTACATGCCAATTAATTTTACAGGTGAGCCAGTTAGCAGAGGACAGGAGTCATCTGAACAAACAACTTGGTAACTTTTCGCAGGCTCTTAGAGGGAGAGAACAAGAGTTGAGTTCTCTACAGCAACAATACAGGTTGTTGTACCAGTCTCACAATGAACTCCAGGCTAAGGTTGGTTCATTTTTTAAGTTTATTTGGCTTTAACATGAACATGAACTGAGGGTTCTCTATGATACAATGGTCTTAATAGTTGAGTAAAATCTACATTAATAGACCCCTTGAGATTATTTAGTATAACTCTGATGAGAGGAGTTCAAAACTGTTTCCAGTCTTTTTCAAACTGACAAAGTGCATTTAGTCTAACTATATGCAGTTAGGTTTATAAGTTGTTGAAATTCAGAGGTTATTCAATGAAACGGATGATTTTATAACTGTATAAGTGTATAGAATGTAGTGTTAATCACAACAAAACAAAAACAAAATGATTGATATGGTACAAAGCATACCAGACAAACTATGCATTTTCTTAATATCAGTATCTTAGTATACAAGAATCAACTTATGTTTCTTAAATGATAAAAACTAGCACCCATAAAAAATAGATAGGTATATGTAATATACAAGTGAGATGTGTGTACATCAATGCAAAACCATACAAAATCTGTGAATATAAATTTAATCAATTCTCATGCTCTTAATGTCATTTCATGCTGGAAATAACTACCACTAAATGTTAGGAAACCAACAATCAATCAATCATAATTATGCCACCAATCCTAGAGAGGGTGTTTTACTGCAACTACTTTGTTTGTTGGTCTGTCCCTTTTGTGGGATATTTCTTAGCTTTGATGTTGTGGAATTACTTGATATTTTATCTGGAATTATATAATGTTGAGTTACCATGTAAGCGATTTTTCAGATTTGACAGATAGTAACTATCTATTTAATAAAGACAATGTCATTTAATTTCTATTAAGTCTACTCAGCATGGAATTTTTTTTTATCAAAAACCATATGAGTTTGGGTATTCTTTGTAGGACTGCAAGTAAATTTTTTGCTTTATTTTGTATTTGTTAAAAATGGAGGTATTGTTTCAAATAATTGGTGTTATTGAAACATCATAGTTATGTAAAAGTAGAGATATTCCTTTCATCTTGCAGTTAATTTCATTTGAAAGAAAAGCTACGTCTGAGAAAATTCAAAAGGCTAATGCTATAGAATTATCAGAGGTGAAAGTTGAAAAGTTACCAGATATACCAAGCTCATCCAATGACAAACCACTTCGACAGACATCGGAAGACATGAGAATGGAAAACAAAGAATTTGAGGCCAGGTTTGTTCATATGCATATTAGTCTGTAAAATAAGAAACAATGTAGATGAGACATAAGTGTGCTGTTCTAATAACATCAGTCTAAGCTAGTTCTACAAAGCATAAGACCTCAAAGGTTAATCTATGTTTTGTATTCAGATGCCTTAAGCCTTGAATATGCTTAAAATTTCATCCTGTGTGGTCAAAATGTTCAGGTTAAAAAAAATATTTGTTGCCAAGTTTCTGTTTTAATGAAAATTATTCAGTTATTTCCTTTCATAACTATTCAAAGGGCGACAACTTTGATTTACTTCCTTTTATTCTGCATAAATAAATGAATGTATTACCTTCCTTGGTAACATACAAGTTTTTGCTGTTAGAAATAAATTGGCAAGATATTGCAATGGATTAAATTAATGAGATATTTTATTATAGACTAGCAGACTTTGCCAGAGTGAGAACCCAGTTAACAGAAACAAATGAAAGGTTGGAAAAGACATTACTAATGGAGCGAGAGCAGAGAGTACAGACTGAAGAAGCTCTGTCAGCTGTTCAGGCTAGGCTGAGGTGTATAGAGACAGGAGATGAGGTAAGTGTACAGACAGGAGAAGCCCTGTCATCTGTTCAGGCTAGGCTGAGGTGTATAGAGACAGGAGATGAGGTAAGTGTACAGACAGAAGAAGCCCTGTCAGCTGTACAGGCTAGGCTGAGGTGTATAGAGACAGGAGATGAGGTAAGTGTACATACCATAGAAGCCCTGTCAGCTGTTCAGGCTAGGCTCAGGTGTATAGAGACAGGGGATGAGGTAAGTGTACATACAAAGGAAATCTTTAACATTACCTTATAGATTATACATAGCAAAGTTTATATCATATGGTTTATAAGTCATAGTTACCTATTTAACTATTGTATCTCTTATAGGTTTTAAAATACATCACCTTATTCTAGTAATATGAATTGTAACTTATTGGTAAATCATTAAAAACAAATGGGTTTAAACAATACTTAAGCTAACATTTTTAATAGAACATCCTGCATTTAAAATATCGAAATATTTTTAAAAAGGCACAAAATATGAAAATATTGATTCAAACACTGGTTGTTGGTCTATTTAAAAAAGTGTTCATTATTGATATTAAAGTTATATACTTTTACCAACAGTTGAAGTTGGATATGGGTGAAGATGATTATGATGATGACAGAATTAGAGAAGAAAGTCCAATGTTATGTAAGTCTTTAGAATAGAATTTAGATAAAAACTTAGACCTCAACTTAGGAGAATGTTGAAAGTACCTGAATTTGTCTATTTTGATTCCAATAGTGATGATTTATGGGATTCCCTTATGTGTTCATCACCCTGCTCATTTCTGTATTCAATTCCATATTACGGCATGGTGATATCAAATGTATTTGACCTATATTTCATAAATGATCATTTGATAAAATACAAGCAGTGATATTTTGTTTGTTAAGGTGTATGAATACCAGTAAAAAGTATAGGTAATGCAGAAAACAAATAATTAACAGGGCCTGGTGATGATTCATAGCCTGACCTGTTTCGGTCCTTCATGGACCTTATTCAGAGGCAGAATGATGGATTGATAATGGCACTCTATTCAGGGTTTCCACTGGGTCAATTTTCTTTTTAGCCACCCATTTCCCCAAAACAATATTTTCCCCCACTTTCAGTTTTTTTCTCACCAACTTATTTTACTCCTTTCTAACAAGTTAAATTTCAATTTGCAGCATGAATGTCCATCTATGTGTAACATTGAGTCCCAGTGTACATTAATCCTACATCTCTATTTCCTCATCAACATTTTGATAAATGAACACTGAATTAGAATAATAATTTTTATTTACATTTATGAATTCTGTAAAATTACATTACAAAGGCAATAAAACTGTACAACTACCCCCTTTTCATGGTTATAGGAGTGCCAATAATTATATTTATATCGGAAAAAATCAGCATCTTCAATCTATTTATTGGATAATTTCTGTGTAGTTCTAGGGCTTCAAATAAATCTTTAAGATTTTTCCTAATTTTGTAGATGTTTAAAAAAACAGCTTTCTTTTCTGGTTTATCGTTAAAAGTAAAATCTATAACTATGCTTAAAGCAGGAGCGCAATAATCATTGGGAAGTGCCAACTGCAAAACTATTATTTTAAAAACAACTCATTTAAATGACATGGGAAGCCATTTGTCCACACAATTTTATAAACAATACAATTTTAAAACACCTTTTTATTGATTATTTTTTTTTCTTGATAGCTATCAAATGCTTTTACTTTTTCCAGTCATCTGATTATAGATTTTCTGTCAAGATCCAGTTTGATTTAAAAAGCCGATTGATAAGTGAAAAATCAGAGAGACCTGTAAAAATAGACAAGTTGGACGATGTCAAACTGCTATTATTCTTTTGCAAAAAACTTTCGCCCATAATAAAAAAAATTCCCACAATTTTATATTTTTCGCAAGATGCGAAAATAGCGACCCTGAGCGGAAACCCTGACTTTATTTGTATAGTGTCTGAAAGTTATACGTAACCAGATAATTATCCGTTCAGTTAAATATCTGGTGGAATTTTCATCTGTTAGGGTAAAGTTCTTTCAATTGATTTTGTATGTTACGGTAAACATTAAACCTAATTATATAGGTTACTGTAAACATCTACCAACATTTGGGCTCCTATCTTTCATTTAAATTATACATGTTAGTTATGTAGTCTTGATGTTTTGGCTTTATATGATTTGCTGAAATATCAAGTCTTTTAAATGAAGCATTATTGTAGCCTTCAACTTTATTCAACTGATTTTGAATGTTATGATAAACTTTAACCCTGATGATAAATGATAAATTAGGTAAATATCTAACCAACATTTTGGCTTCTGTTTGACTTCATTAAAATTATCATGGTAGTCATGCAAGTCTTGATGTTTGGCTTATGATTTGCTGAAATATCAAGTCTTTGAAATGAAAGCATTATTTTAGCCTTGATACCTCCCTTTAATGTTAAGGGTAAATTTCAATGTAAATTTGTTTCTAATTAATCAAGTGTGATGAGTTCAAACAACATAAGTTCGTAATCTGTGTATTACTCATCATGTTCAGGTGATCACTTGGCTTACCAGATATTTAACTGAAAGAATAAAAATTATTCAGCAACGTATAACAGAAAATTATCCAGTTACAGATAACTTATAGAAACTATATATATCCATAATTCTGCTTCTGAAGAAGGTCCATGAAGTACCAAAAACATTTAGACTACAAATCATTACCAGGGGCTAGATAAATAAGGAAGGAGTAGCTCAACAGTAAAGTTTACGAGGATTTTGAAATAGGTTCATGAATATTAATTAAGATTTTTTTTATTTGTGATAACAAATGTTTTATATTATGTCATATTAATATTTTTTAAAAGCTGCAATGCATTGAGTTCTATATGTTTGTTTGTCTATCAGTCTGTCTGTACTCTGTATGTACAACTTTTCTTAAACTAAGGAATGGATTTGAATTTTCATTGTGCAACTTCTATTTTTTAATATTTTATCTGAATGATTTATGGTGTTTCCCATAGCAAAACATGGGACTTTGCAGTGCTTATTTAAGGGATAGGCTTCTAGTATCCTTAACTCCTACATAAGCACATGATGAATCTTATTGAAATTTTACAGAATTTCTCCTTTATCATTGCATTGTACACTTCATAATCTGTTGTCTTATCCCTACATTTTGCGTGCTCCCCATAGCAAAACATGGAATTTGTTTCTAATGGGATAGGTAACTAGTATCCTTAAGTCCCCCAGAACAACTTGCTGGATTTCAATTAAATTTCAGTAAATGTTTTATTTTAATGATCAAAATTATTTTTGAGCATATCCAATATATCTCATAGCAAATCATATAAACTTGCTTTATCTATACAAATGAGGAGTGTCTATAAACTTGTGAGCTCTGTTGAAAGTTTTAAGAGTTTATTAGATAAACCGTTATTCTCAATATATATTATAAAGCATTTGAGATTTAACTCCCCAGTTCGATTTACTTTCAGTGAGAAATGATACAACCTATTTCTGCAGAATGACAAGATGGCTGAGAATACAGAAGTACGTATTGTATTTTGTTTTCTTTTCTTAAAGCCTTATGAAATGTTCTTTGAATTTATTAAAAAAAATGCCTCAAGATCCCTTAAGCACATATATACACTTGGGAGTTTGGAAGGAAGATGTACAACTGTAGTAGTTTTTTTTTCAGACCAGTTTGTATAAGTATGTGGTCATAGCTTTACTGGAACATTCCTACAATTTTTATCATATCACACTTGCATATATAATAAAACTATAATGTAATTAGGGGGATGAAGTCTATTTGAAAGTCAAAAATAAAGAAGTAAATGGAGCATCAAAGTAGTAAACATTGTCCTTGACCTCATTTTATTGCCATTGTTCAGTTACTGCTTTCAAAAACTGTATAGATTTTTTAACATGTAATTTTCTCACTTGTTATGGGTAATATAATAACTGTATTTGGTATACAGAATCATAGCAAGATCAACATATGTATCAGACAATGACTTTGACCTCATTTCTTTAATCAGTGGTCCACTTTAAGTGTTCATGGTTAGGTCTATTTCTCAGATATTGTAAGCAACATGTCAACTAAATTTGGTGTATGGAATGATTGTAAGGTGCAAATGTTTTATCAAGCCGGGGTAATCTTAACCTTGACCTCATTTTCATGTTTCATCGGTCAATCTTATGTTTTCATGGTTAGTTTTGTATCTCAGATACTATAAGAAATGGGTGAACATTAGTTGGTGTATGGAATGATTGAAAGATGTACATGTCCATTTGACAAGGTTCATCTAATGTTTACCCCATTTTCATGGTTCATTGGTCAACATTAAGTTTTAGTGATTAGGTCTGTTTCTCAGATACCATTTATATAAGCAATAGGTGAATATATTTGGTATATGGATTATTGAATGATTGTAAGGTGGGCATGTCTGTCTGGCAGGATTCCTCTGACCTTGACCTCATTTTCTTTGAGCATTAATGTTAAGTTAGTGTGATACCTGTAGTAAGAGATTGATCTTTGAAAGACTTTGTACATAAAATTCAATCATGACCAGAGCCTACGGTCATTAAACTTTACTCGGTACTCAGAGTACAAAATTTGAGCTTGAAACACAAAATTCAGTATTTGAATTGGTTGATTTCTGTCGGAGTCTGAGTACAATATAGTAGTGACGAGACATTTGTGAACACTGGTTTTAGAATTAATTGTTCATAAAACATATAATTGTATTTTGCAATACCTAAATAGTGCAAGACTTGGGAACTTGAGTGATTTTTCAGCAAATTTTTTAAAGAGTTTATAAGTTTTGTGTAATCAACTCCTCCTACAGTTTTCAAAGCAGATCCATGAAACTTCACAGGAAGATTGCACATATATTGAAGTTGTGCGACTGCTATTATGGAATTGTTTCAGTAATTATTTTTCATTTTCCAGACTTTGGGAAATGTTTAGTAACGAGTATCTCCATTCTGTGCAAATTGGCCATTTTAGTCTTTGATCTAAGAAAATGTTATCAGAGTATCTGTCAGCTGTATACTAATTGTCTCCATTTGTTTTATTTCAGAGAATACTACTGTGTATCTGGCCGACAGCTGACCCGTCTGATGAGACAACGACCTGGTATACGGAAAATGATATGGGTCTACTTCATTTTCCTGCATTTAATGATGTTTGCTTCTATATTTGGCTTAATATGACCACATATCTACTAGATATTATCTAGTCATTCTTTAAGACATTAATTACATGCATAATTATTTATTGTCTCTCATTGTAGATATCAAAATATTGTTTTTGTTTTGTAAAAAAATGTTATAATAGTATGTTAACCAGACTTGTTGTGTACATTTGTACATAGATCTGTTGATACCACTTGCTACAAAAAAATATTGATGCAGAACTTGTATTTGTTTTAAATTGTGATATATTGGGCAGCTTTCAAGTTTTGTTTTGTTTTTACATTTTTCAGACAAAAAAAAGGAAATCTTTGAATAATGTTAAAGTTTCTAAACACATTCCTAATATATAATTCTTTATCTGTAGATTAAATAATTCTTAAGAATTTACTTATTGATTTTCAGTTTGAAATTAAAGATAAGACTATAAAAGGCTCTTGCTTTCTTCTTATTAATAGGTATATGAGCTGTGTCAGATAGAAATCGACCTAATGCAAGTGCACATATACATGTACATGGATAAGACTTTGATTGATTTTGGAACAATCAAATATGAGATAAAAGAGGAATTTTGGTCTCTTTTGTAGGGTTCTTATATCAACTCAATTTTCAAACAGTTACATATTGTGCATAGAGATTTTTCAACCCGAAATAGGTTCACTGATGTATTGATATTCATTTGCATAAGGTCGATTTCTATTCGATGCAGCTCATATAATTTGTTACGTCATCAAAATGAATTAGCTATTTGTGCGGTAATGGAAATGATATGAATTAAGTGTTTTATAAATTGTAGATCTAATGTATATTGATTTAACTAAACATGTACATGTAACAAAATTTAAAAAGCAAAATAAGACCCTAATCACTCATACCTCATTCATGTCTACCCTATGTGTTTTAACCTCATTATATGTTGTTTGTTAAAGGTCTGTATTGCATGCTTTTAAAAATTGATGTTAAAAATTAAAAGTTTGCTCAAAATTTGAGATGAAAAGTTTTTAAATAGTATATATATTTATTGGTTAACATTCCTATGAAAAGCACTGTGATAGTTTTCCCAACCTTTTCATGTTGATTTCTATATTTACACTTAGCAGACGTCATAGCAGTTGTTATTATAAGTAATTCTGACACTTTATTTTCATAGAAAGTATTTTTTGTTCGTAAGTTCAAAATAGATTGTTTTTCCTAAATGAAGAAATCATGAATAATGTATAGTGTATGTTAAAAATTGACATTTCATTGGATTTCATATTGTTTGCCATTTATTTAAAAACTTTGTATGTATATATATGTAAATGGTGTGAATTAATTATAATTTTGTCTGCAAGTTGTTTGTATGAAGTGATATTTTTGTCTTGAATAATCATTACTTTTTCTTGGGTGGTGAAATTATGAGGATATTGAATTAAGAGTAAGAAATTTTTTTTATAAAAATAAATTGAAAGAAAATCTGTTTTTATCATGAATTGCATAACTTTATGTATAGTTTTAACTTTATTTAATTATAGGAGTTATTTTAAAAACTAGATATTAAAAAATTGTTCAAATTTTGCAATTATATAAACTGTATCTGTCAACTGTGTATAATCAATTAAAATTTAATCCATTCAAATCATTCAGTTATTATACTATGCTCATGTAAAATAAATATTGATATCTAGTTATTTCAACAGCTTGTCTGTGTAACAAAAAACTATTTAACTGTGTACTTAATGATCTTTAATATATCTAATCTTTGTATTTATTGTATACCAAAGAATTCATTTTTTCTGCTATTCTTCATTTAAGATTATCCCTATTTATATAAGTTTAAGAAATATCTCCACACAAATAAGGTAATAATAACAGATATGGAAACAGATAAGCAAGGATGTGTCATCATAACACATAGATTTATTTATAGACAATTGTCTTCTGTTGAAGACACTAAGTTGAGAAATAGATATCTTGGTTTTATTGTGTTGTTGGATTCCTGTCTCATTTATTGTATGCACCACATCTCCTTTGATTTAAATATAGTAATGATAAATTTTAAGCAGTTTATTATCCTAAAGTTGATGATTTCTGTTCAGTTTTATAGATTCTCATGAAATTAATGACGAAAAAAGTGGAAGTAGAGTAAATGTATGGTGGGTTGAAACCACTATCACCTGATGATGATTAAAAATAGAGAAAAAAAATCCTCATGACAAGGGAGATTCCTGGTATACATGCATGTCAGTGAGAAAGCAATTCAGCAACACAAAAAGAGGGGGGGGGGGAGACCCCTTTCTTGAATGTAGATTGGTTAGTGATATTTTTAATGGATTTTATCCTGAATTATTGTGTGTGATATAGCTATGTAAATTCATTATTTCTCAATTCATCATTAAATGTATAGGTTGTTATAACTATGTCAGTTAGGTTATCATTCTTTTGACAAATATGTCTTCATTTACATGAATTTGAAATTAAGGTATAAGAATAAAGGTGCATGTAAAAAAATACATCAATTTGATTTCTGAAAAGATATGATATATTTTGAAAAAAAACAGCATTGTGTATGAAACTATGGCCATATGTAAATAATGTGTTCAAATGGTATTACAGTAGGTCACAGTTTACTGAACATATCAGTGGAAAAAACAATGTGATATCAAATAAATCTGGGGAAAAACTTGTGTTTTAATTTTTCATCCTTTCTTCCATATATTTAATTCGTCTCCCATCTTGCGGCTTTGTTTGCTTACCTGCATCCAGTTAATTTGATATACACAATGGGAATCCAGTGAATTTGTTTCCCTTCTCAAACCCATTGAATTTGTCATCTTTTCTTTTATCCAATGAAGTTACCATCTCTTTTTAAACCAAATCTAGTTTATTAACAATGCCCCCTTCTTGCATCAGTTATTTTGCCTTACCATTTGATACGTCCATGCTTTATGATACATCTTTAAACGAAGAGAATGAATCAAGGGAAGGGGGGGGGGGCAGGGGGGGAAACATTCAAAAACCAGTAGGCAAAGAAAGAAAGACCTACAACCCCATTGCCAATAGAAAAAAGAGGAACATGTAAAAAGCAATTGTCCACAAATCACCAACAGAAAACCAAAGGTACATCAACACAAAACCTCCCCAGAATTTGAGATGAACTCAGGTGCTTCGAGGATCAGTTCCTGCTCCAATGTTGAATTCTGTCAAAATGTGAAACCTTTCTAACAGCCATATTATTTGTTGTCCCTTCAAACAGCCAGTTAATTTGTCTTTTCTACAAATATCCATTTAACAAGTACAAAATGTAGTTAACCCTAATATTTAAAGTATTTATACAACCTAAAAAAAATTAACAAATCCAACAAAATACTTTCTAATCAAAAGATAGTGTCTAGTGCAAATTTATTTTCTATCTTTTTTTAGCTCACCTCGACCTGTGATCCAGGTGAGTAATTGACTTCACTTGGTGTCCATCCACATTTTTTTTGGGCATGAACATTTCACAAATCTTTGCTGAAGGATTCAAACCAAAACTTTGTGTGAATGTGTCTTGTAGTATCTAGTTATCTTGGATTTGGATTCTCCAACAAACATGACTGTCGTTACTGATAATAGAACAAAGAGGTTTAACATCAGTTTTGGCTTATGTCTAAAAAAAAATAAAGCAGTTAGAGTAAAACTGGGTAAAATGATAAACAGCATAAGGTATACCAACCTTGAAATTTTAAAACAAATCTGGTAACAGTTACTTTAATAAAATCTTGAACAGCTGCACAGATTTGAACCAAATTATGTTTGGAGTAGTATATAAAATTATATTGGAGGTTCTGATTCAGCAAGAAATATGGCTGGTATTGCTAAAACAAAACATGAGGTCTACTGCAGTTTAGGGTTAAATCTCAAAAGTTTTCAAGAATTAAAAAAATCTGGCAGGTATAAAATGATGAGCATACAAACATCTCTTAACAAAATTATAAGAACTAGTGCAAAAATAATCAACACTTATCACATATACAACATTTGCCCTTAAGTTGAAAATAGCACGTCACCATCTACAAAATGTGCCAATAAGTTGAAATCTCTAACAACTCCACGAAGAATTTGGCCATGAAATTATTTTTAGCTTACCTAGTCCAAAGGGTCAGTGAGCTATTCTCATCACTGGGATGTCCGTTTTCTGTCGTTCGTGAACGTTAAATTACACAAATCTTTTCCCCTATGTGTGCTATAGAGAAATAAACAACTACCAATATTGCCTGTTTGGAGCTACAGAAAGACGTAGGCACCTTAGGTATGGGCTAAAACTTGGGGGAATGTCTTTCCAACCTGCCAAAATTCAACATGACTGGTGACCCTAGGTCGCAAAAAGAAGACCACAGAATTTAAGTACACCTCAAAAGGCATAGAACTTGTGTTCTTAAAATCAATAAGACATCTGAGAGTGAACATCAGAAACGATTAAAATGGGACAAAACACATCGATGATATATGTAACAAATCTTTGGGTTGTCAAACGAAATCTTTCATCATGCCCTATGGGGGTAAAAGGGACTAATTCTATTTGACCTAGAATATACGAGAATAGTATGGGACCCTCATCCAATATATAAACCGGACAAACTAAAAAAAGTTCAGAAAAGAGCAGCAAGCACGATTCATAACATCTCGCTTCAGTTACGAACCAGCTAATTTGACTTCAGTATTAAACCGGATTAAGCTAGAATCCCTGAAAGATAGGCGAAGATCAAATATACTGATTTTATTTTGTAAATTCATACGCCATCTACCCGAAATACTCTTCAACAACCAAAAGAACAACAAACAACATGCATATAGTCAACACTTCCTCAGAATTCCAGAAAAGATGGAATCTTTGATTATTCGCTTCCTACCAAATACAATTAATGATTGGAACCGGATATTATCAACAGGATGCAATTCACGGGAGAATCAGCTAAGGTATTCACAGAAATTGGAAGGGGGTCCCAAGTTTGAAGTTAATTATTATAAAAATGAAAAGATATGGTATAATATCCAATGATGCAACTCTCCACCAGAGACCAAATTACGTAGGATTAGCAACTATTAACATTATCAAGAAATGTTATTTCAAGTTTAAGTGCATCTGAAATTACCTTGCTTTTTAAGTCTCTGCAGGAACATATATATAGATATACTGTTCCCAGGTCTCTGCTATGGTGAACATTGGACAATTTCGGCTCCTTGGAGTCTTTAGTTTTTAACACAGGCGATTGGACCCCCGTTTTTATTCTTCTTTTTTAATTCTTCTTTTTCAATTCTTTAAAAGTATTTTTTTAATTTCTTTAGTATACGGATTTATTTTCTCACATTTTAATGGTTTGTTGTTGGCAAATATCTTTACAATTAAACCGGCAATATCAATATTATATGACCGATGCCCCTCTATTAGGACAGATACCGTGGGCAATAGTCAACACTTAAAGATAAAAAAAAACAGTTCATAAAACATTTCGTAACCAAACGCTACTACTAAATAAGTAACAAAAACCTGAATAGATCCGGGCATAAAAACGGTTCGTTTTTATCAACCATGCAATGCTATCAATTTGACATTTTATGCAAAAATATAATTGTTTAACGAACTGGTATTTATAGTACACATCGTTAATGATTTTTTTCCGTTTATGTTCGCATCGGCAGATTTAAATTTAGCATGTATGGTATGTAAGGAAGTTTTAAACTGGTACATATCCTTGTTTTTATATATAAAATCAATTAGCACTTTTTCCGTTGGCAGGTGCCCTCATTCATTTTTAAATCTTTTCAACAAAGACCTACTAGTATATGTGACAGAGTAGCAAAAATGAAGAGACTTAAAGCGTTATTCAGATCTAAGTCTTTAACCAGGTATGTTAGAACTTGTTATTTTAACTAACTTCATTTATAATGTAGAATATATGTTTAACGTCATGTCGTCTTTTAAATTGCTATTATCAGAGACATTTTGTAGTATATCACAGTCTCTGCTATTATTAAGTGTAAATAAAAGGAGATTATGGTGTACGTCAATAAGACAGCAACCGGACGATACAAACAGCCAAAAGATATATAGATACACCATGTGCTTCTTCTGTATATTATGTAATGTGAGATAGCTTGGGAGGAGCGGAGTACTAGTGAAACTTACGAAACCTGCACGTGTTTATTTTGAAATTTTATTCTATTTAAATATGATTAATTACTGAAAAGGATTGTTTCTATTCCTACATTATTTACACCACTTTGTTGTTTCGCCACTGTTTTCCTAAAGTATGCAATGAATTAATATCTTCCTTCTTTAAATTCTGTAATCTTTAGTCTTTGTTAAAACTACCTACCTTCAATTACTTGTTATTATATCCCCACCCCAAAGGAGGGATATATTCCCTTACCTATGTCTGTCTGTACCATGAAATTTTCGTCGCATTTTACTATATGAACTGCAATCAAATATAAAAATAAAAAGATGTGGTATGATTGCCCAATGAGACAACTCTCCACAAGCGACTAAATGACACAGAAATTAACAACTACAGGTCACCGTATGACCTTCAACAATGAACAAAACCCATACCGCATAGTCAGCTATAAAAGGCCCCAAAATGACAAATGTAAAACAATTCAAACGAGAAAACTAACGGCCTTATTCATGTACAAAATAATGAACGAAAGAAAGATATGATACACGGCAACAAACGACACCACTGAATTACAGGCTCCTGACTTGGGACAGGCACATACAGAATGTGGCGGGGTTAAACTAGTTTGAAGGCGTTCTGATACTTTTGTAGCAAGCTTCATGTGAGCATGCTATAACTTATGATGAGTTTCACATTCATCGCCCATCATCTTCCTGTTTAACGCGCAAGTATCGTCCTGAATATGCAGGACATATTTGGCACTGAACGTTAAGCAACTAATAGTTAATCAATGTTTACCGAATACTTAAAAAGCGGGGTATCATCAGTAGGCAATAGCGCACATAACATCTTGTTTTTAAAACATGAAACTCAATCCTCGTCAGATTCACGGTAAACAGGGTAAACCCTTATTTGCGTCAGTTAACATTTTCGATGGTTTTGAAGGACATTTTAACCCTGCACACTTGTACCTTATATAACTGTGTATTAGATTCTAAGATTTTCGATCTGCTGGACTTTCATTTAATGCACAGTGATCTGATGCAATTTGCATATTTTGTTTTATTAACGATTTTTGTAATTTTAGCAATAAATTTGTGTTATGTCTATCTGTATCAGTATTTTAATTAACCGCATTATGTTTGAATAGGTGTAAACAGGCACGATTGCTATGTCAGCAGATCCGTGACCTAATCAATGGCTTTTTGAGCATTTAATATGGCAGTTGCATGGGTTATACCGTATGATTTCCGATGAGACTTGCAAATTTCTTAGGTTTAAGTTTTTCAGTCATCAAATGACGTGTATGTAAACAACTATAGGTCACTGTATGGCCTTCAACGATGCGCAAAACACATACCGTATATAGTAGTTTTTTTCATGTTGGCTTTCAGTAACTGTGATCATTCTTTGGTTCTGTATTAGGAAGTATATTGTTTAACTTGAACCTGTATTTTTGTTGTCTTTCAATAACGATGATACAGACAGAGTAAGTGATTTCTGTAAATAGATGTTTGCGGCTCTAACGTTATATTTGTCTTCTTCTGTCAGTTGTCCGCTGATCCACGCTACATATATATTATTAGTTATGTGGTTTGCTACTGACCCCCTGCGGATACATAGAGAATTAGTAGAATCTATAAGGATGAGGCATGGATCCGTAGTGAACTGAACCGTATAACGAATTTATCGCACACGGGATTTTTCATGCTAAGTTATGTATAAAAATAAACATTGAGATACAATAATAATAATATATGACCTCGTAAAATTTTCCCGAACATATTTGCTTCAATTTAAGTCTTGAAAAGCGCACTTACTACTAGTATACATGGATTATTTGTCTTTAGTATTATCAGTTTAATTGTCATATTAAAACCACAGGCGCTAGAACATGGAACTCTTTTTTCTTTTCCATTTTTTGTGTTTTATTTGCAACGGTTTTTGAACATATATTATATATACATTGTAATACTATTTTCACTTATTTTCGTTTATTTAATGTGTTTTTGCTCTTATCCATACGATAATACAATATCAGTAGTTCATATAGGCTGCCCCTCTTATCAATATTTTCCACAAGGCAGGCGAAAGTAAAGCCATATCTGAGAGAGACAACATATATAGGCAATATGCAAACTACTTTAGTTGTACTATAGTGTGGATAAGAGCATTGAACACATTTAATATAGGTGACATTAGTTAAAAGTTATGAAGAATATATATTTTAAAAAATAAAACAAAACAAAGAGAACAAAAATGTGTCCATAGTACACGGATGCCCCACTCGCACTATCATTTTCTATGTTCAGTGGACCGTGAAATTGGGGTCAAAACTCTAATTTGGCATTAAAATCAGAAAGATCTTTTCATAGGGAACATGTGTACTAAGTTTCAAGTTGGTTGGACTTCAACTTCATCAAAAACTACCTTGACCAAAAACTTTAACCTGAAACGGGAAAGACGGACGAACGGACGGACGAACGAACGGACGAACGAAAGGAAGCACAGACCGAAAAACATAATGCCCCACTACTATCGTAGGTGGGGCATACAAAGAAAAGGGGGTCCATGCACCTGTAGTTAAGTCCTCATCAAGGATATTGCATGGGGAAATAAATAAACACTAGATGTTTTAAACCCGAATAAAGCAGTATAAAACATGGGGAAGTGTACGTCATCATTAATTATGAAAAGCTGTTTTGATATTATACCGAATGAACAAGAAAAATATAAAAGAAAGTTTATAATGAACGTATGTTTTCTTGTTGATTGTTGATCCTTCCTTGTGCTTTATGTTGTCAGGGTTCAAGCAAAATGATAATAAGAGTCGTACGGTGAGTACAGCCCATTCTAGCTTTACTATAAATTAATTCACGTCTTCGAAAAGGGTGTCCTTAACATATGCCCAAATTTGAATAAATCATTATATTCCGGCAACATATGCCAACATACAGTCAGTATATTAACGCATTACAAATTACTTCAATTGAAGAACAGAGAAGAATAACATATACTTGTTGTAAATATGATATTTGAATAAGAATAGACAAAATACAATAGAACACTTAATATTAGCAAAATTATTAGTAATATCTAAATTAGATTTAATTTCAAAAGTTATTTTGTCTTTTGTGGGGGGTCATACTATATGCTTGTATACATATTGGCTTTTATCATTTATTCCATCAACCATACGTCTTTGGAATAATCTTGATGATTCAACTCGTGATGCGGAATCAATAAATAAATTTAAAACTGAACTAAAAAAACTTTACCCTCAGAGTAACATATTTGTACCGAAGCAATATGAGTTTGGAATTCGAAAACTGAATATTATTCTAACCCAACTTCGATGTTTTGCATCAAAGTCATCATCCTTAAACTATGATCTATATAGGGTCAATATTATTTCTGACCCTTCTTGCCGCTGTGGTGTTAATCGTGAAGATTCCTATCATTTCTTTTTTTAAATGTATATTATATTCAGACATACGAAATAAAATGTTTGAAAGCCTGCGCTGGCTTCCAAATGATTGTAATATTAACATAGAACTACTAACCTCGGGTAGTTGTCTTCTTTCTCTAGAGCAAAACCAAACCATTTTCAAAAATGTCTTCGAGTTTATTAAAAGTTCGGAAAGATTTCTAATTGTCTAGATAGCAAACCATGATCGCACACACATCATCATCTAAGTAAAAGTCTTCCTTTTTTTCATTTGTTTATTTTTTTATTTTTTTCTCTAAATATTCATTTATTTATTTTTATATATTTATTTTTTCTGTATTATTGTTTTCTTTCTGTCTTCACTTTTCTATCTTTTGACATAAATCCATATATATATATATTAAATAGATATACCATTCTATACATGCATGCTCATACATATATTTTGTATTATATTGCTATAAATGTTAAAAGAAGAAGACTTCATAAGTCTGTTTGACTTGTGTCTTATCCAATTTGTACTTGAACAAATAAAATATGTTTAAACTAATGGCTTTTTACTAGGTTTGATAGAATCAAAAGGTTTATTTTTAATTTATGTCTGGTTTTATTTTATTTTTAAACTTATGATTCCGATACGTATTGGCTGGGACTAATAGGTGAATTCAATGTCACGGTTAGTCCCAGGTAGTAGAAACATATAATTCCCTGTTGAATTTGACAATAATTTAATTCAAAGAAGTGCACCAGAAATCAAATTCAATGAATAACAATTCAATTTGTCAAGGACATATGAGTTGCGGTTAAACTATATATTATATAAAAATATGTATATACTGACATGTATGCATGGGAATATGTCAGACTCCTTCCGAAATTTTCAGATCTTGAAAATCTAGATATGTACTTTCCAAAATATTTGATATTCATAACTAATAATATATCAATATATCCGTTTATCAGAGTATTTAAGCTACATACATATAAGTTTTTAATATTATACCACCTCGCATGAAATATACGTAGTACTCGGAATGTCACAGTTGCACGCCCCTCCCACATGCATATATATATAGTTACACAATATTTCTTAAATTTGGTCTCTTGTGAAGAGTTGTCTCATTTGCAATCATACCACATCTTCTTTTTTATATATGTCTCTGCTCCGTGGCGGATCAAAAACTAGGGGGGGGGGGGGGGGGGGGGGTCCGGGGGTTGGAACCCCCTTTTTTGACGATTAATGCTTTTGAATGGGGACATATGGTTGGAAACCCCCCCCCCCCCCCCCTTTATCCTGGGTTGACCCCCCCCCCTCCCCCCTTTTTAAAAATGACTGGATCCGGCCCTGCTGCTTATATTAAGTGTTTTATAATGACAAATTTTTCTCTCATGATTCTGTTTGGAATGGCTCTCTATTTTATATCTATAATATGCAATCAATGTAAAGTTGTATTATATATTTTTGAGAGATGAGACATAAAAAAATATTGAATTCATGGATTTCCATAGTGAGAAGGATGTTGAATTGAATTGAAAATACAACAAAAATAGTTTTGAGTACACTTAAACGCTAATGAATTTATGTTTTTGTTCAATGTTATTCATACCTATGCCAACATTGTCCATACAATTTTATACCTTGATTTCAAAATGTTGGCATAGGTAAATGAACCCCGAAAATTGTTTACAAAAAAAAAAACAGTAAATGGGTAAATCCCTTGTGTTGCTAAAAATAGAAATCACGCGTGACTTTCCGTGATAATCTGTCATGGCGGCTGATGGGACAAAGTATCCCAGGTCAGCATCGCCAAATGAGGATTACAACCCTTTGCACGACGAGACGTAAGTGCATTGTCAGTATGCAACCTCGCATAATGACAGTTTAAGCATTTGAATATTTTTTTTTGCACACTTTTGAGAAATCTGCATGAATTCGAATGTTTATTTCGTCTTTTTTACCACATTCCTGAACTGACTCTCGAGAAACGGGCCAGAAATACTACATCTTCTCATAATACTATGTATGCCATCTTAATCAATACTTGCGTTATCACAATAAATGTATAACCACTGTATTATCAATTACGTATAGTAAAATTTAACCCAAACAATAGCAGCAGACATAAAATATACACACAAAGTACAGTTCTTTCAGCAATGAATTGTACAATTTTTTATACAATGTGTGTATGGTGTATTCAAAGTTGACGAGACTGTCACAATAAAACATGCCACATGCAGTTTTCTCTAAAACTGTCGGTCCTGACCAACAAAAATCAGGTAGGTCCAATATCTAGTGTAGTCATGGTAGCTTGGTGGTCCTGATGTCTGACTTAAAGTTTACACCTTTTACGGTCTTCCTTATTTTAGGCAGACCTGCCAACTACACCAATTCTGGCGGTATCAGTCCGATTTTCATGCCTCAACCCAAATCCCGATATCTGGATCGTAAAACAGGTCAAAATCCTTATATTCACAAAATCTACCCTAAAAAATTATTGGTTACTGATTTTGAAAATTTTCTGATCAATTTCTATAAATCTATAATTTTACCTTGCACCATATTCATGACAAGTTTACGACCCAAGCTAATCAACGGTCACAACAGGTGTCATAATTTGTTGTTACAGGTAATATGTTTATCTGATGGGTCATAACGATTCTCAAAATTAATTAACCTGTAAATTAGAGTCGGTCAGTCTGCATTTCAAATTTGATCAAATTATCATACGATCACTATTTGCAACGTTTACCGAGTTTCATGACAAATCGTAAATAACTGAAAGACGAAAACTGTAATGAACTCCTTCAGTATCATTATTTATCTTGAAATCTGTTAAAAATTTTGAAATAAGAAGTGCTTCTGTCCAGTTTTGATATATTTGTTTGTTTGTTTGTATAAGCCTCCGACGGTGGAGCACCTCTGAACACAAAGAAAGATAACTCAAATTTAACCCATTAATTTTCTCATTTATACTGATAGACTAACTCAAGATCTGTCTTCATCCTTCTAACTTTAGGACACTTAGGTTTAGGTATTTTGAGTCATGGTGCAGAGAAAAGAAGGTCTTTGGAGGGGGAAAGGGGGGGGGGTGGTCTTCACTTTGTATCCTTTTTTTGGGGTCCATTTTTCTCTATTAAGTTATTTTGCAAATTAATAAGTACAAGAATCATGCAAATAAAAGACATCTAGGCTTATTAGCTCATCATCAGTATACCAAAAGAAAAAAAAGAAGAGATATGAGACTATTTCAAGAGTAAAAACAGTGCACGCAGAAACAACACAAAATTATTTTCCTTAAAAATCTGGTTGTGCACTAAATCCCCCATGGGGATTTTTAAAAGTTGGCAGGTCTGATTTTAGGGGACTCGATGTTCTTAGATTTTACTTTAGGGGACTGTGTCCATAAAAAATATGATACTTTAAAAGCTTGTTTTAACCTTTTATTCTTAATGTTGTTTGCAGATTTAAATGCCAAAAAAAAGTTAAGATTTTAAGGCTTCCAATTGAAACCCTTAAAGTCAAGTAGAGCAATAATGCCTTTCTTTCAATTTTTTTTTACAATGTGTTAAGTCCCCTTAAGTCAAAGAAGGTCAAGTTTACTTTTAGTGGTTTTCCTGTTTTTATACGCCCGTTTATGGGACGTATTATGGTATACCGTTGACCGTCTGTCCGTCTGTCTGTCGTCAACATGTCGGACATTAACTCAAAAAAGCTTTAACCAATATGCATGAAACTTTGGTGAATTGTTTATATCTATTGACATGAGCTCCCTTTTGGATTTTTATAAATTTTAGATTTAACGTTTCCGAGTTACAGGGTTCTATTCATAAAAAAAGGGGGATTTTCCAGTTTTCGGACAATAACTAAAAAATGCTTTCAGCAGTTCTCATGAAACTTTGGTGAATTGTTTATATCTGTTATTGGAAGCTCCCTTTAGAATTTTATAAATTTTAGATTTTACATTTCTGAGTTGTGGGGTTTTATTCATTAAAAAAGGGGGGATTTTCCAGTTTTTGGACAATAACTCAAAAATGCTTTCAGCAGTTCTCATGAAACTTTGGTGAATTATTAATAGCTATTGATGTAATCTCCCTATTGACTTTCATAAATTTCAAATATGACATTGAGAAGAAATTGAACTTCATTTGTTTATAGTCTGACAACAGATTTACTAAGTATTGTGCAACAGCACAGTTTATTGCACAACAGCAAGAAATCTTTAATTGAATATAAATTCAATTCATATAACCAATTTCAAGTTCTTTGACTACATTTATTCAGAAACCTATAACATGTCAAATATTTAATTACAATCCAAATTCAGCCCTGTATCAAGCTTGAATATTGTGTCCATTTTTGCCCCAACTGTTCAGGGTTGGACATCTGCGGGCGTATCCAGCTGCGGAATTAATTGATAGCAAAAATTTTATTGCAAATACAGGACCACCAAATTTTCACTGGGATGATCAGAGATGCAAACAGTTTTTTTTTCCTGTCAGACATTGGGGCCTACAGGGTAGCAAGTTTTGTCAGACCCATCAATTTTTTGCCAGACCTACATTTTTTTATATCAGCTTTTTATACAGTAAGAGAACGAAGATAGGATGTTAAGTGACAGCTGCTTTTATTGGTGCATTGTTTTTAGAAAATATCTAAAATTCAATTGAGTTCTTTTATTTAATAATTACTACAATATATTTTTAATTTTTTTTTTTGTGTACCACTGAACTGCAGGCTAGGGCCATTCTCCATTTTTGTTTGGACAGTTCTCTAAGATTTTTAATTGATTACAACTTTCTCAGGAAAGTGAGGACTGAAAAGTCAATTCAGTTTTAAATTTCCCACTTTAAAGTTCCCAGTTACAACTCTCATCACAGGGATACATGTACTTACAAAAAATCAATCAGATTGATATAAGCTGTGTGCAGCTTGTTTCCAGATCTTACTTTTTGTTATCCTTGTATATTTTGATATATTTGTAAATTGCATGAATAAATATGTTCATGATGTTTAAACTTCAAAAAGCAACATTTGAAAATTTTATAATTTTTTTACCATTATGTTGGTACACAAAATTTTGTTTTAATGGAAGACTACTTTTCATATAATAAATGTCACATTTTAAGTGTTCAGATACATTAACTTTTATTTTGGTGGATAATTACTCATCAATTGAGGTGCTCCTCTATTGGAAGAAGATTCGCAATACAGTTACAGAAAGAATGAAAACTGCCGTTTCTCTCCCAATCTCATGTATCCCCATTGTTTACTGTGAAAGTTGACCTACAAAGCATTAATGTTTGAATCATATGATCTACAGCAAACATACTAACTAACTTTAATTAATAAATTTTCAACAAGGCAAATTTCAATTCCCCACTAATAGGTTAGCACCAAAAATGCTAAATCTTACTAAAATCCTAGAGAACTGTCTGCCGGTCATTAGGTCTTGCACAAAAGCCCAATTTGCCGGACCTGCTCAATTTCTGCCCCCTCGGGCCGACAGGTCTGACGATTAGTTGCATCTCTGCCTAATGACCACCAGGCTATAAAAGATTTCAAGGACTCTGCCACTTGACCATTCAGTAGCCAAACTCGGGATTCCTGGTCCTGACCCACTGCTCTACAAACTTGAGTTAAAGGAGTAATCCACACTTGCAGTTAAAAACTTTGAAAGGGAGATCACTGCTTCACTTGTATTACATCAACTTGGCTTTTTCAGTTGGGGGCAAAATGTAGAGGATATTTTTTTTTCCAAATCTCTTATCCATACTTCTCTACTATCTGGGGAAGCCTAGTCCAGTAAGGAACTACTCTACAAACTGGGCTGAAGAGAGGACTCCACTAAGATATAGCTAACGGAGAAAAGTAGAAATTTAATAGGTCTTAGGAATCACCATAAAAAGCAAACTTCTCAAAATATTCTGGAATGTCCAACAAATCCGACAATTATGTTGTCCTACATTTTCTCAAATTTTTTCGGTCTTACTGATTTTGGTTGTTCAAATAAATCTAACAATCAGTGATCTGGAAGGATTTTTTCTCTATGGGCCCAGGGCCCACCAAAAATAAATTCAATGGGCCATTTTTAGAATTAATGGGCCATGTTGTCAAATGAGTGGGCCATTCGTTTACAATAAAAAAAAAAGTAAAAAAAGTGTATATTTCACTCTACTTACAAGTATGATTCTAATTAATATCATGGATATTGTTCCTGTGATTTTGTAATTTCAATTTCAATGAATATACAATAACTTCTTCCAAACCGGGCAATATTTACGATAACCTTTATTTACAATGTTAAAACTGGTACTGTTCCCTTGTTCATGTTCATGGTTTTTTTTTACATTTAATTTGGGTCTTCGTCGATACCATACTTATTCCAGACGTTCCGTATTAGAGGACGTTTCTGGCATTTTCTCTGCACTTGTATTATTATTACTGCATCACGATGACAAGAATAACAGTAGAGAGCAACGTTAATTGATAAGACACAACAACAATTCGCTGAAGGCATGTTTACAAAATCTCAAAACGAGCCAAAGACCAAAAAAATTGACAAGGACAGTTAAGCCCCTTTTATGGAGACAAATACTATGCTATTCATAAAAAGGCTTTTGGATTTTTCAATCGAAACAATAGCAAGCTTACTTAAAAGATTATAATTAGAGAAGAATTCTCGCCTGTACTAGCCAATTTTCACAAATTTAAAGTTGTTTATAAAAAATTATATCATGAATGATGGTTAATTACGTTTTTGGGGTAATCAGTCATACCGCATGTTGCTATTATTACCATAGGAAAACACCCGAGACGTCCCAAAAATATATAGGTGCTCCTATCATTGGAGTAAACACTACACAGTTGTGTACTTACACATGGCGGCACGAAATACGATCGGAAATCCATTTGACGATATCTCAACGTTTCAAAACGAAGTGAAAAATATCATGCGCCACGCGGGCGCTTACATTTGTCACTCTATGCGCCATTTCTGGTCGATAAGCGCAATTGGCGCAAGGCGCACGTCCTTCCCGATCACTGAACAATTGAGTAATCTATATTCAAAATGTTTTGTTTAATGTAAAATTTCTGCAACATATAATTTGTCTGAAAAGATTTTGTCTGTAGTTGCTGCAAAATTCCCCTTGTCCATTAAATGTAATGTAACAATATCATTGCTGTGAATGGTGTTTCCTCATAGTATATGTACATTTGTACATTGTACAATATGTCTATCTTATTAATTTTCTTAGCTGTTTTGATATTATTACAATGTGAAATTTTATAATACACAGTTTTTGAAAAGGGGTCATAAGCCTTAATGTACATTGTACATATATATATGTTCTTTTGAAATTACCTCCACATCTTTGTAATTAAGCCAGGACAGTTATGGCAAAGTCATTTGAAATTAATTTCTGCAGCATTTAATAATGATGTTTACATTTGAAAGACACACTACGTGTATTTGTCAACTTTGTGAAGAAAAAATGCAGATCATGGTCTGGCGGGACGGCATTAAATAAAAAAAATATTTGGTAATACCATGAATAATGTATAAATACTTTTTGGGGTTGTTGAATTTAAACGATCATTTTAAAAATGGTAAAGCATATGACAAGTAACATGTTTTTGTTGCCAAAAATATTTTTAAAAGTCCATGTTAAATTGTGGCTATCGGCATTAAATTTAACTTTATTATATAGCTTATAGCTTATATATTTTTTAAGAATGTGTTTTCCCTAGAATTATTTTATAAGATAGGTATGAATTTTGAAGGATTGAGTCTTAAGAGAAATAAGGCATTATAAAGGATGGGGTCCTCTAAGGTGTAATGATTGGGGGGGGGGGGGGGGGGTGTTTAAATAGTGCCACCTGTCATGTAATGTTTGATCCTGATGTGGAACAAAGGATTTTCCCATGGCTTTAATGATTTTGCCCAATTTTAAAATAACCTTAACCATGTTAACCGTGTTGATTTGTTGCAAGACAAATTTTCTGCCCCTCTGTCCAACATACCTTTTGTTAAAGTCATGACAGTGTTAATCTAAGTTTCATGTCCTTCATCCCGATTGACCCTCTCTACAGAACCTACCTTTTTGATTTATTGTTTATTAGTTCTCGTCCTGAGTATGCATGAAATATTTGCCACTTGACGTTAAGCAAGCAACAATAAATCAATCAAATCATTCCACTTTCACACGGACGTCTGGCGATGAAGAATATAGATTCTATGGTATTTCAAATGTAACTTTTCATTTTATACTTGAACACTGGCAAGTGATAAAGATAATTGTAGAATACAAGTAAAAAGTAGTCAGTTGCTGAAATCCCAGACTACATGTAGACAATAACCGGACTAATAAAAATCTTGGGAATAGGCAAATCTCATAAAGTGGCTTGCTAAAATCAGGCCTGTTAACAGGTACATGTACATGTAAGAATTTTTTTTTTAATCATAGCATACATGTAGGTGTCAAGTTTTCTAAAGGATATTCTTAAAGGAAAATTCATGTACATGTATGTCTTTTTGGAAAATCTTTCACAATAGATAAATTTAGAAACTTGCCTTAGACTCTACTTCGTCTTAGACAAGAATTGTCTTCATCCTTTGTACAGTTTTTCTATGCATGGTACTATATATATATCTATTTCAGCATTGATAAATGTCTTTAAGTAATTTATTTTGCAAAAATACATGTTTAAATATCATCTGGTCTTGTTAGCATGGTTAGGGTCATGAAATCCTAAGAACAAGTTGCTTGAGAATGTCATATTCTTTACACGAGGAATAACACAAAGATCAACTCTTTGGACATGTTAGAGGGGTATTTACACAATGTAAGTGACCTTTAATAAGTTTATATTTCTGAGAACATCCATTAAGTCCTGATTTTCCTGTGAACATGGGGCACCTTTTCAATATAGTTCTTTTTACAATGTAAGGTTTGATAACTAAATATATTTAAATTTTTAGGGGACTTCTACAAATATATATAAATGTACAATAATAAACAAAATGTTGTATTTATTTTTTAGTGAAGCTAAATTTTTTCACCAACAAAGTCATGATGCAGACATTAGTGAAGAAGAAGATCAGTTCAATTCTGTTGAATCTCTTCCAGACCATATGTATTCCAATATGGTGTATGGCACAACACCACCCGCTAACCCAAGGGGTGCAAAACTTGAAAAAAGCAAAAAACACTCTCATCAGCGGAAAGTGTCATACAAGGAGTATATGGCTACGAAAAAGAAACCTCAGCCAAGAACTCCAGTCAACATCATAAAAGATCAGTATGCAGACAATCCGGTATTTTGTAAACTCAGTGGAGTTGATTCTGATGACAACCTTGAAAGGGATTTCTCACAAGATTCAGAAAAGATGAACAAGGATAATCGAAATAACAAGAAAAAAATTCTGAAAACATCAAGGAGTTATGATAGGCACGTGAAGGCTACTTCTGGTGATTTGTCAAATTTAGATACAAATACGGCTGATGTTTCTTTGACAACATCTGGTAGATTTTCATCGACCAATCCTCCAAGGGTTGACTTTTCAGGAAGGTTTTCTTCCTTAATAAATCGACCATCTCCTCTGACAATAACATTAACAAATTCGTTAAATTTGGCCTGTAGCTTGAACAGTTCTTGGGGTCCATCAAAGCCTGATAGCAGAAGATTATCTGTAGTTTGTCCGGATTGTCCAAAGGACAGAAGTGATTTCTACAAAATCTTTTCTGCTCTTATTCAGATGGGCTCTCAACCTAAGAAGGAGAAAGATCATAAAAGAAAAGATAATTTTGGAGCATATCGTAGACAAATAAGCTCTGAACAGGAACTGTGGCAACAGCACTTTGTGGATTATCTCTGGTTTGTAGAAATGTTTTGTCCATTTAAGCATGTTAAGTGAAAACCATCATTTCTTTAAAAATGTTTTAATCATGTTAATAATGATTTGTATTTTCATATTATAAAGTGTTTTGTTTTATTTCATCTTAATCCCTAAGAGTTCTAATTTAAAGTTTGAACATAATTTACATAACACAGTTTTGATTGTCTTAATACATGTATTGATTATCCATGCTTGCACTCAAAATGTTATATATGTACAAAGAAAAAAAATAATGATGTCAGAGGATAAAATAAAAAGCTAACCATCATGACCATTGTGAAAACAATATCTGACTGGAGAAAACTTTAAAAATAAATGTATTGAAATTTAATATACAAATGTTAAAAGACTCATTAAGCATGTTAAGTTAAAACTACCATTCATCCCTAAATTTTTGAATAAGTTGAAGTTCATTGATAACTAGAACTTTTGAGTATTACATTGGAAAGAATTTTATGCTATTAATAGATTTATATGTCCTTATTACATTTTTGGTACAAACATACATCTATATAATGTAGAAGATGCCTATGATAATAACATGTGACTTATTTTTTAGTTTATCTTATATAGAAATACTTGCATAACTTTTTCATGTTATTACATGTGCATGAATGTTTTATAGGCTTGAACTACGAATGGAACACTTAGGTTATACTAGTTTTAAAGACTTTGAAGATAATCTAAAATTGGATAAAGCAAGAATTCCACAGGTCCTGGAAGACATCATGAACTTCAAACTGGACAATAAAGATTTTATACAACTTTGTGATATACCTGTGTATAAAGATGCCAGTAATGACCTCTCCTCGCCGGAAATACTTTCATGTGAAAATAATTCAATAACCACGGAAACCATTAGTTTTCAAAAATTGGCAGTAAGTCAAGTGGAAGAATTATTAGACAAGTTAGACCAGTGTGAACAATTATTTCCTACTTCAAAAGCATTTGCCAAGGAATATCCCCAGTATGGTAGTAAGGAGTTTACCTTACAGGTGAAATCATTATACCTGTGGTTAAATATAACTAGAGATCTTTGTCATAAAATGAAACAGTTAGGTAAGATGTTGGGTGTTCAGTACATTCCAGATATAGACTGGCCAATGATGGACTTTGAAAGTCCACGATGGCATGAAACAAAAACAAATGTGTCTTTTCATCGTGAGAGTATACCAGAAATCCGGGAACCAGATTCCAGTGAAAGTGAAGACGAAGGTATTGCAAATAACAAGTTGTCTCCTGGTGATTCAAGTCATTCCACAAAACGTGTTACATTTACAATGGGTTCAGGGAAAGCCAGTCCCACAAATGATGTGCCAAAAGATGCTTCTACCCCATTAAAGCCAAGTATTAGGTATTATTCTACATCATCGACTGATTTATCAAGAGTGTCAAGTGAGGCTAGTATAATGGACGATTTTGCAAAGACAACAACATTTGTGTATAGGAAGTTTGTAGATAAAACACTTAAACGAATGGGTATGAACAAAATGTTGTTAAGATTCAGAGAATTGTTTGATAGAACGTTACAACGAGCTCAGGAAGCTCTACAAAAACCATCCACTTCATCTGCTGAGGGACAATCTCCAAGGGTAAGTGCACCTCAAATCTTATACATGTATAGCCTATAGCTTCTCTCCACATTGATGTAACTTCTAAGGTTGATTGAACATGTACATCAGGTCTTCAAGAAATTCAACACTGCATGTTGTTACATTTTGTAGCTCCAGATTATCTGCTAAAGGAAAGTCTCTAGTCAGATAATAAAGTCATTCAATGTCTTGCTTTCATGTGATAATAGTCATACATGTATAACTCACTATAAGTTATATATATATATATATATATATATATATAAGGCCAGTTTTCCTACCAAAGGTCGGTGGTTCTCTCCGGGCACTCTGGCTTCCTCCACCAATAAAAACTGACCGCCACGAAATAGCACAATAGTGTTGAAAGTGGCATTAAACACCAATCAATCAAATTATATATAATTTTAACTGTTTGTTGTTGCCTACCTACCAACCTAAAAAGCAGCCTACCCGATAAATTTTATGGTACAAATTGTTTCAAATTTTTTTATGCCCCGGCCATAGCAGAGGGGGCATTAAGTTTTACCCTTGTTCTCTGTACGTCCCAAAGTTGTTTTCTGTTCTCTAACTTTAGTTTGCCTCAACTAAATGTTATGAAACTTTAACAAAATGCTTATTTCCACAAAACACAGATCAGGTTTGAATTTTGGTGGCGTCATTTTAACCGTTTTAGAGTTATGCCCCTTTACAAATGGAAAAATTGCTGATTTTTTCGTTTTCCTTTCTCTTACTTTAGTTTTCCTCCACCAAATGTTATGAAACTTATATACAATGCTTATTACCACAAAACACAGATCAAGTTTGAATTTTAGTGGCGTCTTTTTAACCGTTCTAGAGTTATGCCCCTTTACAAATGGAAAAATTGCTGAATTTTTCGTTTCCATCCTCTCACTTAAGTTAGCCTCAATCAAATGTTATGAAACTTATACACAATGCTTATTACTACAAAATACAGATCAAGTTTGAATTTTGGTAGTGTCATTTTAACCGTTTTAGAGTTATGCCCCTTTACAAATGGAAAAATTGCTGATTTTTTCGTTTTCCTTTCTCTTACTTTAGTTTTCCTCCACCAAATGTTATGAAACTTATATACAATGCTTATTACCACAAAACACAGATCAAGTTTGAATTTTAGTGGCGTCTTTTTAACCGTTCTAGAGTTATGCCCCTTTACAAAGGGAAAAATTGCTGAATTTTTCGTTTCCGTTCTTTTACTTAAGTTTGCCTCAACCAAATGTTATGAAACTTATACACAATACTTATTACCACAAAACTCAGATCAAGTACAAATTTGGTTAGATTCACTTTTACTGTTCTTCAGTTATGTCCCTTTATAACTTTATATGATATGCAAGCGGGGGCATCATCTGTGTCCCATGGACACATTCCCCATTTATTTGTAAAGATTTTTTCCTGCTCTAACGTCATATTCTTGTCTAAAACATGATACATTTGTACTTGTGCTATTGGCCAAAAAAAAAAATCCCTACCTACATGTACATGTACCTTCTCAACCCGTCAAAGCATGGGTAGGCAACATAAAACAAAGAATATTTTAACGGTGGCCTAATTCCTTTTTATAAGATTTTTCCTATAGTACACAATGTATATATATATAACACCCCAAGTTCATGAAGTTATACTTGAACATATATATAAAGAAATTCCCACTTTATTGTGATCGGTAAAAAGGAATATAATTTCCTGCTAATCTAAAAAGTCTGTATAACACTCTTTGAAGGATATTCTTTTCTTAAAGGTTAATTTGTTAAAGTTTGTTGTAATCAGAGGCAAACAAATAAAATACCTTGGAGTGAATAAGTTTTAGAAAAATTTGAATTTGTCTTTGTTGAATATTTGCAGTCCTCAGGAGATGATGCAAACACTCAAATGTCGACGTCCCCAGCTGCTCTGGACTTCCTTTGTGTTCAGGACTTTCCCCATAATACAGCAGTCCATCGCAGTTCCAGCATAACAGATTGTGGAGCATGTAGTGAGCAGTTTCAGAAGATGGGTTTGCCATCATTTAGACCAAGTTATCTTTTTCTATTACAAGTGTTCATGGATGTTATTCACGAGGCCTTGAGATTGAGGTTGGATCAGAGACCTATGGGTGAGCCTTCTCATCTCAGTATAAGACCGGTAAGTATTGGTTTTAGGAATAATTTTATGAGTTACAAATACAATATTTTGAGATGGTGCGAAATCCTGAAAACTCTTTTCAGAGGTCTTGTTTTAGACATTATTTATTTATCTAAACCAATTTTGAAAGTTTGATTGTTTCACAATTTTTAATGTAAATAAATTAAAACGTCAGGATTACTATTGAATAACAAATCTTTTTTTAATCAGTTCTGTTAGAAATACTTTTTCAAGTAATATTTCCTTACGGCACATAATTAATATGTCGAAGGAAATGCTAACTTGAAAAAAAGATGGTAGCCAACTGTCAAATGTATGTTTGAAAGGGAAAATTTGAAGATCGATAGATCGGACCATTCATGAATGGTCAATATACTGTTACCATTCCAGAATGGTTTATATACTGCTACCATACCAGAATGGTCAATGTTCTGTTACCATTCCAGAATGGTAGATATACTTTTACCATTCCAGAATAGTCGATGTACTGTTACCATTCCAGAATGGTTAATATACTGTTACCATTCCAGATTGGTAAATGTTCTGTTACCATTCCAGAATGGTCAATGTACTGTTGCCAATCCAGAATGGTCAATGTTCTGTTACCATTCCAGAATGGTCAAAGTTCTGTTACCATTCCAGAATGGTCAATGTTCTGTTACCATTCCAGAATAGTACATTGTAGATATACTTGTACCATTCCAGAATGGTCGATGTACTGGTTTTATACGACCGCAAAAAAATTTTTGTGGTCGTATATTGGTATGACATTGGCGTCGGCGTCGTCGTCGTCGTCGTCCGAAGACACATTAGTTTTCGCACTCTAACTTTAGTTTAAGTGAATGGATCTCAATGAAATTTTACCATAAGGTTCCATACCACAAAAGGAAGGTGGGGATTGATTTTGGGGGTTATGGTACCCACAGTTAAGGAAAAAGGGGCCAAAAATAAGCATTTTTGTAACTTCCAGACATAACTTGTGTGTAAGTGTATGGATCTCTCTGACATTGTACCACAAGGTTCCATATTACAAAGGGAATGCTGGGATTGATTTTGGGTGTAATTGCCTCCAAATTTTAGGAATTAGGGGCAAAAAACAAGCATTTTTCTAGTTTCATGACAATAACTTGTGTGTAAGTGTATGGATCTCTCTGACATTGTATCACAAGGTTCCATATCACAAAGGGAATGCTGGGATTTATTTTGGGGGTAATTGCCTCCAAATTTTAGAAATTAGGGGCCAAAAAGGGGCAAAAAACAAGCATTTTTCTAGTTTCATGACAATAACTTGTGTGTAAGTGTATGGATCTCTATGAAATTGTACTACAAGGTTCCATATCACAAAGGGAAAGCTGGAATTGAGTTTGGGGGTAATTGCCCAAAAATTTTAGGAATAAGGGGCCAAAAATAAGCATTTTTCTAGTTTCCAGATAATAACTTGTGTTCAAGTGTATGGATCTCTCTGAAATTGTACTGCAAGGTACCATACCACAAAGGGAAAGCTGGGATTGAGTTTGGGGGTGATGAATCATAAGGGGGTTAAAAAAATTGGAGGGGATTTTTTTTTCATTTTTTTTCTTTTAAATTTTCCATTTTAAATTGGTTATTTCTGATTTATATTTAAAAGCAAATAATAATGATATGGTTTGAATAGGTAAATTAAAAAATTTTAAGTTCTTAGACCACTTTCATTCTGTGTGAGAAACCTATGCTGTGTCAAATATTTTACAATCCAAATTCAGTGCTGTATCAAGCTTGAATGTTGTGTCCATACTTGCCCCAACTGTTCAGGGTTCGACCTCTGCGGTCGTATCAAGCTGCGCCCCAGCGGAGCATTTTATTGTATGTGTTGGGGGTTTAAACCAGTTATACATGCTCACAACCCTTCCTGTTTCACATACTTTGACCATAGAACCAAAAAACTGTACAGTCCAGCATAACAGGATGACAAATTTTCAAACTCTTAACTTTGCTACATTTTGTATATATTGAATAAGGGAAAAAAAGAACCACACATATTTTGGAATGCATGGTCAAAATGTGATTGCCTTGATAAGGTTGTATTTGATATTTGTAACTGTCCTGAAATTTTTCAGTAGGTATTTTAGATATTTTTGTTTGAAATTTTTATCCTTTCTACCTATTATGTAGTTCTTAATTCAGAAATACAAAACTTTGGTTTATGTTAATTTCATGAGGACATGCATTGTTTTCTATTGTAAAATGAAATTTAATTAGTCTTTAGTTTACATTGATCCAGAGTATACATTAATTTCTAGTTTCTTTCAATGTTTAATTGGTAAACTGTTATGTTCTAGTTAATGGAAAAATCAGTCATATGCATATGTTTAGTAGTCAAATTAGTGATTATTTGGATACAAGGACACTTTTTTAGTGAAAAGGAAAAATGTTTGTTTGGTTTATTTGAGTTCATCACAAGTGTTAAAAATGATTTCATCTGCTTGTGTGAAGAAGAAGTATATGTCATGTATGTACCACATGTATTTGTATTTATGTCATTTAGAAGTAGCATAGCACATTAGAATTTTCCACTGTTTTATCATGGCAAATTTGTCATTTCCACTTATTGTCACAGTGGCAACTTAGCCCAGTGATGAGTCTGGTGGCAGGTTGAAAATGTCACCATTGCAGATGGTCGTATTTGTGTAGACTGCAGAAGGCATGTGTTCATGATATGTAGTGGCAATCTACTATTACTCATTGTCACTGGTGGCATATGTTCATGATATGTAGTGGCAATCTACTATAACTGGTGGTATGTGTTCATGATATTTAGTGGCAATCTACTATTACTGGTGGCATGTGTTCATGATATGTAGTGGCAATCTACTATTACTGATGGCATATTTCATGATATGTAGTGGCAATCTACTATTACTGGTGGCATGTGTTCATGATATGTAGTGGCAATCTACTATTACTGGTGGCATGTGTTCATGATATGTAGTGGCAGTCTACTATTACTGGTGGCATGTGTTCATGATATGTAGTGGCAATCTACTATTACTGGTGGCATGTGTTCATGATATGTAATGGCAATCTACTATTACTGGTGGCATGTGTTCATGATATGTAATGGCAATCTACTATTACTGATGGCATATTTCATATGTAGTGGCAATCCACTATTACTGGTGGCATGGTACCATCCACATTAAAATTTACATGACAGTCCTTGCACCATGGTATTTAGTGAGGAATTCTAAATCTGCTCTCCCAGGTCTCGAAACCTTGAAACATTTTTATTTGCATTTGTAAATAAGATGATTATAGCTTACGAGATAATTGAAAAGGAAATCTGACCTTTTGATCAATCAGGTACATATGAACGATCACCTATAACCTTTCAATCTTAAAATTCAAATTTCATAAAAACAAAGACTTGTCAGACAATTATCACTCAACTTAAAGGTTAGAACCAGGAAGTCTATATTCAACATACAGCAGCCATTCTACAGGTTAAAATTAGATTTATATATTTCAACATGTGATATTTTGGCAAAACATTATTTTTTTTTGTCTTTGAGATAATGTCATGAAATTATTATAAATTTGATAACAATCATTCATGATACCATCTGGTTAAGAGTTCTCTTGCAATGTTTTGCCTCATCAATTATTTCAGTGACATTTTTATCAGTGAGGTAGTAAAAACAGTTGTGCATTATGTATTGTCTCCTTACATTGCAGCCATTTGTAGGTGAAATTTAATATTAGGATGTTTGTATCTTTTTACTAGTGTCAATTGCAGTATCTTATGTAGCAACACAATATAACAAAAAGGCACCTGGAGGTTATAATTAGGTATTAAAGTCTCTGCTCCTCAAGAGTCAAATGCAATTAAACGGGTCACAAAATTATTGTATATAAACTTAATAATGGGATGTGTGTTAGCTTTTTGGAGTAGATTGAATTGAGAAGTCAAAGCCTTTATGTGGCTGCCTTGAAATCTATATCTTCCAGGGTTTATCACTACCTTTGATAGTTAAAACAACATAGTGTAGTGAAGTGAACATTCTTAAGATCCTATCCAGACAATTTCATGCCATTTATTAATTATATGTTATACTCAGATATTTAAGTTTACAAAACGATGTGTATTGATTTGAATAACCATACTTGTCAAGAAAACTGTTTAATTAAAAATTACATTAGTTGTGATCTGTAATAAAAGTAGGTTTTTACTACAAATGTACAATTATGAAATAAGGAAGATAACTCTAATATAAAATATATGATTTGGCTAAACACAATACAATGTTTAATTTTAAGTTCACATTGCAAAATGAAAGCAATCTTTACCCTTTAATGCTTATAAGCACTTTGATTTTTGTTGTTATTGTCGGAATGTCAGACATAGCAACACAACATATATTTACTATCCAAAGTGAAACATAAGAGTTATTTAACACCATGAACACGGATACATAAAACCAGAATCATGAAAAGACTTTCAAAAAATTATCTATTTTCTGATACTTTTAATATGAGTGGGGGTTTGCTAGCAAGACAACACATGCATTCTTGTTTTTTTTTTGGAGGGGGGGATGGAATGTGGGTTAATTATGAAATTTAATCTTATCACATACTGAAAATTTTTGAGACTATGGAGCAACATCAATCAACATTGCATTTTACTCCCATTGTAAGCACAAATAATATTGTTTACTGTTGTAAGATTTTTATGATTTAATTGTCAATCTACTTTTCATAATTGTACATTTAACACTTTGTTTTGTGTGTAGCTGTTAAAGTATAACTAGAGATTGTTAATGTATAATGTTGTTTACAGCTTTTGAGGGAATGTAAAGATGTACTACAAGGTGCTGTGATAGTTAAACAGTATTATCAACACATGGTGTATGCTGTGTTTGCTGAGGAGGAAATGATGGACTTGGAACAGTTTGATCAAGACCTGAGAAAAATGCTTGATGTATGTATACATATATCTACTAGTGTCAACCATCCAGATTACCCATGAGAGGTTTAACATGATTCTTGAAATTCTTAATTTACAAACTCTAAAAATAGGCATTCAAAGAAGTAAAATGGGCATTTTAAAAGCACATACATACTAATTCAAACCATAGGGGAGTAGAGCAAAGATAAAAATGACAGGTATAAGAGGTTCAAATGGTCCTCTTGGGCTTAAAACTCTCCATTGAGATTATGAAAGTTGGCATGTATGTGTTTGGAAATATTAGTATTGCATCATATCTATTATTGTAGTCAAACTTACCTTTTATTTTTGTTTTCACTGTTATTAGAATAAGTATTTAACTTTGTGTTTATAGGAATATCTAACATATCTACTTAACTTCGTGTTTATAGGAATATCTAACATATCTACTTAACTTTGTGTTTATAGGAATATCTAACATATCTACTTAACTTTGTGTTTATAGGAATATCTAACATATCTACAGACTTGGTTGTATATGTTACAAAATCTGCCCGAAGCTTCAAGGAGTCTAAAGAATGTGCTGGATACTGAGTGGACGTTTACCAAAGGCATCTGTCCTTATATTATTGGTGGTGAGGCAGAGGCAGGAAAAAGGTTTAGGTAAGGTATAATGGGGCTAGATAAATAAGCTGTGACAATTTGAAATAGCAGTAAAATAATTGTGTAAGTTCATTCAGAGTTTTGCTTAGTTTCTTTTGTTACCTATTCTGACATCGGACTCTGACTTCTTTTAAACTAAGTTTTACTGTGCGTATTGCTGTGTGTTTGTTTATTCTACATTGGCTAGAGGTATAGGGGGAGGGTTGAGATCTCACAAAACATGTTTAACTCCGCCGCATTTTTGTGCCTGTCCCAAGTCAGGAGTCTCTGGCCTTTGTAAGTCTTGTATGTTTTTTAATTTTAGTTCATTTATATGTTTTGAAGTTTAGTTTGACGTCCATTTTCACTGAACTAGTACACATGTTTGTTTAGGGGCCAGCTGAAGCCCGCTTCTGGGTGCAGGATTTTCTCGCTCTGTTGAAGACCCATTGGTGGCCTTTGGCTGTTTTCTGCTCATTGGTCAGGTTGTTGTCTCTTTGACACATTCCCCATTTCCATTCTCAATTTTATTTTTATTATTTTTTCTTATGTCTATTTATAATCATTATATTTAACATGCCCTTTATGGGCTGATGATTAGTTTAATAAAGTACTGGTATTCATATTTGTATTGAAGATGAAGACAATATTATTAAAAATTAGCATAATTCCATTTATAAGCATTTGTCATCAACTTAGAATAGAGAATTAGAAAATCATGATGACTTGATTTCATGGAGACAGGTATTGATGATTTGTTTACCTTTTCAGCACTTTAGCAAGCAGTCTGTTAAATTCTATCGTGGATTTCATGGAGACAGGTATTGATGATTTGTTTACCTTTTCAGCACTTTAGCAAGCAGTCTGTTAAATTCTATCGTGGATTTCATGGAGACTGGTATTGATGATTTGTTTACCTTTTCAGCACTTTAGCAAGCAGTCTGTTAAATTCTATTGTGGATTTCATGGAGACAGGTATTGATGATTTGATTACCTTTTCAGCACTTTAGCAAGCAGTCTGTTAAATTCTATCGTGGATTTCATGGAGACAGGTATTGATGATTTGTTTACCTTTTCAGCACTTTAGCAAGCAGTCTGTTAAATTCTATCGTGGATTTCATGGAGACAGGTATTGATGATTTGTTTACCTTTTCAGCACTTTAGCAAGCAATCTGTTAAATTCTATCGTGGATTTCATGGAGACAGGTATTGATGATTTGTTTACCTTTTCAGCACTTTAGCAAGCAGTCTGTTAAATTCTATCGTGGATTTCATGGAGACAGGTATTGATGATTTGTTTACCTTTTCAGCACTTTAGCAAGCAGTCTGTTAAATTCTATCGTGGATTTCATGGAGACAGGTATTGATGATTTGTTTACCTTTTCAGCACTTTAGCAAGTAGTCTGTTAAATTCTATCGTGGATTTCATGGAGACAGGTATTGATGATATGTTTACCTTTTCAGCACTTTAGCAAGTAGTCTGTTAAATTCTATCTTGGATTTCATGGAGACAGGTATTGATGATTTTTTTACCTTGTCAGCACTTTAGCAAGCAGTCTGTTAAATTCTAGCGTGGATTTCATGGAGACAGGTATTGATGATTTGTTTACCTTTTCAGCACTTTAGCAAGCAGTCTGTTAAATTCTATCGTGGATTTCATGGAGACTGGTATTGATGATTTGTTTACCTTTTCAGCACTTTAGCAAGCAGTCTGTTAAATTCTATCGTGGATTTCATGGAGACAGGTATTGATGATTTGTTTACCTTTTCAGTACTTTAGCAAGCAGTCTGTTAAATTCTATCGTGGATTTCATGGAGACAGGTATTGATGATTTGTTTACCTTTTCAGCACTTTAGCAAGTAGTCTGTTAAATTCTATCAAGGATTTCATGGAGACAGGTATTGATGATTTGTTTACCTTTTCAGCACTTTAGCAAGCAGTCTGTTAAATTCTATCGTGGATTTCATGGAGACAGGTATTGATGATTTGTTTACCTTTTCAGCACTTTAGCAAGTAGTCTGTTAAATTCTATAGTGGATTTCATGGAGACAGGTATCGATGATTTCACAGCCTCCCTATATGACTGGACAATGAGAGATGATGAAGATGAGGATCTAGATGAAAATGGTGATGAATATGCAGATGAAGAAGATGAAAATGAGTCCAATGCACAATATATACGAGATACAGATGATGACAGCCTAGATCCTACAGATTGTGAAAATTCTAGGGATGATCATGTTAAAAGAATCATGGAACTGAGGTATATTTGGGCTCTCAATTTGAAAATGATTTAAAGGAATAAAGGAGTACCCTCCTTCAACAGTTGTCCGTGCATGATGAATGCACACATAAAGATATAATGAATTATACTCAATATTAGCAGTCTACAAAATTATGCTGGTCATAACTACAAATTCCCCACACATTTGGCGTCATGCTTCCAAATATAAAAACTTTGATAAATGAAGTTTCTAATATTTATATATTAGTTTTCTCAGTATTTGAATTATGATGATTTTGTATCTTGTATTTTCTTTTTCTAGACATTCATTCCAACAAACCTCAAGAAATTGTAAGAAGTTATTTAATGAAGCAAGAGAAAGAGCCACCAAAGCCTTAGGTTTTGCCAAAATATTAAGAAAGGTAATTAGAATGTAATGAATGGAAAATGACAATAACACTTTATAAATTGGGTGCATCTAAAGCATTTTCTAGATGTACTTTCATCAGTAACACTCAGACCAAAAAATTTGAAGGCCAAGGATGTTAAAGTAGAAAGCAATGATTATCTTAGCATAAAGATAGTGATCCTTATCAAATAAGTTCTTCGCAAAATGGAATAATTAGTGGTTAATTTTTTATAACTTTTAAAGGTCCACTTTATAGAAAAACTGCTATAAAGGAATCTTCTTGACTTTTTATATTTGTTGAAAGGTATATATATTAAAGATAGATGTTCATGAGATAAATTTTGACTTTTTTTAATATTACATGTCAGAGAAAATGTACAAATGATTGATTCATGATCAATTATTATTTCTAACTTACACATTTAAATACATTTTACTATGCATGCTATGATGTTGTACTTTGTAAATTGAAAGTAATGGTTGTTTATATATTTTCTAGGATCTTGAAATAGCAGCAGACTTTAACATTATAGTCAACACAGCTGAATTGTTTGATAAATTGAAAGAAACAAATCATGCTTTGGTAAGGTTATACTCCAAAGATAATTTTAGGACGAACACAATTTTACGTATGTATAAGGTATTGAAGATTCATTATTCATGGGTACAAAGTTTTTGTGGATACATGATTTTCTGTTTTATGAGTTCCTTTGTTCAAACCTAAAGGAAATTAGCCTTTGTTAAATTTCTGGTTAACTTATACCCAGGAAATCCACTAAAATTAGTATCCCATGATATAGTATGAATCCTCGCAAGGGGAAGGGGGCATTAAGTGTTAACCTTGACCATTTGTCCTTCCATCTTTCCATCCGTCCAATTTTCATTTGAAAAGCAAACTTGAGCGAAGCATTCGTGTCCTCAGACACATTCTTCTTTTATTTAAAATAAATATATAGAAGTAGATTACAACACTTAACACATTTTTGTCATTAAAACTTAAGTATAGGATATTTGTTGTTGTAGAGGTAATACTTAATAAGGCTGATCTAACAGATTAAAACTTGATGGTCACTCTTTTGATGGCTTCTTTTAATGTCAGAGGTCAAAGGTTCGATCAAGGTCAAACCAAAGACTTGAATAATGGAATCTAATGCTAATCTGCCAATGTTTGTGGCATTAAGGAGTGACTCCATTTGGAGTCATTAAAATGATTTCATGGTTTGTGGCATATTTTACTTTAGACTAGTTTGAGCTAGCACATAAAAACATCAGGCACAGCATGTTGGTCTGTTACAGAGCATGTTTAGTATTTTTATTAAAGATTTTGATTATTTCTTAAAAAGTAAATGTGATTAAATTTATAGGTGATGGCATCCATGAATCCTGGCTATCAGATGTTTATACCGAACAAAATAATCAACAACCAACAATTGATTCTACAATTACTGAATGTCACATGTGGTCGGGATGATGTTTCAAGGTCACAAGATGACCCAAACAAGGAAGATGGTTACCTGTTGATGGTGAAATGTGAAGGGGGACGAGACCATAAATTAGAGTGTCCAATCTGGGTCGGGAACTCTGTCAAAGTGGAACCAACAGCAGAAACTACTATAGCCCTATCTCATATTGAGGTAAATGTCAGATGAATTCTTTTGGTACAGTCAGTGGCAGATCAAGGATGGGAGCGTAGGGGGCGTAGTCCTAAGTTTTACCCCTGTCTGTCTGTCTGTCTGTCCCAAAATTAGTTTCCTTTCTCTAACTTTAGTTGGCATCAACCAAATGTTATTAAACATGTACACAATACCTATTACCAACAAACACAGATAAATTTCTAATTTAGGTGGTGTCACCTTCACTGTTACGTCCCTTTATAAATGGAAAAATTGCTAAATTTGACATTTCCCCATTCTAACTTGAGTTTGCCTCAACCAAATGTTATAAAACTTATAGTCAATACTTATACAACCAGACACAGATGAAGTTTGAATATGGGTGGCATTATTTTCACCGTTTTCGAGTTATGTCAAGTAATGTTAAGTAAACAGCTAATGAAAGTTATGACCATTTGGTAAGTTTTCCACAATTTTTTGACAGCTGAAGTGAATCTTATTTTTTCCTTTCTATTCTGATGTGTAATTGTTTACATATATATTTATATGTAAAATTTAAATATGATGAGCTTTGAATAAAACTTGCAGTTTGGAATTCAAGTTTTAGACTAGAGCAACTAGAGCATGTGACCTAGCTCATATTATTTCTACTTTTTAACAGTTTTATCATTTAATGTTAAATCCTTATACTGTGGATTCATTTATTTTCGTGGGTATCAATTTTCGTGGATTGAGGAAAACCAGCATTTTCGTGGTTATTTGATTTCGTGGTTTTGCCAATCTCTGCATACAAAGCCTATAGCAAATTTGTAATTCGTTGAACATTTAAATTCGTGGTTCACCTGTTCCCACGAAACCCACGAAAATTGATATCCAACGAATAATAATGAATCCACAGTAAATGAAGACATACGTGAATGATATAGTTGGTAATGCTATTGCTGAATAGTGGTATAGTGAAAAAAAGTTGAAAATAAGAATAATTTTGCTACACCTTTTAGAATGTTCTATGAAAATGTTAGATTGAAAAAAAACAATTGTAAAAAACATTTCCCATATTGGCAAAAAATAGACCATAAAAGAATAAAAAATAATTGTTTCTTTTAATAAAGGGACAGTTTGATAAAAATAAGAAAAAGCTAAATAACATGTTGTTTATTTTTAACCAAGGTTCAAGGGTTATTGTTAGTTGTGATCAATGCTGGACATTTAACAACACAGAGAAAGGAATTTGAAGGTTATGCTGGGAAAACAGTGGAGCTAGTTAATGAACAAACCTCATGCCATCAAGCTATTGCTGAATCTTTAGCTGAGTTAAAAGTAAGTAGAAAAACAGATCAATGAATTGATCTCATGTATCTTAAAATATATTTTACAAACTTTGCAAATTCAACTTATGTGCATTTAAGGTTGCAATTGGCAAGTCAGAAGATGGGCAGACTGATGGGTTAGGGAATTCTTTTGTATATTTAAGCTCTTCTTCAAATTGCCATTGGAAAGTCTCAAACTTTCCGGAATGTTTATATATGCCATGACATACAAACACACATTTGAAAATTTTTGTAGATTTTCCAGATTATGAAACTAAGTAAATTTTTTAACAGCATTCTTGATGGAGTAGAGGGTACCTAATTTGTGTAATTAACTCTCCAATAATTATCAACCAAGAGCCTTAAAACTTTCTGCATTGTTTGAACATACATGTTTAGTGTGCACTCTCCTAATAAACATAACATCCACTTTATTTGAACTTTGGTGGATAGTTGTCTCATTGGCAATCATACCTCATCTCCTTATTTTTATATAAACCCAGGATATCACTTATTTGTCAAGCAGACTACAATTTTTCCCTTGAATGTATCAATTTGTGCCTGACTTAATTTAGTTAAGTTTGAGTTTTAAACAATGATACTTTTCATTAATCTACTGTAAATTCATAATATATTAGGGATCATAGATTTATTCTTACGAGGAAGCTCCGAGCATGCTCAGAGGATGCTCGGAGCTTTTTAAGTAGGCTCTTCTCAGCAGTTTATGTGACAATAATTATCATGATCCATTAAGATGTCAATCAAATCTATAGCACTTTTATAATAAGGAAAGTAGAGCATTATAGAGGAAGCTCCATTAACACCTGTGTAAACATCTGGTCTATTCAAACAAATCTTGCATTAATTTTACAAAACTATAAAATAGATGAGAAATTCTTCAATATTACTGTACAATGCTTGGTATCAAGTCTTCACAGAAAGAAAATGATTTTTAACATTTTCTTAATAATCATCATACTTTAAAAAACACTCAAATTTTATATTTGAAATATAAATATATTTTAAATTTATACTATATAAAATGAAATATAAAAGTCATCAAAGACACAAACTATGGTTATTGATTTATTACCATACTACCAAAACATGGTACATTCAGTTTCATGCGAAAAAGGGTTGATCTTTTTTTATATTCCATTTAATTTGACAGTTGTTCGAAATTAACCCTCCATTTCATTGCAGAAAAGTTTTTTTGAGTCATAAACATGTTTCTTGGGTGCTTCAAAGCAATAAAAATATACTATATTCTACAGGGAAAAAAGGGGGAGAGAATTTGATTGGTTAACTTCTGGTGATGTTTACTTTCTTATATCATTGTATATGCACTGAAAAGTTATGCTATATTTTCACTGTAGTACAGTACATTTATTTATGTCAAGTATTTCTTTATTTAAAACATAGATAAATTCTGCACATTTTTTTTGAAATATAACAATCATGACAATTAAACAAAGACATATAGGGGGAAAATAATTTTACTCATGCCAAGTATTTCTTTATTTAAAACAAAGCTAAATCTGCACAATTAAAAAAAAATTCCAAGTAAAGAGAGACTTACTAGAGGGAAAACAATGGTGGTATTACCCCCTCAAACCAGGCTTCCACTAATGAATTACAACTTTTCTTCAAGTAGCCATAATTTTCTATAAAAGAACTTAGTTTGCTATTTTATAAAAAAAAAAACATATTACCATTGTTTAGTTAGGGGCATTACTTAAACAAGTAATTTTCAAAATTACCTATACAAGTTATGTTGAAAACGAGGCTGTTTCAAATATAACTTCTATATCATGAATAAGTAACTTCTGTTAATATTATTTTTATAGGTGTCCATTCATACAGGTTTTACTAGCTTTAACAAATTTTCACAGACATCTGGTTATTTTCCCCATGAAACTATTTAAATCCTCAACAACACTAATTGCTTTTCTGATGCCACACTTCTTGTTGGTCAAAGATTAGCCTCTTGGGGCTATTAAAATATCATTTCCCCTTAGAATCTTAGAGATGGACAGTTATCACTAGATATGGAACCTTTAACTTGAAATTATTTATAATTTGAATCTTAATCAAAAGCAATTACATATATTCCTTAAATAATTGTAAGTACTAAGTTTTTTGAAGTTGTATAAAATAATTTATTAAAGTAATATTTTTGTCATTATTTTTTAAAGTAACCTCTCTATACTTATCTAAAATTGGATAAATACTTAATTTTATTTAATGAAATGATCTAAAAATTCTTAAAAACTAAATTTAGTCCATGCTTTATTTGACATTAAAAATAACTATTAAGTTATTAAATAATTTTTAAAAACAAAAAATACTTATAAAAGTGACTAAAAAAAATTACTTGTTAAGTAACGCCCCTGACTGTTGTTTGTGTCTTGATAACTTTTATGTAGCATATTATATAATATAAACTATTTTTAAATCATATCATCTAATTATAAAAATTTGAGAATTTTTTTATTATAAAAAAAGGAATGATTATTAAATATAATAAGAAAATATTTAAATGACTTTTACTTTTTGTGGAGACTTAATATTTCTTTCAAAGCATTACACAGCACAGTTGAAGAATTTCTAATCTATTTTATAGTTTTGTAAAATTTCATGTAAAATGTATTTGAATAGGCCAGATGTTTACACAGGTGTTTATGGAGCTTCCTCTATAATGCTCTACTTTCCTTATCATAGAAGTGGTGTAGATTTGATTGACATCTTAACGGATCATGATAATTATTGTCACATTAATAACTGAGAAGAGCCTACTTAAAAAGCTCCGAGCATCCTCCGAGCATGCTCGGAGCTTCCTCGTAAGAATAAATCTATGATCCCTTACGAGATTTTAATTAATGTGAAAAATGCGTTTGGGTGAGTATCCCAATAATAAGAACTCGCATTCTAAAATCTGATAAATATATCTATATGCTGCTTTTCCTGACAATTTATCTCACATTTTTGTCCATTCTTAAAAAATCGCAATAATAAATGCATACAATAATTTTTGAATTTACAGTATATTGGAAATTTAGATCTAATTTCCTAATGCTTGTAGATTGAGACTTTGTTTGGCTTGCTTGCTTTGTTTGTATAAGTGTTTGCTCAAGCATTGTAATTAAGATTGACATCTGCCAGCAATATAAATAGGCGGAGTTAAACCTGTATTTCTTAAATTTGATTAGATGTTATCCTGGCAGTTATGAATCTAAATATAATGTATACAGGTTCAGCCTATTTATATTGTTTGCAGTTGTTAATCTTAATTACAATGCTTGAGCAAAGATTTATACAAACAAAGCAAGCAAGCCAACCAAAGTCTTACTCTACAAGCATTAGGAAATTAGCTCTAAGTAAAGAATAAATATTTGTTATATATTTGAAAGTCACTGAAATAATTTTGTTTTATTTTATCAGTCAGCTGCTGTAGAGTTACAAGAAAAAGTTGTTTTAGCCATTAAACAGGTGGATGAGAAATTAAACTTTGAAGATATAGCAAACCTAGAAGACAACGAAAAATACCATCTACTGAATCTGTACAGAGAAACTATGCTCAAAGGCTATAACTTTGGATTTGAGGTAAATTTCTTCTATAAAAAATAAGACCTTCTGATTGGGTCACTTTTTAAAAGGGCAAACTTTGGATTTGAGGTATATTCCTTCAAGAGCTATTGTCTGGATCACTTTGAAGTCAGAGAGCCACAATAAAATAAAAAAAAGTGACAGTAATATTTCTTTTAAACATTTTGAAAGTCCATATAAGGTCCTCAGTGATGATCAACATTTTAGAATACCAGATAGTAATGTTGAGAATTAACCAATCATCAATACAATTATGAAAACATAAAAGTTATGTGATGTTTCATGTTGCTGTGTGCAATTGGCACTTTTCACAAAAAATCATACTTCTAAAGTTAAGCGTAAGTTATACTGATATGTTTATGAATTAGGAATATATTTCATTGTAACATTTGTGTATTACAGTACCTGAAGGAGGTGACAAGGTTAGTAACGGGAGAGCCACGACAGAAACTAGGGACACGTCTCGTTAGCTTTGCCAAACAGTGGATGCAGTTTGTAATGGAAAAATGTGATAAAGGAAGAGGAATGAGGCCAAAGTAAGTCATAGATTCACTTAAAAAAAATATGCAGTATCAGAATGCATTTTGGTTAATATTTTCAGTGTTCTCCCCAGGATTTTTTTAAGGCACAAAATTCAAGGGCGTGTAACTCTTTTTTTAGAGTGAACGTTTGTGATCTGAAGCAATAAGTCATAAATCATGACATGCAATATGAATTATAATGCTTTGTGTTATGTGTTTAATAATGCAGAGTATTAATGAATAACAAGAATATATATATGAAATAAATTGATTTTAAACACAAAAGTTATTTATATTCAGTCAATTAAAGAAGTCAAAATATAAATATTCATCTCTGCTCTATGCTCCTTCTAGGGATATTGTTTCAAGATAGTGTTATTTTGTTGGACAGTCTGTTCATCAACTTTGTCTTTATCCTCTTCAGGGTTAAAAATTAAACCCCCACTCACAATAACTTTTGCTTATACCCCCTTTAACATTTCTAAGCCATGAAAACTCAGTCAGCCACTTGTCATTGAAACCAGAAATATGGTGCTTGCTTTTATCAATTGCTAAAACTTGAGCTTGGTTGGGATTAGGAGAAGCAATGAAATCTGCTTATACTGACAGTGTAGACGGAGGTGTATTCCCCTTTTCATTAGAAGTCATTGGTCTGAAAAAAAACTACTTCCATCATCTACCTTTTGCTTATAATTCACCCCTTTGTTATTTGCAGAGAACATGTTCATTCAGAATTAATAAAATCGAATATGGTTAAGATATTTGGTATACAACTTTTTAAAACAATTTTTTTTTTATAAATGAACAGCTGACCAGTTTCCGTAGTTTCACATCACGCTTCCGTGCGTATTATTGTTTAATCCTATCTTTGGCAGATAGATATAAACGAAATTTTACAAATTAGTTAAAGTTAAAACCATTGAAATTATTTACCACTGACATTATACAGAAACTGCGGCGATTCTGTACCCGTTTTGATTGTCGCATTTTCCTGACGCACGGATTCACGATCGATGTTCAATGATCAATTTATTTCTAAAAATATGACAGTTTCAGAGGAATTTACCTTGCAAGCAACATTTGTTCACTTTCTATTAAAGTAAATCACTCCTCGTTATCTTTAATCAAACTTTATTTTAATTTTTTCAACTACTAATACTTTCATTCATAGTTTTCATCGTAGCAATGTGTATTCAAATTTATCATGTGTATTCAACACGTTCATTGGTCGTGATTAAATAGATTCTTCTTCTCGACCAATGAAAAAATTCGTTATACAAATGGTCAAGTGATCACACACACGATGCGTAAATACAATGTATTTGCGATCTATTTCTTCAATTTCTGCACTGAAGTTTTTAAAATTTTTAATTTTCTTCAAAAAATATCTATCTTCTTGATGATCATTTACGCTATTACCTGATAACATAGTCCGATAAGGCTGAGATAAGCGTGGCTCAGGTAAAACTAATTATCAGTTATTGCGTAACACTGACCGACCCAGCGGTGATCAGTAACTTGACAATTTTAACCAACATTTATAATGAAAATGTGAAAATTAACACGCTGCTGGATCAAGTATTAAGGGACAGCGGCCAATTAAGACGCTGCGGGATCTACAAAAATATTATGAAGGCGCTGCAGCACCGCAGCGTCATATCGGCCTGGGGAGAACACTGATTTTCAAAACTGTGCACCAAAACTTAGTGATTTGTTCAAAATGTCCTTAGCAATGGAAATACAACAGATGATGTGACTTCATTTTCATTTTAAAGTACCAACAATGATTTGACCATAGTCCTGTAGTTTTTAAAGGCAGTGCTTTAATGCCTTTCTAGTTGCCGTGTTAATATTTCTTTCCGCGATATCCAACTTATCTACGTGGGGGGTCATTTAGCTCCAAGTAGATCCGGAAAATGTTGATTCTCTCCTCTTCTTATTGTGGTATAAAATGTTTTTTGTCTCATTTCATTTACATTGGGAAATAGAGAAACGATCATTGTGTTTTGTTAGTTTTAAAAACTTTTGATATATTTGTATTTTACATTATAAGCAGTCAACCGATTGACAAACTAGAATTATTTGAATTCCGTGTGGAAAGAGCTCGGGTTAATTTCGAGTGTTTTCTGCAATCTAGATGTTTATAAATCATTTCAGTCGTTGATATAATAATTAAAGGTCGACTGAACATGAATTATATTATACAATTTAAAGCGCATTTCTGTTTATGCACGCGAACCCGTCTAACGTTATTGTTATTTCGCAGTTATATAAAGTAGCAAATTATCGTTCCTGAATAGGTGGCGCCGTGGTAGCCGATCCTGTACTTCAACTTCCGGTTTCTGCACTGTGCAACTATTACAGTTGCATTTTTAATTAACGATGCCAAGTACTTGTTGTTGTGTACCTGGATGTCATTTAAGAGGAGCAAATGACTTAAAAAGAAGGAAAAGTTGGACCAACGCCATGGCCCATACGCAGATTGGACGAGAACACGATGAAATCGTGGAGTCCATCTCAATCAGCTGTTGTTTGCAAGGCACATTTTACTGAAAAAGACTACGTGCAGGAAACTATTCATGGTAAAACTCTATTTTCTTTTTAAAATATATAGTTATATATGTAATCGCCATGCGAATAAACCAAAGTCAGTTTACAACCGCAATTATCGTTTTAGAATAAAAGGGGGTGGTTAATTCAAGACGTCATAATTTTTTGGATTACGATTCAATGTGATCTGTTTGAGATTTTTTGGTGCTTGCTACAATTATAATGATTTCTTACAAGAGGTATATCATACTGAGAATTATTTTAGCAGTAATTATGCTTATGTAGTAATGACAGGAGTGCATAAGCTATGCCTCATAGACTTTCTTGAAAAATATCAATGACAATGTTAACAGGAACAAAACAATGACATGCTCTCATCTATATTATAGTTATTTAATGTGCAAACAATGTATGTTTGTTGCATACGTCTCTCATTGTTTGTCCTTTGGATTTACATAACATACATTTTGATGTACATTGAATCAGGCTAACATAGTTTTATCCAGATTGTAATGAATAAATCTAGTTAATATTTTGCCAGGTTACGAGTACAAAGGAATTATAGTTATCTCGTACCATTGTAATTCGTACCAATGTCAACTCGTACCACTAAACAAAAACTCGTTCCAATGCAAACTCGTACCACTGCTAACTCGTACCACGGTAAATTCATACCATTGTAAACTCGTACCCACTTATTTAAATGCATTCAAATGGTGTTTAATGATGAATATATACTTTAATTTCACTCAATACCACTTAAGATGGTAAAATGTGTATAATTTGAAATTACAATAACCAATTTGTAGCTAATTTTCCTTGTCTAATTGGATAGAGAAAACCGTGGCAGATTGGCTTTGTTGTCTCCCTTGAATAGACTCTTTTTTAAACTTTTACTGACAACTATTTGATTTAATTTTTAATCATTCCAAATCAGTAACATTGAATAGATTTTGGTATTTTTCTATTGTTTCTAAAAGGAATTTTATTTAATGAAAGAATTTATTGATTGTGTTTTAAAGGTTTAAAATTGTTTATGACCAACAGTTAGAAAGTATGAAATTTATTTTTATACAATATTCAGCACATTTCAGCAGAATATGACCATGCTTATATGATTATACAAGTTGATTAGTTAAAGATAAAAAAAACCAAGTTGATTAGTTAATAATCAACCAATAATCACACAATCAAAGGAATTTAATATATTTAGTAGCATGGTAATTAAGAAATTACATTTGTATTTTTGTCTAAGTTTTCATTAAAATCTAGTATAAATTTCAAAGATATTTTAATTTTTTGTATAAAGCTTAAAAAAAAATAATCATAAAACATTCGTATTTTTGTCTAAGTTTTCATTAAAATCTAGTATAAAATTCAAGTAATTCAACTTTTTTTATTTAGTTTACCAAAAAAAAAATCATAAAACTTTCGTATTTTTGAATATATTTTTAATGGTACGAGTTTGCAGTGGTACGAGTTCTGATTGGTACGACTTCCCAGTGGTACGAGTTTACATTGGTACGAGTTTACGTGGTACGAGTTTACAATGGTACGAGTTAACTTGCTTCTGTACAAAGTATGCATTGCTAATGGAAGTTCATTTAATTATCAAAAAACTAATGTTTTATAACCTTTTTCAGGGCACAAACCCACCATACAGAGACTTAAGTCTACTGCCAATCCCAGCCTATTTTCCTGGACCAAGCAAGAGACTGAATCGTCCGCAAAAAGAAAAATCAGGGCAGTTTTCTGTGAAAACAAAAGAACTAAACTTGATGAATATTGTAGTAGAAATCTAGAGGAAATTTTTGATTGTAAAGTTGGTTTTCCTGAAGAAGTAATTCATACTGCAGACAGGATTTATGACTGTCCACCACCAACTGCCGAGCTAATGTTGAGCTTCACAGATGGAATTACGCAAACACCATCAATGCCTATATTTTCAGCAGAGAATTTTGAAATGAAGACACGTGACACAGCCATGCATTTTTATACCGGTTTAGAGTTGTATACTAAATTTTTATTTGTTTTGACCACACTTGGTCCAACAGCACATTGTTTGAGATGCATATATTTTCAAATTGATAGGGTGTCATTTGAAAATCAGTTTTTTTATGACTTTGATGAAATTGATGCATTATACAACCAACTTTGAACTGTCTAGATTCTAGATTGAAACTAGTGTTAAGAATATTGTGTAAACATGGATTGGTTTTTATGTCTAAACCATGTAAACAGTGGCGTGAGGCTAACACTTGGCCATTTAGTGGTTTAGTCAGGTATTTTTCGCCATCCAACTTAGAATTAAAGTTTCCTACAACTTGGATTATTATTGACAGCACAGAATATCCTGTGATAAAACCTAAAGCTCCTAGAGCTCAGGCAACCTTTTCATCATATAAAAACAGAAACACTGAAAATACTTGTATGTTCGACACCTGGTGGTTTAGTCAACTATGTCTCTAATGCATATGTTGGTTGTACCAGTGACTGTGAAATAGTTGAAAGATATAGAATAGTTCAATTATGTGATCCAGGTGACAGTGTGATGGCAGACAAAGGTTTAAATGTGCAAGATTTGTTTGCTCACTTTTTTCAAAAAAAGAAACAGAATTAGTTCCAAAACTCTTATACGGGATAGAAAAGTCTCCAATTAACACATGCACATAGAGCTAATTATTGGACTTGTCAAAACATACAAAATTCTAATAAATCCTATGAATGGAACTGAAACAAAACTTTCATCTGAAATAACATTTAGTTGTTTTATGTTGTGTAATTTTAGAACTTGTATTGTGCCAAAGGATGCATAAATAAAAGTGACGCAATGAAGTTTGTTCTGATATATATATATAAATATTATTTACAATTACATGCACATGTAAATTGTAATGCATATAAAAATAAGGAGATGTGGTATGATATTCAGTGAGTTTATCGAACCAAAGTGCATAAGAAATGGGTTAAGCAGTTACAGGTGTTACTGTCACCATACAATCTCCAACAATTAGAAAAACTTGTACCGTGTAAATAATTTCAGAGATCTTACAACTAAGTTTTGTTGTCTCACCTTGACTTTGGTGAATTGTTTATATCTGTTGATGTAAATATAAAAAAGAAGATGTATGATTGCCAATGAGACAAATCTCCACAAGAGACGAAATGACACAGAAATTAACAGCTATAGGTCACAGTACGGCCTTCAACAATGAGCAAAGCACATACCGCACAGTGAGCTATAAAAGGCCCGAAATGACAATGTAATTCCAACAATTAGAAAAACTTGTACCGTGTAAATAATTTCAGAGATCTTACAACTAAGTTTTGTTGTCTCACCTTGACTTTGGTGAATTGTTTATATCTGTTGATGTAAATATAAAAAAGAAGATGTATGATTGCCAATGAGACAACTCTCCACAAGAGACCAAATGACACAGAAATTAACAGCTATAGGTCACAGTACGGCCTTCAACAATGAGCAAAGCACATACCGCACAGTGAGCTATAAAAGGCCCGAAATGACAATGTAAAACAATTCAAACAAGAAAACTAACGGCCTAATTTATGTACAAAAAATGAACGAATAACAAATATGCAACACATAAACAAACGACAACCACTGAATTACAGGCTCCTGACTTGGGACAGGCACATACATGTACATACAGAATGTGGCGGGGTTAAACATGTTCGCGGGATCCCAACCCACCCCCTAACCTGGGACAGTGGTGTAACAGTACAATATAAGAGCAAACTATAAAAATCAGTTGAAAGAGGCTTAACTCATCAGATGGATAAATACAAATACAAGTGGACGTGGCCGGGTAGTTGTACATCCAAACAACAAAAAGACACTAAGTACAGATCTGAGAGTACTCGCATTTACTGACAGCTAGTTCAAAGCCACAAACAACTGATAAAAAAATCTTGCATCTAAGACTAAATTATCAATCCGTAAGCTCCCTTTAGAATTTTATAAATTTTAGATTTTACATTATTGAGTTATGGGGTTTTTATTCATTAAAAAGGGGGGGATTTTCCAGTTTTTGGACAACAACTCAAAAATGCTTTAAGCAGTTCGCATGAAACTTTGGTGAATTATTTATAGCTATTGATGTAATCTCCCTATTGATTTTCATAAATTTCAAATATGACATTGAGAAGAAATTGAACTTTATTTGTTTATAGTCTGGCAACAGATTTATTAAGTATTGCGCAACAGCACAGTGTATTGCGCAACAGCAAGAAATCTTTAACTGAATATAAATTCAATTCATATAACCGATTTCAAGTTCTTTGACTACATTTATTCAGAAACTATAATATGTCAAATATTTAATTACAATCCAAATTCAGAACTGTATCAAGCTTGAATATTGTGTCCATTTTTGCCTCAACTGTTCAGGGTTGGACCTCTGTGGGTGTATCCAGCTGCGCTCAGCGAATCAGTTTATTACTTAATTAAGAACTCCTTTTTGTCGAGCCTGCGACTTTTGTCGCAGAAAGCTCCACATAGGGATAGTGATCCGGCGGCGGCGTTAGCTAACTTCTTAAAAGCTTTATATTTTAGAAGGTGGAAGGTCTGGATGCTTCATACTTTGTATATGGATGCCTCATGTTACGAAGTTTCCGTCAGTCACATGTCCAATGTCCTTGACCTCATTTTCATGGTTCAGTGACTACTTGAAAAAAAAGTTAAGATTTTTTGTAATGTTGAATTCTCTCTTATTATAAGTAATAGGATAACTATATTTGGTATGTGCATACCTTGCAAGGTCCTCATGCCCGTCAGACAGTTTTCACTTGACCTCGACCTCATTTCATGGATCAGTGAACAAGGTTAAGTTTTCGTGGTCAAGTCCATATCTCAGATACTATAAGCAATAGGTCTAGTATATTCGGTGTATGGAAGGACTGTAAGGTGTACATGTCCAACTGGCAGGTGTCATCTGATCTTGACCTCATTTTCATGGTTCAGTGGTTATAGTTAAGTTTTTGTGTTTTGGTCTGTTTTTCTTATACTGTATGCAATAGGTCTACTATATTTGGTGTATGGAATGATTGTAAGGTGTACATGTCTAGCTGGCAGGTGTCATCTGACCTTGACCTCATTTTCACGGTTCAGTGGTCAAAGTTAAGTTTTTGAGTTTTGTCTTTTTTTCTAATACTATATGCAATAGTTCAACTATATTTGGTGTATGGAAATATTTTATGATCTATATGTCAGTCACGCAGGTTTTTTTTTACCTTGACCTCATTTTCAAGGTTCATTGCTCAGTTTTAAGTTTTTGTGTTTTGGTCTGTTTTTCTTAAACTATAAGCAATAGGTCAACTTTATTTGTTGTATGGAAGAATTGTTAGCTGTACATGCCTGCCTAGCACGGTTCATCTGACCTTGACCTCATTTTCTTGGTTCATTGGTCAATGTTTAGTTTACTTGGTTAATATTAAGTTTATGTGACAGTTGTAATAAAGCTTTATATTTAGGACTATCAACATAATATCAATGATTAGTAAAGAAGGCGAGACATTTCAGCGTGTGCACTCTTGTTTCATTCATGAATTACTTTATACTTGGAAATATAATTTTGCTTGGAGTTATAGTTTCTAAAAAAAGTATTGTCATTGAAAGAGTTGACATGTTGCAATGTACATTTATTCTACATAGTTCTATGGTACCAAATCAAAAGTTTATATTAAAGAAAGAAGTCAAAGGTTTCCCATCATAGTTTAGTTACATACATTTTTTTTGTACCTGAGGTCGTTGAATATAGATCATTATATAAATAAGGAGATGTGTTATAATTGCCAATGAAACAACTATCATCCATACATTGTACTTACCAGTAACAAACCACATTTGCAAAGTTGAATAAAATACAGTTGATAACATTTACTTATTACTTAAAAGAAAATGCCAAACTATTTTAAACAGTATTTGACTATAAACATAGATAAAAAAGGTACTAACTGGACATAATGCACTAGTTCATAAACAAGTGAGAACAATCGCCTTCATATAGTGCTCAGAATATGACATTCATAAAACTTGTTCAATATCATTAGAGAACTCTAAATCTTAAATACTGAAAGCCACCTCTGATAAGTACAATGTACTATGCAAGATAATGATATAACTGGACTAAAAATACACACAACCTGTAATTAACTGCCTTTACAGCGCTTTCGCGCTTTGATTGTAATTCTGAAATGATATCCCTATTTCAGACATGTTATTAAATGTATTTTGTATTTTCCTTTTTAGGACAATTTTAGACAAGATTTATAGAGTGGAGTCAAAATTTAATTACAGTTGAGACAGAATGTTATCAAATATTTGGAAGCATATAATGTCTTGTTTTCCATATTGATTTCTAGAGCATTGCATTATTTGTAATTATACTTTTTAGGTGGGCTAGCCATGGACTTGATTTCCTCACTGTCGCCTGTCAGCCTGTAGTACTTGCTGGGTTAACAGAACAAGAGTTTCAGGTATCTTTACATTGAGTGATTTATGTTCCATTGTTACGAGCTAACGTTTTGTGTCATTGGGTTGCTGTTTCATAGACATATACCGGTACTCAATGTTTCATTTTATTCAAAAATATAATGTCAATAAAGAATCAAAATAAATAAGTGAGACATAATGAATTGTGATTTTTTTTTAATTAAATAAAGTTATGATACTAATTTAAAAATGAAAGTTGGAATAATTTCTAATCTGAAGGCATTGAACAGGCATCAAGTGCAATAAACTCATCATAGATACCAGGATTAAATTTTGTATTTACACCAGACGCGCGTTTCGTCTACAAAAGACTCATCAGTGACGCTCGATTGAAAAAGGTCAAGTAACCTAAACATTCATACCTGACTAGTTGTCACTACATTACCTGAGAGGAATTGAAAAGTAATAATATTTTAATTAGGGCTATTTGAGGAAAATGTATCCTAGGATTGGAAACCACGTGATATTTTTTTTTACTGTGTTATAGGGGTGAAAGCAAATATAATTCTGTTATAAATGAAATTAAAAATTATGAGTGGCAGAGTATTAAAAGAATGATTGGCCAACCTCCCATACATTTTTTTCATGGAATAGCCTATTGAAAATGGAAAAAAATAAATTGATTAATGTGAAAACAAGAAATAACATTATATTACAGGATTTGAAGCACAGTATAAACAACTGCATATCACATGTGATAGGGTCAGCTGATCGTAATTTACCTACTAGTCCAACTCATGGTGGTAAGTAATAACTATATCACACGTGATAGGGTCATCTGATTGTTATATATTAACTAGTCCAACTCATGGTAAGTAATAACTATATCACATGTGATAGGGTCAGCTGATCGTAATATACCTACTAGTCCAACTCATGGTGGTAAGTAATAACTTTATCACACATGATAGGGTCATCTGATTGTTATATATTAACTAGTCCAACTCATGGTAAGTAATAACTAGATCACATGTGATAAGGACATCTGATTGTTATATACCTACTTGTCCAACTCGTGGTAAGGGTCATTTGATTGGTATATACTACCTAGTCCAAATCATGTTAAGGGTCATCTGATTGGTATATACTACCTAGTCCAACTCGTGGTAAGGGTCATTTGATTGTAACATACCAACTTGTCCAACTCATGGTAAATAATAAAGTGTATATTACATTTACATTTATTGGGGTGAGCGGGTATTAATGTACTGATTAGTCTAATTAATAATAAGTATTAGTTGTTATTTTTAAATCACACATAAAAACTCTTTTACAAAAGTCAATTGTTTATTTGATATACAAACTGGAAATGTTATTATGATGTGCAAACTAAAACTTATGATACAAATTTGTCCTTATCGACCAACATTGAGGAAAAAAGAGAAAGCAAAATTATGCAGCAAGCATCCATGCAATCAAAATGGATATGTAAAGCTTTGGAGTCCTGTGTTGGTAGAAGGTCATTTTCTACAGTAAATAATCAAACCAACAACAGGATGTATGGTTTCCTGTCATAATGAAAATTTCAAACTTTTCTATGAGTGACTTTTAAAGCTGTAATGCCAAGTCTATATCCTTGCCCTGTTCAATAAATGTATTTACTTCTTCATAGAACTTCAGATTATTGACGAAAACTAATAACATTTAAAAGAAGGTACATGTAGATTTTTAACACAAATTTACAGATACTGGTAATTGTTTTGTTGTTGGTACACACAAATAAATTTGCTTTCTGTTGATTCATGAATTCTTTATAAGCTGTGGGAAATGGTGAAGCTATTTCTGCAGGTGTCCTTTTATCATTCATCCTATGAATTGTTTGGTGTATTATTTCGGTGTCCCTTTCCTAGAATTGATAGTTAACAAAGATAGTATCTGACCCATTGGCATTATTCTGAGCAAACAATTCATTGTTTATTGTAAGCACTGGTATAATGAAGCTATAATGTGCATAGAAGAACAATATTATTTATGAAAATGTCTGATGATGTTTTAAAAATTTCTATTACAGGATCAATGCATTCATCTAGGTCATCCAGTTCTGATTTTGGAGGTGGGCGGTCCTACATGAGATTCCCATCCTGGCCGACAACAGAGTCACCAATCAAACGTTCATCATCACAGATGTCAACAAAGTCAGCTGATGGAGTTACCTCCCCTCTGTCTGCAGGCTCTGACACAAGTAAGAGAAAACATGATATAGTGTTGTTGCTTGCAGTTGCATAGATATAAGGGCTTATCAAAATAACTCAGTTTTAATAATCAGGCAATCTGTTTCTATTATAGAAGAAACAATACTTGGATTATAATTAGATATTGAAACCATAAACCATACATGTTTAGCATTTTTTGTGAGGTCCGTCTGTTCAATTTAAATAATAGTAAGATATTTGAAGGAAATTGGTTAAAATGTGTATGGTTTATACTGTAACAAGAATAGTATTTACGTATTTGCCTGGTTCTTTTAGAATAAGACACACATGAAATATGATATAAAGTTTAGAATAACTAAAACATTACAAGTCAGTTTGAGTGATATTGTATTTATTTTGATGACCCTAAACTGTTGTTAAAAAAGTATATGTTTTTGCTGTTCAAATTTCTTTGATTGATTTTGTATTTTGCTTAATTATTATTATAAAAAGAAATTTGGTACACAGTCGGTTGAGTTTTGATATAAAAACAATTGATAATTTGTCCTTTTTTATATACAAAAGTATTATTTTATTGCCTTGTTTTTATCAAATATTTTTACGATGTCCAATGTCCTGAAAATACTAGACATTGGCTTCTGAATGTTTAACAGCAAACAATTATCACCCAATAAGATATTATTTCTAAAACAGAAAACTTGTATAAGTCAATACCTTAAAATTCATACACACTAACATTTATATTTCAAAGAAAGATGAACAAAGTTGTGGCAATCTCTGTTTTTAAATGTAATCACAAGACTTTACTCTCTTGACTTTTCTTTGTTGTAATCACAGTTTATTGCATGCTTATATTCACATTTCTAAGATTGCCTTAAATTTCTGTTTGACATTACACAGGAAAATGTATGGTTTGTTCATGTAATAGTTAAATAATTGATAAATTAAAAATCTTCAGACAAACTGGAATTCTTGTAAGATTTATCAGAAAATATGCACAAAATTATATGTTAAACTGGGTCCTGCTTCTAATCAAAGAAATTATATGTTAAACGGGGTCCTGCTTCTAATCAAAGCATTTATCTATAATAAAAAACATATATTTCATATTCAGAAACTTTCATGATACATTTTCATAGAAAGTGTGTACATATATATGGAATTTCAGTTTGGAAAGAATTATATAGTTGAGCTAGCTTTGACTTGTTTTCAGGAAGTTCCAAGCGCAGCTCTATAGAATCTATGCCAGAAGTAGAAACATGTATTTACGATGGGGAAGACGGTGGTCTAATTTTAGATATAAGTCACCGACGTCGCAGTAGAGGTAGATTGCACATTTTTGTTGCTCTTGTTTTTTTTTTAACTGTCATTGTAGATAATTTATTTGGTTTTGGAGATTGTAAGAAATGGTATAATTTCAAATTAATAGACAAGGGAATATTAATATCATACACTTTGTTAAACAACACACTTATTTCAGATAAAAAGGCTTCACTTTTCTGCTTGTGGCTTATCTTTAACTGAATATGTTGAGGGATGGCTTTTATGTGATAGGTGTGCCAGTTATTGATATATTTTAATCTTGGTCATGTTAATAATAAAAAGTCAATAATTGTTGAGATAATAAGATTTTAGTTTAGTAAGCTTTGGGAAAATATATTGGAATTTGATATTTCCAATTTTAATCTAGTTTATTTCTATATATTAATATGATAAAATACAGAATCCTAGAAATACATTACTTCCAATTATACATAACTTCTCATTGAACTTGAGGCAAAATTGAAATCTTTAAATAGACTGAGGGAAGCCTGAACATTTTATATCACACAGCCAGATTTTGTTTTAATACTGTGAATGCTGTAAAACAAATTCCTTTGTCCTTTGTCTACAACAAACACATGTTGACTTTATGTTTATTGAACATTTCAGCAAGTTTAGGTAAGAACTGTTCCCACCCTGAGTTATATTACCAATCATATTTGAATGGACTTACCAAGGCAAGATGCTTGAAGGAAGTTTTTAAGCTGGTATAAGTCAACACCCTTTTGATATGCTTGTGAAAAACCAGTTTGGGAAAAAAGATGTACTTCTGATTTAAATATCAAGGGATATAAGTAACCTTAAATTAGGATAACTAGTTGTTAAAAGGTATAAACATGGCCATTAGCATATCTTTCTTAAATACAACTATTTGAAATAAATGGCATTAGATTTACCGTATCTCTTACATTTTCTTTGTTATTAGGGACCAAATGGCAGATAATTGCACTTTTACAAATTGGGTAAAGTTTTTAGTTTTAACTTCCAAAGTGGGTGTGACTTTTGTGATTTTCCACTTTATATATTTCTAAAAAGTGTTCACGGTTAGACAACAGCTTTGTATAGTATTGATTTTTCCAATGATATGAGAAGCAGAAGTTTTGGAAAAATTACAATTCAATGTTATACATACTGTAAAGCCCATTTCTATGTCCAAGACAAATTTGGTGTCAATGTTAGTTTTAATACACACTTATTTAGTACTCTTATGTCCACATGTTTGGGTTATGTCATGTAGGATGATATAACTGTGAGGTTTCTTGACTATAGATCAGCTTATGTAAATATCCATTAATTTTACTAATAAAAAAATTTATACAGAATTAATTTAAGATATTTTATACAGCAATGAAGGAAGTAGTAATTCAGTATTTATATATTCCAGATCCTGCTTATTCCCCTTAAATTTAAGTAAACACGTTATGTCCTGTAATGCACAATGTATCATTTTAATTTCATTTTGTTTATTCAGGAAAGGTTTTGCATGATTCAGTAATTTTGTCATACAGCAAATCTATATTGCTTAAACTGTATTTTTAAAAGTATACTCACACATTAACATTTCAATGGAAAAAGGGACAAATTTGATTGAGTTGAATTAGCAATTCCAGAAAAGATCAGATTTCTATAATACCCTTTCATCTTATATTTGTAATGATTTTGTCCAGTCTTATCCTCATTTCCAGGAAATATTGTGAAGTATTTTGTACTGTTTTTACTACTGTTGATTCACTTATTTATTGTGGATTGAGAAGAACTGTATTTTCATGGCTATTGATTCCATGGATTTATTAAAGTCTGCATACAAGCCTATAGAAAAGTTTCAATTCTATGAACACATAAATTTGTGGTTCACCGTGCCAAAATCCACAAATTGGTAAACCACAAATAATAATGAATCCACAGTAATATAGAACATTGGCAATTTTCATTTCATATAGAACAGAAATATGTTTTTTTATGGAATTAAATAATCAATTATGTGATCACATTATTACATTGAATATTCAGCATTGATTTGAAACTTCAATGATCGATTAAAAAGTTTTATGTTTTACTTTACTCTGGGAACAGTATATATAACTGGAAATGAATCTGATACGCTTTTCAGTATAAAATTGATAAAATCTCGGACTCCCCGAGACTTCCCGAGATTTACGGATTTTGGTAGCGTCTGACTGAAAAACTATCAGAACTGCTCAACAAATAAACCACATAACTCTAATTGTAAATAAATACAAGTTTTATCATTTAGTAGATATATTTTGTCATATAAAATTACCAAAATAAGTTTGATTTGTTTGATGTGAAGTGTTTTATAATAGTTTGGGAATTTAAAAATCATCGTGGCAATGGCCGCCATTTTTTTATTACCTTGTTTGAATTCTGCACAATTCTGTGATGAAATGCTTGCGATTTTAACATATTTGAAGTGACAGAATACAAGTTTGATACACTAGCATCACTATAAAACTAGTTTGAATGACATTTTATTGATAATATCAGAAATTATTAGGATAATAGCGAGTCCGTTTTTAACACATGTCCGTTTCTGTATCGTATCTTTATTAACTATGGCACGACGATAAAATCGACTACAATCAGGTAGTGTCAAGTCCCGTCAATATATATGTTCGTGCTTTACTTAAGTAAAGATTTTTTAATCACCTATATTTTTAACCTAAATATATTTTACTTTACTTTTACCTTTATTTTTACATAAGTTTTATATTGATGAAAAAGTTTGAATTGTTTGGTATTTTTTTTTTTGTATGATCAGGCATGTTTATTGAAATATGACATTCTTATTATGTGAATAATTGTACATTATGTTAAAAAAATATTTGATGTTGGTGAGATATTATTTATGGAAGTGGTGAGTGTTTTTGTTTACATATAGTGCATGTGCTTGATCTAGTATCTATCTAATAATACTTTGAATATATTTTCATATTGATCTTTATCAATTTATATTCGTAAATATTTTATAATTGGACAATTCAAAGCCATTTCTGAACAACAGAATACCTCACAAAGAAAAAAAAATCACTTTTTTGCCTACTGTGAAAATGTTTTTTTTTATTATCTAAAAAAGACATTTTAAAAAAACAAAAGGAAAATTAAAACATATTTATATTAATTTTCCTTAATTTATGATCAGTGAATCATATCTTGACCATGACAGCTAGTAGTCCTAGAGAAATAATAGAGATAGACTTAACTGATATTTGATGTTACATTTCTGTTTTAATCACCTCACTCAAGTACTACCATATTCTGGGTTATGATATATAAATAATCAAGATTTTAAATGAAAACTAATCCTTCTTTTGCAGGTGGATCGTGTGATTTTAGCCATGAAATAATACCATTGTCTGAGAAAGCTACAAAGAAAATAGAAAAACTGGAGGAGGATAGAACCAAGAAATTACAGGAACAAAGAGTCATTGGAAGGGAAGTCAGTAAAAAGTCAGAGACTGACTACCGTATCAATGTACGAAGGGTTACTTTTAGATGGCAAAGAGGTTTAAAAATAGGTATGGATGGTTTTATGTGTAAGAATATTTATTGACACTGTATATAAAAGAACCATTTACAATGTTAGAGCGTTCCTGATGAAGGTAAATCCTGAAAAGCACTTACAAAATGTATAAAGTGTTAATTTAATTTACAAAAGTTATTACGAAATAATAAGATTTTGTTTATACATGATTCTGAAGTGCCAGAATATTGTATGAAACATTTTGATCTTGAAATGAAATGAGAGCCTTGAAGGCAGAAATTATATCAAGTCACAAGTGCCTTCAAAACAGAGCCCGAATTTTAATAAAACTAAACAAATGAACTGTAAATTTCATTGATCATCATATATCTTTTAAAATCTTATAAATTTTAATGCTTAAACACTTGCTATTGAAATGCTTGAACGGTTTTAGTTAAATTTGTGGTATTAATTGGATTGGTTTCTGTTGTACTGAATACTTCCTATAGATTTAGTTGGTTTTTGTTTATGAAAAATATATTTTCATATGGATTTCTATTAATCTGTCCTTTACAACAATTTTGCTAAAACTAAATTTGACTCCTTTAAGGAATTGTTGGCCTTTAATTACATTTAGATATTTTTTATACAAATAGTATAGTATAGTATTCATAGCTTAAGGATGTACTTAGGTGAAATTAAAAAAATCTAGAATTTAAACTTGATATTATAAGTCAGAAGAGCATTAGTCAAGGAACAAAATAAGCTGAAAATATTATAGGTTATGGAGCTACTTTCTGAGATATATAATTTTTTTTAAATGGCGGGAAAAGGTTGACTCTGACTTTTACCTTGTATTTGCATTGGTATTATTTGGGTCTCAAATCGAAATAAAGGAAATCTAGAATCTGCTTGAATTTTGGTAAATGACCTTTTATGAGCTTTTGAAGTCTTATATGAAAAGAAAAATGGGTGTTCTGGGGCAAAATATTTTACCCTGTATCGTAGGAAAAAACCAAGGAGTCCGAACATTTGACAAAAATTCTTAACTTCACCTAAGTACATCCTTAGAGTATGGATAATGATGACAAATATTTCAGTAATCAGAATTAATTTCAGAAAACTAATTTATCTAGTGTATTCTCAATTTGGGATTTGCTATTTTCTTAATGGTTTGGGGTAAACTAGAAGATATTTTGTGGTATCTAATAGAGATTTTACATATGTTTTATGTTTTTCTGTAATTATAGGTGAAGGTCAGTTTGGAAAGGTATATTCAGCTGTCAACATGGATACAGGTGATTTGATGGCCATGAAAGAGGTATAGTGTTAATTTGTTATTTTATAGCTTAGACACAATTTTTTTTTATTACTATTACCATAATTGGAATTTTTTAGTTCGTTTAAAACTGGTTTAACGCCACCTCTTATTTATGTGTCTGTCCAAAGTGGGGAATATTTTAAGAATTCATGGCTGTCTCATCAAGTTTTTATCTGTCATCTCTGTTGAAACTTTTATATTTGTTTCAGATATAGTTTTCATCCTGAATTTATTTGATCAATTTCTCTAGAATTGATATGATTTAGAGCCTGTCAGTTAGTTGTGTTGCTTTTCAATCATTGAAGAATATATTGTGACCTTAAATTTGTACAATCAAAAACATGTATTGTCAGGTTGTTGTCTGATAAAAAGCTAATTCAAATCTGCTCTTTCATGTGATAGGCATAATAGGTTAGAAAACTGTGATTCTTTTTTAATAGAAGGGAAATATATCAATCTTAATTTAAATAAGAAAGGAAGAAGTACTGTAAATTCTTAAATTTTTGCACACATTGATAATTATTATTATACCCCCGCTTTAAAAAAGTAGGGGTATACTCTTTTACCTCTGTCTGTCCCTCCGTCCATCCGTCAGTCCATCCGTCAGTCAGTCCGTCTGTCCCATGAATATTTTTCGTCGCATCTTTCTAAGGAACTACATTACAAGAATTTCTGAAATTTGGTTTCAGGGTTTATATGAGTCAGCTATACTGTGTGATGTGCTTTCAGATTCATCACTCAACAACTTCCTGTTTACCGAACACTTACATCATTTTACACATGACATCCAAGTTGAAAATTTTCGTCACATTTTTCTCAGGAACTACATTACAAGGATTTCTGAAATTTAGTTTCAGGGTTTATATGAGACAGCTATACCCTGTGATGCGTTTTCAGATTCATCACTCAACAACTCCCTGTTTACCGAACACTTACATATTTTTACACGATTAAAATTATCCAGTTGCAGCGGGGGTATCATCAGTGAGCAGTAGCTCACAGTTTCACTTGTTGTGATTGTAGAACAATAAACAAAAATGTGAGAATAATTATTACGATTTAAGGATATGCTCCAAGCAAATAATGCTATCAAAATGCAAGGTTGGTTTTTTTGGCGAAACCTATTCCATTGCAATTTTCACAATAATAAAAACAGCACAAAAATAACTGAATATGCAGTATCTTAAAATCTTTTGAAAATTGATGACTCTGATAAAAATCTTAATTTTATTACTCAATATTTTGTATTATCTAGCAAGGGGGGCATAAGTTAATCAGTCTATTTTATTGTAGATGAAATTCCAAGCTAATGACCATCAAGCTCTGAAGGAAATAGCTGATGAGATTATAATGTTTGAGGGAATACAACATCCTAACTTAATCAAGTACTATGGTGTTGAAGTACACAGGGTGAGTGATTTAGGTTATAGTGACCTATTTTTAATATTACTAAGAAACAGAAATTTGATAAAAAGATTAGGAATATGGGATTGAAATGTACATCCATTGTAAATATTGATAAAGGTTCAGTTGAAAAAGAAAGCACATAGAGAAAAAATGTACATGTGTGGAATTATACATTCTCAAGTTAATTTTCAAAATTTACAATGGAAATAACAAATTAAGAGAATATAAATCTTGTCATTGTTCATCTCATAGATATGTATTTTATAAATATACCCCCACTGTAAAGTAATGGTATAACTTTTGTCTCTCTGTCCATCTATCAATAACAAAGTTGTGTTGTAATTTCTCAGCAACTGAACTGTATGGCTTCTTGATACATGTATATTGCACCAAGTTTCAACTGTTCATAGCAAACAGTATATTATAAGTATTCAGTTCCTTTTATGTTCTTGTATCTGTTTGCAAATATCATAATTTTTTGAAATAGAGAGACAATTAATTTGGTCTTTCTTTGTCAGGATGAAATGTTGATTTTTATGGAATATTGTGATAGAGGAACATTAGAAGAAGCAACTAAAATGGGACTTCCTGAACATCTCATGGCACTATATGCCAAGGAAATCCTCAAAGCTATTGGTCACCTTCATGAGTTTAATATAGTACATAGAGACATCAAGGGAGCAAATGTATTTCTGACTTCTGAGGGATGTCTTAAATTAGGAGATTTTGGTTGTTCAGCCAAGCTGAAGAGCCAACAGACGATGCCAGGAGAGTTCAATAATATTGTAGGAACTACAGGTAAGATAGTCATGTGACACACCAGGGAAGTTTTATATTGTTTATACAGAGAATAAAGAAACTGCCGTGTAACCTTTGCTTTATGAATAGCTTTGATGTATTTGCTTCCTGTACAGATGCAGTTATGCCTTGTATACTTAGGACAAGAACATGTGAGATCCTGCATTGTTCTACATCAATGAATTGATCTAGATTATGAACATATTATTTAAGTATTTCATTTGCTATGTACCAAATTATGAAAGAATGGTGGTACATGTATGAGGGACAGTTTATTCTGTAAAATTTTTACTTTTGTATTTACAGAGTTATGGGAAATTAATCAATTTTTACCTGTCACACATAAACTCAGGTATACCTCAACAGTTTGCTTCAAGCATAACTGATTTATTAAGTGTGGATCTACTTTTAACACAAGCAACCAACAAGGAATCAATCTACTTACAAAGGTTATTCATCATCAAATTTTTAAGAATTTTGTAATGGGCAAAATAGTACCCAACAAAGAATAATGATTTTAAATATGTTCTAGATCTGTTATAATGAAACAAAGAGTCATATCCAAGTTTGCTTTTTTTTTAGCCTACATGGCCCCTGAAGTTATCACTAAAAGTGGATCAGGAGGTCATGGTCGTGCAGCAGACATCTGGAGCTTAGGGTGTGTCATCATAGAAATGGCAACAGGAAAGGTAAGATAACTCCTATAGATCAATGGGAGAGCTGTCTTTTATATGACAAACATTTCCCTCATGTTTTACAGAGACAGAATAGGTAAAATTAGTTATCTCAGATAGATTTTTAACATGCCTTGCAACAGGATGTCAGACTTCTCCTTTCTATTTCATGTGAAGTCTAGCCTCTATAGTACACTGCCCAAATTTACTATCAAACTACATTTCTTGGTTCATTTTTCCTCCAAAATTGATGTGCTATACATTTATTTAATTTTGGGGTTTTATTAGCCACAACAAAATGTGTTTTTTTGTAAATTTGTTTCTTTTTGATGATACTAATTTTTGCAATTTCAAATTCTAAGTAATTGTGTAAAGGAAATTGTAAGAAAATTACCATTGCAGTATTCTTTCTGTATAACCCTGGTCTCAGTTGTATTTCAACACAAATATGTTTCCAAAAATTTGTCAGCAAAGGAGATAATGGAGCAGAATCTTCATTGATAACGTGATAGATTTTCTGATTATGTCAATAGCTAAGTATATATAACCTAAATATAGAATAGGATTATAAATTATATTAAAAATACTAATTTGGCAATCTTTCAGATTTCAATGAAATTTTGTTGGCATTTAGAACTGGTTAAACTGTTTAAATGTAAAGAATGTATGTAAAAAGGGTCGAAAATTTTGCATTTTATACTTTAAATTGCTTTTTCTAGAAAACAAGTCCACAGAATTTTGTAAAAATATTTTATTGCTATAAACATTTTAGTTTTAATGATATGAAAATATTAGGGGATTTAATGTTAAATAATTAAAATAAAATTATTAATAAAGTTTGTTTACTTGTAGAGACCATGGCATGAGTTAGAGAACAACTATCAAATCATGTTTAAAGTTGGAATGGGTAGTATACCTAGTATTCCAGAGACATTAAGTAACGATGGCAAGGATTTTGTATCACATTGTCTAGAACCAGACCCTGAAATAAGATGGACTGCTGCTCAATTAATAGACCATCCATTTGTCAAGGTAAGGAATAAGATGGACTGCTGCTCAATTAATAGACCATCCATTTGTCAAGGTAAGAAATAAGATGGACTGCTGCTCAATTAATAGACCATCCATTTGTCAAGGTAAGAAATAAGATGGACTGCTGCTCAATTAATAGACCATCCATTTGTCAAGATAAGGAATAAGGTGGACTGCATCTCAATTAATAGACCATCCATTTGTCAAGATAAGGAATAAAGTGGACTGCATCTCAATTAATAGACCATCCATTTGTCAAGATAAGGAATAAGGTGGACTGCATCTCAATTAATAGACCATCCATTTGTTAAGGTAAGGAATAAGATGGACTGCATCTCAATCATTGTGAACCAAATGAAACATTTCCACAGAGTCATCTCCTCTTGGTCAAGTTATTTAAATTTTTGTCAGTTCTATTGTCCCATTGAATAAATACAATAGCTATTGTTATCTGTTTAGTTTATTCAGTGGGACCTATAAATTTCTTCTAAGAGAAATCCATCACTCATTGATTATTTATCCAATATCAATGATATATTTTCAATGTGTTCAATTTAAACACTGTTTTAATCATAAAAAGTTGATTTCTGACAATTTTTTTTAGCATTGTTACTATTGAAATTTACGTTTTTTCTTTTTGTATTTGTTTACTCATAGAATTAATTTAGGAAAGCCTGAATTTAAATATTGTCATTTTCCAGTTTTTATTTGTCAAACACACAAAAAAAATTAAATAGGAACAATGCTGAAAATTTTGTCAGAAATCAACTTTTAATGCATCTGGCATTATGCTCTGTTTTCTCTTTCTCACTTCTAATTGTAACAGTTACTGCTCGTATACCAAGCTTTCTAATAAAAATAAGATGTGGTATGATTGCCAGTGAGACAACTCGCTCTCCACCAAAGACCAAATGACATAGAAGTTAACAACTATAGTTCATAGTTTGGCAACAGAATACAATCCACTCTGGAATACTGGCTATTAAGATACCGTTATGGCTTAGGCAGTTACAGGATTTCTCATGATCACTGAATATTTTTTTTTAAGGAATCAATATCAAAGATGTATGATTTAAAATGATAAATATGTTCAAAATTAACATTAACAATGGATTTATAACACTATCATAAATCAACTATAGACTTATTTATTATCAATTGTTTTTATATTTACCAGTATTTAATCCCCAAATGAGTGAAATGTGATGTAACCACACTTTGAGACCTTATTTGTCAGTTATTGAAGGTCAAAGATTTTATATACCTCTTCAAATAAAACAAGGTAGCTGTGATAAATATCGTTATCAATAAAAAAAAATTGGTAGAATCTATATTTTAACAATTTTTGTGTAAACAGCATTTAACTGTCAGTCAATCCATGATTATTAAAAAAGAAATTCTCTTGTTTACAGGTACAAATAGAAGAACCTGATGGAGATGCATAAAGGGAGATAATATCACAGGGAGATAATCTACCAAATTACTGAGGAATCTAATTATTCCGCAGAAAGTTAGAGTATAAATCCTCTCACTAATTAATGAAATATGCAGTACAGTTATGAATATTAATCCAGCAATATAAATGGCACTCTGGCAAAACCATTTTAGAATCATGTAACACCTTAAATTTGATATTTATTTTCTAAATACTCCTAGTGATGTAATAGGTTTAAGTCACATTACAATATGTTTTTTTTTTAAGTAAATTGTTTTCTTAAAAGGAGGAAGACCTCATTTCTGTATTACATATGTTGGTAAAAAAAAACTGTCCCAAATCTTCAGTCTCAAAAACATTAGTCCCTCAAAATATTTCTCAAAAAAGAAAATCTGATTTAGTTAATTACTACACATCATTTACATTCGAATTTGATATAAATTGCAGATCAAATAATTGAATCTATTTCCGTGTATGTCTCACTACCACCAATAAAGGTGTATACACAAGATAGTACAAATTATATCTTCTTACCATGGGCATGTAACTGTTGTCTCATATAGTAGAGCTGAACTCTCAGCAATCAGTACAATTATATTTCTGTGTGAAATTTCATTTCATTTGCTCAACCTTTTGTAATCTCTTGCTCATTTTATTATTTATTGTCTGAAATGTCCTCCATGTTTATGAAGTTTGACTGCCACAATCTGTAGGATTATAATTTAGTTGTGGATAAAATAATTTATTTTTTGTAAGTACCTTTATTTGTTGGAATTTTAAAATCTGACAATAATTTTATATCTTGCAACATTATTCAACCTGAAATACATTATATATTTTACAATAGTCAGTAAAAATTGTAAATAATAATTTGCAGTATAAAAATATCCAATCATATTATGCAGAGAGCATTTTTGTAAAAAGAATAATCATTGGATGATTTTTTTTTATCAGTCTCTCATATGGGCATTTTTATGCCCTACCTAGGGGCATTATGTTTTTCGGTCTGTTTGCCGTTCAATTGTCCGTTCGTCTGTCTGTCCGTCCCGCTTCAGGTTAAAACTTTTGGTCAAGGTAGTTTTTGATGAACTTGAAGTCCAATCAACTTGAAACTTAGTCCCTATGATATGATCTTTCTGATTTTAATGCCAAATTAAGAGTTTTGACCCCAATTTCACGGTCCACTGAACATAGAAAATGATAGTGCGAGATGGGCATCTGTGTACTATGGACACATTCTTGTTGGCTGGAATTGCTTATCTAGTGAAAATCATGATGCTGTTTGCCCAACTTAAAAGCTAAGAAATATACTATAGTTATAATCAGAAATTATGTTTGATATTCAAAAGATCCATATACCTTTACATTCATGTGGTAATTCAATTTTATTTGAGGTGATGTTATTTATTGACCCAAGACAACATACTACATTGTGTTAACAATAGATATCAAAATGTTTTGGGCTTAAAAAGTTGGTAAAATTTTAGTTTTTTGCCTGTAATAAGTATGTATTTTACACATCAAGTAAGATGTTTACTAAATATTTATATTCTTTAAAAGAAATAATTTTCTTCTGTTGTTCTATCAATACTATTTTATGAAAAGTTTTATTTCTGACAGTTGTTATTGTTTTTTAATTTATTTAACTTAGTGCTTGTATTTAATTTCTGTGATATTTCCAGTTTTCTACAATGTAATGTAATTCAGAAATTAATGCTGCCATTAATTATTGCGAATCACTGATTAGTTGTAAAAATGCATGATTTAATTAATGCAATTGCAAAAAAAATTGTGATGAAAAATCACTACTGAAATTATGAATGCATGTTTTTATTATTTCGAACCTGATACTGTCACTTTTTTGCAATAAATAAAACATCGCAATAATTTCTGAATGTACAGTAATTCTTTATACAAATGAACTTGTGATCAATTGGAAGTTTCCTGATACTGCCCAGTAATGTCAATCAAAAAATTATCTTAAGCGAAGTTATTAAACTGCCTTTAAATGTTCAATATTGTAAAACAAAAATGAAATCACAGTGATTAAAAGTCTAGGTAGGTTTGTTTTAACATTTAAATTAAGTATTCCAAGATACTACAGGATGTAAGATGCTGTCACAAGTTCAGACATTGAAAGGTCTGTAGACAAAACAGTTATAAAGTGTTAACTTTTACAACAGAAACCATTTATATGTAAACCATTTTTCTATGTGGCCAATTCTCTTTTACTTGGGCAAGAGCTATTTTAAACATATTCTGTAATGACACATAAAATTGCTCAAGTGGAATAATATACCGGTATATATTTAAGGTTTTTTATATTAAATTATGTTATTCAATTGAATTTGAATTCAAAACATGCCCACCAGCTGCAATTATTGATTCTGATTGGTCAATTTTTAAATTTCTTGGGAGATTTGGGAGCTGAGTGCTCTTGCAGATGTGCCCAACTCTAATCTTAATGGACTAGGATTGCCAGTTATCCTGTTGAAGGTATATGGTTCTCTCTGGGCACCCTGGATTCCTCTGTCAATAAAAACTGTCCACCACTATATAACCAAGAGTGCTGAAAGTGGTGCTAAACACCAACAATCAATCAATATTTATTTTTTCTTTTCGTAAGACAATGACGATAGGGAGATCCTCTATAGTATTTATTATTTTTACCAATCAGGTGACATACATTACAGCAATGATACCACATATATGCTCCATTCAATCAATTGATGCTGAAGTGATGAAGATTTATTATGTTTAATAATTAAGAGGGGCCATTGTTGACATTGGATACAGATTTAGATGAGTCATTCAGGCTTTTTTTAGTCTGAAGTTTGAATAGCTCTTGACAAAATTTTAATTAACCCAAACAGTTGACAAAAAATTGTTGAGCACATGATTGGTTATGTTGTAAGAGGTAAAAACTGATATATAAGAAACATATCAGAATATAAACATTACGTTAGTACATTATCTGGTTGTGATTGGTAAATCAATGTCAGTAAATAGTGAAAAGATTGAAGAATTGACAGTATTGAATGAATTTAAAGTCTTTCCAAATAACTATGATTTTGTTGGTTGGTTTTGTGCTCTTATTAGTAGTTAACAGATGTTATTATATGAAAATTTCATTCCAAAAAGTCTCTCTGTTAATGATGTAGAAAACCAAGGACAAAAGTAAACCCTCAGTACAGTTAAGACAACAGGGAACTATGAATTAAATTTTTCATTAAATTTTTATGACCCCACCAAAGTGGGGTCATCATCCTCATCCCATGGACACATTCTCCATTTTTTGTTATTTTACTTAGAGTGTATTTGTTGTCTCCATATTTTTGCCTGAATGGAAGGCTTATTTAATAATAATAAATTTCATTACAAGCTGACCTTATCTAAAAAAATTTAACCCTTTTATGTTACCATTGCCTTAGTACTTTTTTTGATTTGCAGTTTGTATTCATTTCTTCAATATTAACGTTTAGTGATGAGTCAACTAAGCTTAAACATCAATAAACCACTTCAAATTAACCTTTATTGTTATAATGAAAATTTGTTACATCAAGTTCAAGTGCTGGTTTATTTCATATGCAGATTGGAAAGACCTTGTTATCAAGAACACTGTAATTAAATAAGGTTAATTTCTATTTGAATCAATGTTTTTGAGTGTGGACTTAGTGTATAAGATTTAGCATGTTTGATAGATAAGGCATGAATTCTTTTTTTTGGATTCAAACTGCAGTTTGTAATATGTTATTGATATTTGCATCTTTGCATGGCAGAATAATGGAATATCAAAGATTTAAGTATTTGATGAAAATCATAAATTATTTTTCATGTAATTCATAATTTTGTGAAAAAGAAAAATCAAATAATTTTTTTCCCAAAAAAATATTTCCCCAACATCATTATTAACATCATCATAAGTTTAGTAACACATTTTAATCTGATTTTAAGATTTACACCTAAAATTAGTTGTTCTCTGTGTGTATTGTAAGTCAGTAATTGAGTTTGACCATGTCATCTCAGGTTTAAGGAATCGAATGATATTTGTTGTTGATCATGTGATAATCTACATTGGTCATGTGATAATCAGTGTTGATCATGTGATAATCAGTGTGGAATGTTATTTATTGATGTGTAAACACCTATTTGTTATCCTATGTATATATTGTACATACATGTTATATTGTGTAAATAGGAGATTTTAATGTACAAGTTGTTGATTGGTTGTCATAATGTGTAAGATATTTGATTCTTTTGGAGAATTAAATAAATAAGAAACCTGTTTTTTCGTTTTTCTTAATTTAATTCAAAATACAGTTTAATTATTGACTTAGCCAAATTTATAAAAGAAGGAAGATACAAAAAAAGGGGGGGGGGTCCAAGAAATACGGACAGACAAACCATGGCCAAAAGTAAAAAATAAGAGACAACAGTGCACAAAAACTACACAGAATAGTAAATATTGAGAAATAGGAACACCACAAAAACATAAGATAGGTAAGGTTATATAGAGGTCTTAATAAGTTCCTGCTCTAGTTGTGACACACATCAAACTGCTTATACATCACAATATCCCAAAGACGACAGGATTTGCTGAATCAAATAGAACCTACTTGTTATCATCTGTGGTGGTCACCAAATTATTTTTAACCGGATTTCTGAAGGAAAAATCGGTTATTGATTTTTAACCGGATTTCCATGGGAAAAATCGGTTATTGATTTGGGGATGTTCAGCTGGCGGGCGGCTGCCAAACAGTGTCCGTTCATTAACTTGAAAACGCTTTGACGAAATCTTTTCAAATTTAGAAATGTTGTTACCTGTGACTAAATGAAGGTCAAGTTTAATTTTCACAATTTTAGCTCTTATTGTTGTTGAGTTGTAGACCTTTCAATAGCGAAAGTGATACTTAAAGCATTGTCCGTGCAATAACGCTGTGACGAAATCTTTTCAAATTTAGATATGTTGTTTCCTGTGACTAAATGAAGGTCAATTTCGATTTTCAGGATTCTAGCTTTTATCGTTGTTGAGTTGTAGACCTATTAGTAGCAAATAGTGATACTTAGACCGTTGTCTGTGCAATAACTTGAAAACTCTTTGAAGAAATCTTTTCAAATTTAGATATGTTGTTTCCTGTGACTCAATGAAGGTTAAGTTCCATTTTCATGATTTTTTCACGATTTTAGCTTTTATCGTTGTTGACCTTTAAGTAGTGAAAAGTGATAATTCGAGCGTTTTCCTTGCAATAAGTTGAAAACGCTTTGACAAAATCTTTTCAAATTTAGATGTTGTTTCCTGTGAATAAATGAAGGTCTAAATTGATTTTCACGATTTTAGCTTTTATCATTGTTGAGTTGTACACCTTAAAGTGGGGAAAAGTGATACTTAGATTGATTTTGGCCTTTCCAATTCTAAACCCTACAAAAATTCGTTTTTTTTTTTACTTGATCCTGTTTGGGGGTCCAGATTTGCAATATCATTTTCATGCAGGAAAATCTGGTTTGCTGTCACTCTGACAGCCTCTTGTTAAGATATTAAGTGACTATCATTCATGTTATTTCAAAGGAGAATGCATCTTGACAGGGTAAGTTTTGAGGTTCTTGAGATTTAAAATACTGAGTAACTAATAATCAGTTTATTAGATAGGAAGATGTAACTTTATCTGGATTTCATGTCACTGGACACTTGGTATATGGACATAGCAAGACAAAATTCTCTTCAAAATAAGTTATTCTAACCCACTTTTGACATAATATGGGATTTTATCATTTAGGCATTTTGTTATTGAATGCAAATTTATGAGTCTTTATTTAATTTAATTAACAACTATTCTAGACATGATGTGATTTAGAGCTAGACATATTGTATAGACACTGGTATATTGTTGAATACTGAATGTTAACCTCTAGATGGCTTATGTTATTTTAGTTGTTGGGTTGCTCTCTCATGGAGGTATACATTACATCTCCTTATTTTCAAATATAAGAAAAATTACATCAAGTACAGTGAGATTTTCCACTAAAAATCTTTAGAGAAAAAAATACTTGTAAGTTGTGTACATTTCAGTATAAATTATGATAAATTTTTGTTATAGCACAACTTCGTCGTTTTTTCTAGTTACCATTATACATATGAAACATTAAAGACAACATTGGCCTGAATGATATTTCAAAGCATGCATTGGCACTCATACCACATCTTCTTATGTATAAGGACTGTTAACTTCATCAGAAGTCCTTCATAGCTGACTCATATCTCAGAACACTACCAAGTTTGTCAGAATTTACTTTTTACTACCAGATGATGAGCAACTCTAGATGGTTAAGCAAGCATGTACAATCGATACAAAATAACTATTTTAGAGTACAAAAACGCCACAAAAAATTGTAACCTTTGAAAATGTCGCGTACTAAAACCCCCATGGGGATTTCCAAAAGTCGGAACTTATGTTACAATCATATTCAAGACATAGTCTTTAATCTCAGTTTGAACTTATTACACTTTTGTCATTGTAGGAATGAGTTTAAAGATACATGTTGCACAATACTGTCAACATTAGTCGTCAATACCCCAGGTAGCTTGAAACTCTTGATTGTAAACAGAATTGAAAAATGGTCAAAATGAATGTTCACACATATCAGTATCATTTTATTTCAAAACTCAAAAGAAACGGTGAAGCTGTTCATTATTGTAAATAATTGAAATACTCATACATAAAACGAAAATCTGATTTATAAAGCAAAGCCTCAAAATATGAAAAGTCAATAAGTAGTTAAGTAAACTAATGAAAAAACATGAATTTGTATTTGAACTAACTCCAGCGTCTTCATTTTAATTTTACAGAAGCATAGTATTTGAGACTTCTTGAAATACTTTCCTCTGGAGTATAAACAGGTTGATACCCTAATTTATCTTGAGCTTTCCTCCCACTGAAATATAGATTCATGTTTATGTACTTAATGCTACAACTAACAACAGGCAGATTGATCTTGTGTATAGGGGCTAGTATGTACAATATCCATTCCAATATCAATACAGGATAGTAAACTAAAGAGTATGGAATTTTGTACTTTGACAGTTGCAGATGTCTGGTCTCCAAAAATATTCTCATGAATCTAAAGGTGTTCTGCACTGGTGTATGATCGGGTATAAAGAAAATCTCTCCGCTGTTGATTTTATGTTCTCTCAAAGATGTGTCTGCACAAATAAATGCCCATGCTGAATTTCCGACATAAGTCTGCTGAAATTTTGCTGTACCATTTCCTACTTGGTATAGAACACCGTTGTTTGATTTTGCCGACTGAAGTCCATTTGTGACATAGTACGGGTCTAACTCACCATACATAACATTGGCTCTTAAAACAACAGTCTTTAAATGTCTCCCTGAAATAATTGTGATATACCTGTTGACAGATTAAAAGGCAATAGTTATTAAAGAAAACTTGGTCTTAAGTGTTATATAATAGAAAACAGTCATACCTTACATCTTCAATACAAATTTTATTACGCCAGCAATTAAAAAAAACACACTTTACAATTGAAGTTCGTGTTATCAATTGGCTTGTTAGAACTCGCATGGAAAATGTAAGTTGCTTAGATATTTCAAAATTACATAAAATTCAATACACGAGTTTTAAATAGTATAAAAAGATATAGCGTCACTGGTTAGTCTTGTGTGGAGGAGACGCACGTCTAGCGTATTGGATTTTAAACCTGGTGCCTTTTGTTAGCTATTACTCGTGTGTTTCTTTGTCCTATATGTTCTCCCATTTATTTGTATTGTAATCCTGTCATGTAATGTTGTCATTTTAATGTTATATTTAACATTGCCATAAAAGCGGGAGGTTTGGCATGCCACAAAACCAGGTTCAACCCACCATTTTTTTTGTAAAAATGTCCTGTACCAAGTCAGGAAAATGGCCATTGTTATATTATAGTTCGTTTCTGTGTGTGTTACATTTTAATGTTGTGTTTTTGTTGTGTCGTTCTCCTCTTATATTTGATGCGTTTCCCTCAGTTTTAGTTTGTAACCCGGATTTGTTTTTATCTCTATCGATTTAGGAGTTTCGAACAGCGGTATACTACTGTTGCCTTTATATACTCAATATACCGTTTTTACATGTTTGTCCACTTGCTTTTAAAACAAGACATTCTGCTTTATACTTTGACTCTGGATACCCAGGGAAAAGAAATGTCTTCGGAACGGGTGTTGTTTCATCTCCATTGTTTATTGCATCGTGTCCTATCACTACATCTACAGTACTACAGAATACTAAACGTTCAACATTAGTATCCAGACAGCTTTGGATTATATTCTTAGTACCTAAAATACAGATCAACAAACGTTTAACAACACAATCCAGGCATCTGCAGTCTCTTTGTATTTTCGATCTTCAAGATAGAAATTGGTGTTGATGATATTTGATAGTGAGGGTTGAATTCTATCAAAATTGTCTAGTTGGTTTTTGAGTTTGATAGACGTCAAGGGTTGTTAAACCTGTCTTGTTGAGGCGCAGCCTTATTACTAGTAATATTTTTCCAACAAATTACAAATAAAGTATATAAAATCTTTCGTTTAACAACATTAAGTGATGTTACCAGTATCTAAAAGAAGTATACCATCACACCCACACAGCCCTGGGAGATGCTTATATGAAAATTGAAAAAAAAAATCATAATGTTCAACAAAGTAATCCAATCAACCTTTTGTTCTTACTTAATATAGAACATAACAACGTACATCATTAAACTCCAAAAAGGCCCACACAATGTTAAAATGAATAAAATATATACTACTGAAATATTCGAGTAGTGTTATTATAGTTCACTATACAGAACATTAAATTCTAAATGCTAGAATAACCAGTCTCGTATTTTACAAACCTTGTACGTTGATAGCTTCCATTGCAGGAGAGTCTGGGAATGTGCCAAAGCTTATAAGTCCAGCTACATGTATCACACTCTGGCTACCTTTGATAACTTCAGTGATAGTGTTTATATCTGTAATACTCCCTTGGTGCATGCTGACTGGTTTATTTTCATCACAGCCTGTATCAAACATTTAATATATTTCACACTGACTTTCTTATTTTATAATTTTATAACATCGACCCGGTGAATATTATAACAACTAATCAAGAGTTTCATAGTAAAACTATATATCAAACAAATATTTGGTTACAAGCCTGAACAGGATAGATTAAATCCTGATTTGAATTAGCAGATGCTTTGATGATCTATTGTATAAACAAAAATATAACAGAAAAACCTAAATTTGAATCAAAG